AAAAAAAAACCCCCACAAAAACCTAAATGTTCTTTTAGAGCTGAGAAACAATATAGTATCTGGAATAAAAAATTCATGACATGGGCTTAACAGCAGATTGGATACTACAGATGAAAAGACTGATCTTGAACATTCAGCAGTGGAAATGGTACACACAGAGGCACAAGTTTAAAGCCTGAGGGGTGAAACAGGGTGGAGGAAATGGCGTCAGGGCCTCACTAGCACCAGAGGAACCTGTATAACTGTTGCAGAGAGAAACGGGAGTTGGGGAGCAAGGGCGGAAAAACTTTTAAGAGAAAATAATTTCCAAAAGTTTTCCACATTTGATGAAAACTATAAATTCACAGATCAGTGATACCTAACACATCAAAGAAAATAAACTACACCATGGCACATTATATTGAAGTTGAAAAAAAAAACCCACAAAATAAAAAACAGTGATTAAAAAGAACATTTAAAAAAGCAGCCAGAGGAAAAAAAAGATGATAAAAATGACTGACTTATTAGAAACGATGGAAACCAGGGCTGGGTGTGGTTGCTCATGCCTGTAATCTCAGCACTTTGGGAGGCCAAGGCAGGAGGACTATCTGAGCCCAGGAGTTCAAGACCAGCCTGGGCAACAGGGCAAGATCCCATAGAGTCTCAATCTGAGTCTGTAATCCCAGCACTTTGGGAGGCCGAGGTGGGCAGATCATGAGGTTAAGAGATCGAGACCATTCTGGCCAACATGGTGCAATCCATCTCTACTAAAAATACAGAAATTAGCCAGGCATGCTGGCAGGTGCCTCTAGTCCCAGCTCCTCGGGAGGCTAAGGCAGGAAAACTGTTTGAACCTGGGAGGCGAGGTTACAGTGAGCGGAGATCATGCACCTGGGCAACAAGAGCAAAACTCCATCTCAAGGGGGAAAAAAAAAAAGGAGAGAGTGCAAACCAGAGGATGAAGGAACAAAGTATGTATGTATGTATTTATTTATTTATTTTTTATTTTTATTTTTATTTTTTGAGACGGAGTTTTGCTCTTGTTACCCAGGCTGGAGTGCAATGGCGCGATCTCAGCTCACCGCAACCTCCGCCTCCTGGGTTCAGGCAATTCTCCTGCCTCAGCCTCCTGAGTAGCTGGGATTACAGGCACGCGCCACCATGCCGAGCTAATTTTTTGTATTTTTAGTAGAGACAGGGTTTCACCATGTTGACCAGGATGGTCTCGATCTCTTGACCTTGTGATCCACCCGCCTCGGCCTCCCAAAGTGCTGGGATTACAGGCTTGAGCCACCGCGCCCGGCGGGGAACAAAGTATTTAATGTGCTTAAAAAAGAAAAAAAATCTGTCAAGTTAGAATTGTGTATCCATAATACTCAACTTCAAAACTGCAGGCAGATTAAATAGATTTTTCAAACAAATCAAAGCTGAAGGATTGGTTTACTACAGAATGCACGACAAAAAAATACAATTCTTCAGCTGGAGGGAAATACCAACTGGAAATTCAGATCCACACACAAGAATAAACAATGCCAGAAATGGTAAAATAAGTGAGTTTTCTTGTTTTTAAATTTTGTTTTTTGAGACAGAGTTTCACTCTTTCACCCAGTCAGAAATGCAGTGGTGCAATCTCAGCTCACTGCAATCTCTACTTCTCAGGTGCAAGCAATTGTCCTGCCTCAGCTTCCCAAGTAACTGGGAATACAGGCATGTGCCACCACACCCAGCTAAGTTTTGTATTTTTAGTAGAGACGCGGTTTCACCATGTTGGCCAGGCTGGTCTCGAACTCCTGATCTCAGGTGATCCACCTGCCTCAGCCTCCCAAAGTGCTAGGATTACAGGCATGAGCCACTGCACCTGGCCATTTTAAAATGTCTTTAAAAGATAAAGTATTATAAGGTATTATAAGGTATTTAAATGTAAAATACATAGATGGTGATAAATTTAAAATGCATTTTAAAATTCTAATCACTAAAACAAAAACAACCCTCTCCCCAAACAAACAACAAGAAAACACTAGTGCAGAGGTATAGCAAATAAGCCAATAATAGAGTTAAAATAGACTGCCAAAAATTAAAAAAAAAAATACAAAACTCACTGCAAAGGGAGAAAAGAGTAAACAAATAGATGAGACAAAAAGTACTAAGATGATAGTTAAACTCAACCATTATACAAAAAGTACTTAAATATGATTATATTAAATATAAGCAGTCTAAACACACCACTTAAAAGGCAGAGATTGCCAGACTGGATAAGAAGGCATGATCTAGCTATATACTTTTTACAAAAAACACATTTTTTTTTTTTTTTTTTTTTTTTTTGAGATGGAGTTTCGCTCTTGTTACCCAGGCTGGAGTGCAATGGCGCGATCTCGGCTCACCACAACCTCCGCCTCCTGGGTTCAGGCAATTCTCCTGCCTCAGCCTCCTGAGTAGCTGGAATTACAGGCACGTGCCACCATGCCCAGCTAATTTTTTGTATTTTTAGTAGAGACGGGGTTTCACCATGTTGACCAGGATGGTCTCGATCTCTCGACCTCGTGATCCACCCGCCTCGGCCTCCCAAAGTGCTGGGATTACAGGCTTGAGCCACCGCGCCCGGCTCCAAAAAACACATTTTTATTATAAAGGCACAGTATTAAGAGTAAATGGATGGAAAAAGATTCCACGAGAGCACTAATCCTAAGACAGATGAAGTGACTATGTTAATAACAGACAAGATATACTTCCAGGACAAGGATAAAGGAGGAACATTTCATATGATAGATGGATCAATTCATCAAGAATTCCTTAATCCTAAATGTGTATGCACCTGATAACAGACTTTCAACACACACACACAAAAACAAAAAAACCAGAAAACTAATAGAACTGAAAGGAGAAAGAGATCCACTGATAATAATAGTTGCAAGGTTTCAACATTCTCCTCTCAGTAATTGGAAGAACAAGGACAGAGAAATCAATAGATATAGTATTTGGGTTGTCAGAAACTTGTTAAGACTGGTTTTCTATTTCTTCTTTAGAGACTAACGATGTCCATCTCCAATGTGATATGAGCATGGAACTGAGTTTGAGAGTTCCTGGTTTGCAACTTTCCTTCCTGGAATGCAATTTGTTACCTGTCAAATGGGGTAATATGATCTTATTTACACGGCTGCTGTGATAATTAGATGAGAATGGAAAGCAGTCTGGATGCCATTAAAGCGCTGTGCAAATTCTGGCTATTTTTTTTTTTTTTTTTTTTTACCATCTTTGGCAGTCTAAGCAACAGGATTCTTCTGTGTTACAGGGTCAGGCACTATCTGACCCCTAGTGATTGGACACCAGCCTGCCTGACTTCCTGCTAGCTGTGGTGCCCAGGTTGGCCCCTGCCTGTGGTCTCAGCACTCTGTGGCCCCTGCTCTGTTCCTAGGCAGGCATGCAGAAGGAATCCTAAGCTTCGGGAACACTGCTTCAGTATCAGCTCGTTTCCCAAACCTGCTCCCTAATTTTTTGCCAGGTGATCTTTCCCTATTACCTAGGTCCTCTGTCTCTGGACTCCTTATTCCTGTTACGTGGTTTCTTTGTGTAGTTCCCTGGATTCTTTTTTTTTTTTTTTTTTTGAGACGGAGTTTCACTCCTGTTACCCAGGCTGGAGTGCAATGGCGCGATCTCGGCTCACCGCACCCTCCGCCTCCTGGGTTCAGGCAATTCTCCTGCCTCAGCCTCCTGAGTAGCTGGGATTACAGGCACGCGCCACCATGCCCAGCTAATTTTTTGGATTTTTAGTAAAGACGGGGTTTCACCATGTTGACCAGGATGGTCTCGATCTCTTGACCTTGTGATCCACCCGCCTCGGCCTCCCAAAGTGCTGGGATTACAGGCGTGAGCCACCGCGCCCGGCCTTTGTTCCCTGGATTCTTTGCCAACTCCCTATGCACTGATCCAACCAGCCTACCATCAGCCACACCTTCCTTCAAGGGTGGGCTGCACATAGACCCAACTGGACTCAGGGAGGCTCCCCCTGGCCTGGGACATCTTTATCCCCTGCCAAATTCTGGCTCTGGTCTTCCCAGACATGCTCTGGTATCACATCATGACACTACTCAAGACTCAGTGCCACCAATAAGGGACAAGGAACATTTGCAGCAAGCCACCTGTGTTCTAGGGAAACCTTTTAAGATGGGGAAAGGAAAACGCACAGGACATTAGCAGGGTCAGCAGCACAGCTAGAGGAGAGAGAAGGAAGAATGCTGCCTTACACTCAGCATGAATCCTGGATTAGACTGAATGTATATGAGGACACTACTACATTGGCAGCCTCACAGAGTGACATCTGTTCCACGATCCCTGCAGAGGCCACATGCTAGGGGAAAGGCAATAAGCCTTAGGATAATTCCCTAAGGGAATCCTAACACTGAAGACTTCAACTTGGGGATCATTTCCCAACCACTTTGGAGGAATTGCAAAAACTTCTTAGATTGTTTTTCTTCCTACTGACTCCGCAACACTACTCCTGAAACCTATCTGTGACCACAAGGCAAATACAAGGCAAATTCCAAGAAGACTAACTGCAGAAACCCATCCAACATGTCCTTCTGTTGTGCTGGAATATACCTGAACAGAATGTGTCTGCCTTTCTGCTAGGGTTTGGAAACTATTTAGTGAAATGACAATTTGAGGTTCTACCCATACCTAGATTAGGGCTTCTCCAACCTCTGCATGTACCGCAAGCACCTGGAGTCTTATAAAGCAAGGATTTTGACTCAGTTTGCATCTGAGCTGTGGTGGGACGTGGGACATAGGACTTTGCAGTTCTGACAAGATCCCCAGCTCTGCTCATGCTGCTGATCCATGGCTTACGCTCTGAGGAGCACGGACAACACCGAATGCAAGTCTGTGAGATTACCCACCCCAAATCTCATGACGTGACGGAGTCACTCATGAAGGCTTATGGGAGATCCTTGTATTCGTTCACACATTTTAATCAATGAGACCAGTTTAGTCAAAGTGTCGTCAACCCCAGTGTGTATTAAACTTACCCAGAATTCTTGCAGCTCTGTTAGATGGCTGATGTTTTCAATCTTTTTGATTCTATTTGATGCAATGTCCAACATGGTGAGTTTGTTCTAAAAGAAGGAAATAAAATGTTTCCTGGATTACCTCAGATCAACAGTGACTTGCATGACCGATCGCACGGGTAGTGTCAGGCGCTGAGCTTAGGCCTGCAAACACGCTGCGCTCTCTGCCCTCACAGGGTAAGGGCGTACTACAGAGGGTGACGAGACTTGCTGCTTCCTGCAGCCTTCCCTGGGACAGTGTTTCCATCAGAGCCTGCCCAGCTACCTCCTTAAGCTCTTCTGATTGTTGGGATTTGAGACCGTGTTAGACTCCAAGCCCAGTGCTCCCAGAGACTGATGGTCCCAGGAAGAACCGAGTAACCCCCTGATGCTCTGAAGAAAGGTTGACAATTGCAGTAACATTTCTTCAGTGCTCATCATGAGGAAACGTACGACCAAGTAATCCTCAAAACAAAGTTCCTCTTTTCATTTAGGGATGAGGAACCTGGGGCTCAGCGGGGCTAAGTAGCAGTGGGAGAGGCAAGACTCAGACCCCAGGCCCACACTTCTGTTTGGGAAGAGGCTGCCAGAAGCACAAGTTCGGAGAAAGGAGCTGCGCTGAGGACCGGGTCCTGAGGACTGGGTGCTGGGCCTGCTGAGTACCTGCTGCAGGGTGTGTCCCTCACCGGGAGACTAGAGTGTGTTTTTAGGATCTTCTACTCTGAAAATGCACATCAGATACTCACTTTCCAATACACATGAGCTAAGCCTGGGCAATACTTTTCTCATAAAAAGGAAAACGTTTACAAGCTGCCTGAGGAGCTCGACAAAGTTAATTCCCTGCTTGGCCCTCATGCTCTGCTCCCTCCCAAGTCCCTTCCTTGGTTTTCTACCGCATTTTTTCGGTATTCTAATTCCAAAGCCTTCCAAGTTTTAAGGGAGCTTAAAAATGTTTCAAAACCAAGCACTCCTCCCCCAGCCTCCCCCAAAACGGCCCAGCCAGTGGCTTTCCCAATTCAAAAGCGCTATGGCCGTGGCCTCTGGCTGCACCACCCTTGCCGCCCAGTGCCCCAGCGGGCACCAGATGCGCGTGTCAAGTCGGATGCCTCTCCAGCAGGCTATGCATGACGTGCTGCCAGGGAGGTGCCTTCAAACCACCCCATCTCGGCGCCCTGGTCGGTTCTGCTCACAGAGTACCAACAGCCACAACGTGTGAGGGAGGAGCTCAGGGGGGCAGGTTCAGAGTAAAAAGAGCTTCAGGAGATGCTGCAGAAAACAGGACTGTGGGCAGTCCAGTGACACACTGCCTGGCGGCGGGGCTGGGACAGGCCTCTCTAGCACAGACGGCAGCTCTTCCCCTGAACCCTGCACCGTTCGGAGATGCTCATAGTCACCAGGTATGCAAGCCCAGAAACTGGCAAAATGAAAGTGGCCTGGAACACACAGCAGGATTTGAGCCTCGTGCATTCCAAAAACCAAGGCTCAGTAGGAGGGGCAGAGCTGGTGATGGGCTCTGGCTGTCAGAACTGGTCCCTGACCTCTAAGCTCAGGATTCAGTTATACACTCAACGCTATTTCACGTTTTTCCAGGGGGAGCTGGACAATGTGTGAAAACTAATCCAAAAGCAAACTAGTAAGAACTGCTTAAAAAATAGAAAAAAAAAAAAAAAAGGATGGAACAGAGTGAGGAGAGTAGGCACATCATAGGGCATGACAATGCTACAGAAGTTACACTTGTCAGGGGCCACGGCAAGCACATTCTAGACTAACAGGAGAGAGCCCAGAGCTGGAGGGGACACTGCAGAAGAAGACAGGAGTCATGAGGCCCTGGGGAGGGGCACTGTCTAAGTTCCCATCTGCAACAAAACTACATTTACTATCTTATTTCCCACCATAAAAATAAATTCCAGATAAATTAAGAGACAAAACTTAGGAGGAAGTATTTGTCTGATCTCTAGTGAAAAAATGGCAGAGCGAAGACTGTCACATTTGATCATGATGAAGATTACATAACGTAATTACCTTTAGTGCAACAATTTTTGTTTCTGTTTTGTTTCAGAGGCCCAAGAATGATCTGGTGTTTGACCAAGGCCGCCGTGTAGCACCCCTACTGGTAAGATTCTGAATTACACTTCTTTCCAGTTTCCCTGGGCCTGGCTGCTTGGAACGTGATACAGATTGTCTGTCTCCCGGTGGACGCCTGGTGGAGACTGCGGGGCCTTGGCTCAGGTGGCCAGAGTGCAAGAGGGCACTAGGGCTCCCTTGAGCATGTGCTCCCTGCTGTGCACCCCACCTGGTCCTAATCCCAAGCCCTTCTACATAGTCCCCAGTGCTGTTCCACCACAGGTATGTCTCAGCTTACCACTCTAAACCACACAGGTGAACGCTTGGTTTGTATGCTGGTTTTTTTTTGAGACGGAGTTTCGCTCTTGTTACCCAGGCTGGAGTGCAATGGCGCGATCTCGGCTCACCGCACCCTCCGCCTCCTGGGTTCAGGCAATTCTCCTGCCTCAGCCTCCTGAGTAGCTGGGATTACAGGCACGCGCCACCATACCCAGCTAATTTTTTGTATTTTCAGTAGAGACGAGGTTTCACCATGTTCACCAGGACGGTCTCGATCTCTTGACCTCGTGATCCACACACCTTGGCCTCCCAAAGTGCTGGGATTACAGGCTTGAGCCACCGCGCCCAGCCCTGTATGCTGGTTTTATAACCTTTTAATTTCACTGCAAAGTCAGAGGAAGGTGACCAAACTTTCTACAGGCAAATTTGAATTTTTCCAAAATTTTACGCAGGAGTTGGTGAAATTTACTGATGGGGACTAGGCCCTGGGGTTGAGGCACAAAGCCCTTTAATGAGATTGAAATGCTATATTTATAGACCAATCTAGTTATATTTGCTGGCAATTTAACAAAACAGAAAAAAACAAGTAAAATTGAATGAGAAAAAGTCTTTTATTTCTCTTGAACACTGCACTGGGACAAAGCAGGGTGGGCTGGAGGCAGCTGAGAAGAAGGGTGGGGCCTCTGTGGGCTGGGAAGTAGGGGCTGAGGCCAGTGGGGCCATCGGCAGAAGGTCAGTGGCCTAGAGGGGTACCAGTTACCCTCTGTAGTACAGGGGTCTTTATGAGCAGGTTGGGTTTGTTTTTTCAAATCTTGCAAAATGCCTGCAGTGCATGGTGGTGTGCAGCAGATGCTGCCCCACTGAGGGATCCTACAGACGCCTGTGCTGAAATTCCACAGAAAGTGTCAGCCCTTCAAGGCACACCCAGGGCAGAGGGCCGACAGGCACACAGCTACCGCACTTCTTCGTATGAGGAGGGGCCCCTCAGTTTTCGGGATGGAAAGGTCTCTCCGATAAACCTCTGGAGGAAGGGCATCTTCCTGACACTGGCACGAGAGGCCTGTGTGTGATGGCTGGCCAGCTGCCTGCCTGCCTGTTGCCCACCACCCACACGGCCCCAGACCGACAGCGGGTGTCTTACGTTGCTTCTCCAGGCCCTCGATGACCTCGATGCCGTTGTGACTGAGGTACAGCTCCCGTAGGTTCACCAGGCTCTGCAGACCCTCGATCTTCGTCAGCCGGTTGCTCTGCAAGAGGGAGAACACGCAGCCGTCAGAACAACGCAAAGGACGAGAGATGACGAGAGATGAAACGGCTTTTAGGAAATCTGAAGAATTCTAAGAATAGAGCATTTCACTTAAAACATGCTAGAATGGACTCAGGTAGAGAGAAAAAGAGGATCAAAATTTTGAGCTGCTGTACTGAGCTAAAATTCATGCATGGGAATCTTTTTTTTTTTTTTTTTTTTTTTTTTTTTGAGACGGAGTTTCGCTCTTGTTACCCAGGCTGGAGTGCAATGGCACGATCTCGGCTCACCGCAACCTCCGCCTCCTGGGTTCAGGCAATTCTCCTGCCTCAGCCTCCTGAGTAGCTGGGATTACAGGCACGCGCCACCATGCCCAGCTAGTTTTTTTTTTTTGTATTTTTAGTAGAGACGGGGTTTCACCATGTTGACCAAGATGGTCTCGATCTCTCAACCTCGTGATCCACCCGCCTCGGCCTCCCAAAGTGCTGGGATTACAGGCTTGAGCCACCGCGCCCGGCCCATTTTTTTTTTTTTTTTGAGATGGAGTTTCACTCTTGTCATCCAGGATGGAGTGCAATGGCATGATCTTGGCTCACTGCAACCTCTGCTTCCCAGGTTCAAGCGATTCTCCTGCCTCAGCCTCCCGAGGAGCTGGAATTACAGACATGCGCCACCACACCAGGCTAATTTTGTATTTTTAGTAGAGACAAGGTTTCTCCACATTGGTCAGGCTAGTCTCGAACTCCCGACCTCAGATGATCTGCCTGCCTCAGTCTCCCAAAGTGCTGGGATTACAGGTGTGAGCCACTGCGCCCAGCTGGAAATTACATGTTTTTTAGGTAAATAATTCATTGTTAGGCCAGGTGTGGTGGCTCACTCCTGTAATTCCAGAACTTTGGAAGGCCGAGGCAGGAACATCACCTGAGGTCAGGAGTTTGAGACCAGCCTGGCCAGCATGGTAAAACATCGTCTCTATTTTATTTTATTTTATTTTATATATATATACACACATACATACATATACATATAAAGACGGGGTTTCACCATGTTGGTTAGGCTGGTCTTGAACTCCCGACCTCAGGTGATCTGCCCGTCTTGGCCTCCAAAGTGTTTGGATTACAGGCATGAGCCACCACACCCAGCCAAACCTCGTCTCTATTAAAAACACAAAAATATAGCTGGGTATGGTGGCGCATGCCTGTAATCCCAGTTCCTCGGGAGGCTAAGGCAGGAGAATTGCCTGAACCCAGGAGGTGGAGGTTGCAGTGAGCCAAGATTGTACCACTGCACTTCAGCCTGGATGACAATAACAAAACTCCATCTCAAAAAGCAAACCAAAAAAAAAAAAAAAAAGAACTCATTGTTAAAAGATACACTTGGTGAAGGTTTACCTGAATTAATAAAGTGTAAAAAATTACTGAATATTTTAGAGTAAATTGATTCTTATTTTCTTTGTTGTTGTTGTTGAGATGGAGTTTCGCTCTTGTTGCCCAGGCAAAATCTTGGCTCACTGCAACTTCTGCCTCATGGGTTCAAGCGATTTTCCTGTCTCAGTCTTCCAACAAGCTGGGACTACAGGCATGAGCCACTATGCCCAGCTAATTTTTTTTTGTATTTTTAGTAGAGGCAGGGTTTTACCATGTTAGCCAGGATGGTCTTAATCTCCTGACCCTGTGATCACCTGCCTGCCTTGGCCTCCCAAAGCGCCGAGATTACAGGCGCTTACACTGTGCCTGGCAACTTTTTTTTTTTTTTTCAGATGGAGTCTTGCTCTGTCACTCAGGCTAGAGCGCAGTGGCACAATCTCGGCTCACTGTAACCTCTGCCTCCTGGGTTCAGGCAATTTTCCTGCCTCAGCCTCCTGAGTAGCTGGGACTATAGGCGTGCACCACCATGCTTGGCTAATTTTTGTATGTTTAGTAGAGACAGGGTTTCACCATGTTGACCAGGATGGTCGATCTGTTGACCTCGTGATCCACCCGCCTTGGCCTCCCAAAGTGCTGGGATTATAGGCGTGAGCCACTGCGCCTGGCCTTTTTGGTATTTTTTAATAGAGATGGGGTTTTACCATGTTGGCCAGGCTGGTCTTGAACTCCCGACCTCAAGTGATCAGCCTGCTTCGGCCTCCCAAAATGCTGAGATTACAGGCATGAGCCATTATGCCCGATCTAATAACTTTTTATAAAAATATTTTTAACTTTTTAGAGATGGGCTCTCACTACGTTGCCCAGGCTGGTCTTGAACTTCTGGGCTCAAGTGATCCAACTGCCTCAACCTCTCAAAGTGCCGGGATTTCAGAAATGAGCCACGCACCAGGCCAGGAACTTTTTAAAAGAAGCCCAACAAACTTCTGCATCACCAAGGGTTAAGAGTGGTTTTCACACGCCCCTCACTGCCAGTTGAGGGGATCAGCTATCACCACACTGGCCTTGCCCCACAGCTCTCTGTTCCACCTCACTTCAAGGGTCCAACTCTGCTAATTTGCTTCCAACGCAAAAGGTAAACACGAGCATAGGCACACTCAAGTGCTTACTGACTCCCAAATGCAGAGGTCTAACAGGGTTGATGTCCTCTGTGCAATGGAAGAAACTGAGCCAAACCCTTTAGGATTTGGAATAAGCTCCACCTTCTGAAGAAGTCCCCTTTGGCTAAAAACCATCTAGGACTGTTATTGGGTGGCGGGGGAGGCATGGAACTTAAGAATGACATTTTTTAGGAGGTCAAGGCAGGAGGTTTGCTTGAGTCCAGGAGTGCAAGATCAGCCTGGGCAACATAGGGAAACTCCTTCTCTACAAAAAATACAAAAATTAGCCAGGCATGGTGGTGTGTGCCTGTAGTCCCAGCTACTTGGGAGGCTGAGGGAGGATTGCTTGAGTCCAGGAGTGTGATGCTGTAGTAAGCTATGATTGCCCCTGTCACTGCACTCCTGCCTGGATGACAGAGTGAGATGTCTCTTAAAAAAAAAAAAGACCAGGAATAGTGGCCCATGTCTGTAAACCCAGGATTTTGGGTGGCCAAGGCAGGAAGATCACTTGAGATCAAGAATTAGAGACCAGCAGCCTAGGCAGCACAGTGAGACCTCATCTCTTCCCCACAAAATATTAGCCAAATGTGGTAGTACATGCCTGTAGTCCTACCTACTTGGCAGGCTGAGGTGAGAGGCTGGCTTGAGCCCGGAAGTTGGAGGCTGCAGTGAGCTATAACAGGACCACTGCACTCTAGCCTGAGTGACAGATAAAGACCCTTTCTCTAAAAAAGTAAATAATAATAACAATGATAAAAAAGAGAATTAAGTTTTTGCTTGGGTAAATAATAATAACAATGATAAAAAAGAGAATTAAGTTTTTGCTTGGCACATGTGTGTATGAAGTCTATGGCATCTAAGGTTTCAATGGCGCACTGATGGTGAAACAAAATGCCAGTTGTGAAGGCAATGAAGGATGAAATTAAGGCTGTGTTGGGCATCGCTGCCCTGCCAGAGCCTGCAGGAGCACCGTACCTGCATACTGAGGACCGTCAGGTTGGTGAGCGCATCCAGGTTCTGAAGTTTAGTAATTTTGTTTTTCCCCAAAAACAAACTCTCCAGATTGGTTAACGTGTCAATATTTTCGATTGCCTGTGGAAAGGACAGAACAGCAGTGAGTGCTGCAGTTGGCAGGCTGTGCCAGGCAGCCAGAGGTGCCTGGATGGGGGCAGAGCTGTCTGGGCTTCAGCTCTGAGGTGTGGGGCTAGTGGCATCTCTGCTAAGATTTCCACTGGAAATCTTATTTGAAGGCAGAATACATCAGTGGCAAATCCAAGACTGTCTTGAGCTCACGCCCAACCTTGGATTTTTTGGGGTTCTGAGGAGCAGTCTTAGAATCCACAGGCCAGTAGATTCCAAAGTCCCATCCAGTTCTAAATTTGTGAGCTGACACATTAACACATCAAGAGCCTCGGTCTCTTCAGAAGTGAAGTACGGGGCATTCTGGCCCCAAGTCTTTGAAATCTCAGGGCCCTCACTTAGGATTCCTGGGGGGCCCTCACCCCGCAGTGCTCTGCCCCTCTTGCCAGTTTCCACAACCTCCCGCACGGCTCTTCTGTGCTGCGACGGTGTGCTCTTCTATTCAACCATAAACCTCCAGAGGCAGAGACCACGCTGCCCCATCTGTCCTCCCCACAGTGACGCGCCTACAGCAGGCTGTTTAATGACTGTTTATTGATTTGACTTCAGTTTCTTTCCTCTGTCAGTTTACTCTCTCTCAGGACAAGTCATTCTTTAAATATTTCAGCAGACACAAAATAACCAGATGAGGTGCATGCTACTCAGGTGGGGACTCCAGGAGGGAAGCCGTGCTAATCCACACACCACAGGACTTGGCGGGGGTGCAGGCATCCTCACATGCTGAGCTGGCATTAATTTGTGATGAGCCACTGTTCCCTTGGAAAGTTTCATAGTGAGAAACTTGATAAAATGCGGACATCTGGGCTGCTCTCTTAAATGTGCTGCTTTGCTACTTGTGGCCATGAGATCTATAACAATAACTGCCAAGAGACTCTTGCCAAAACCACCCTCCCCTGGTTTGTATCCTGTCCAAGCTCTCGAGGGCCCAGGACAGACACAGCATGCTACAATACTTCCAGAAGCCAAACAGAGGGGCATCTGGGAACATGGGGCAGGGGCAGACGTGCTCAGAAACACCTGCTGGAGCCACTAAACAAGGCCAGGGGAAGCACAGGCTCTGTGCCATGACCCCGAATAGGAGCTGGGCATGGGGCCGCAGTGCTCTTCTAGCTGACAGACGTTCTCCTCCCTGCCCACGGGAACCCCCCCTCCTCTCTGCCTGGCAGATCCACCCCCAATGTCAGTGCTTCTGGGATGCCCTTCCAGGTTCCCCTCCTGCACATGACGGTGGTAATGAGTCAGCTGATGAAGGCCTGATCCTGCTTCTGTGGAACACCAGATCACCTTTCAAAAGTCTCTTATTTCCATTTTGTCCCAGGTTTTCAAGGTCAAATAGATCCTGGAGAACAGATCTAATCCTGTTGGGGACTGTGTCCCAGGAGTATGAAGCTGTCTAGGGAGGAAGGGCCAACTCAGCACTGCCTTTGGGAGTGTGTCAGCATCAAGACACTTTCTAAAGCCCCTGGTATATACATCAGTTCACTTCAAGTGACCACTTTGCTGGGCTTGGGAAACGTTCATCTCAAAGCAGCACTCCAGAGATGACCATGAGTAGGTTGAAGAGCAAGGCATTCAGGTAGGTTGGTTCATCTCGGGCAGAATGTAACTGGGAATGGTGTGATTTAGAATCATGATTTGGATGAAGAGCAGCTGAAATCTATGTGCAGAAGAAAGGCTAGACCACTCAGGGCTTACTGATACTGACTTTCGGTTAGCATTTCTTTAAAAATAATAATTTCCCTGTTCATGAAAAAAATCACTGCATCGTAAGAAAAATTAAGCTCACCATGCACTCTGCATACACCCACCGAGCCCACACACAACCCGTTAGTTAGCCGCCTCTCCCTGAATACACCGGTCAGGGCTGTCTGCACCTACCCGGATGCGGTTAGATCCCAGCTCTAGCATCTGTAGTTGATGTAAGTTGCTTAAGTTCTCAATTTTACTGATTTTATTGTTGACCAAGAAGAGTTTTTTCAGTTGTGTCAACTTGTCAACCCCTTCGATGTTTCTCAGCAGATTAAAAGAAATATCTAGTATCCTGAGAACAAGAAAAACAGTTAAAAAAATTACGTGAGTGGCCAGGTGCAGTGGCTCACACCTGTAATCCCAGCACTTTGGGATGCCGAGGCGGGTGGATCACCTGAGGTCGGGAGTTCTAGACCAGCCTGAGCAACATGGAGAAACCCTGTCTCTACTAAAAATACAAAATCAGCTAGGAGTGGTGGCACATCCCTGTAATCCCAGCTACTTGGGAGGCTGAGGCAGGAGAATTGCTAGAACCAGGTAGGCAGAGGTCGTGGTGAGCTGAGATTGTGCCACTGTACTTCAGCCTGGGCAACAAGAGCCAAACTTCGTCTCAAAAAAAAAAAAAAAAAAAAAAAAATTACATGAGGACAGGTTGCAGAGAACTCACAACCACCTTAGAGATGGCATCCCCGTCAGGAGACTGCAGTCACTACGGGGTGGGGATCTGACTGTGACCCTGCTAGCGCCTGGCTCACACTGATGCTATCATGAGAGATTTGGAGGCTGCCCAGGAGCCCATAGCATGCCAGGGGCAGCCTACAGGCTCCTGATGCCCTGGTTCCCAGCATGGTATTTGAGGCAGAAACTATGTTTCATTTACACTTATGCCCGTGACGAGACCTGGTACCAGGCTCTGCACACAGAAGGGACCTGATAAGTATTGAATTAGAAACAAAACAAAAATAATGAGCAACAAAGGGGCAAAAATCCAGGTAAAGTTGTAACTAGGATCTGGCTCCTTTTTAAATTTTAATTTTTGTAGACAGGGTCTTGTTATGTTGCCCAGGCTACATCAAACTTCTGGGTTCAAGTGATCCTTCCAATGTGGCCTCCCAAAGTGCTGCAATTACAGGTGTGCACCACTGCACCTGGCTGAGGACCTGACTCCTTATTTTAGAAATGTCACCTTTTTTTATTAAAAAAAAAAATTCAAAAGGCAACAGGAAATTTGGGATGAACGTTCTCCTCTACCGATCTCAGTATCCCCTGAATGGAGGCTTTCCAGAAGCCCCGCTGCATCCTTCCCACTGGAGATTCACTTTGCACGTCAGGATTGTCCAGGAAGGTGAAGAAATGCATGGAGCTGATCCGGCCTCCTGGATCCCTGAACATGGCAGGCAAAGGCCTGGGATTCGGATGCAGGGCAGGACCCTGTGGCAGAGGCAGCCTCTCGAGGGCCAAGAGCCAGCAGGGGGTTGGCTCTGGAGAGACTGGACACCCCCCACCCAGTGGCCTCCCCACCATGTTCTCCTATGGGTCTCATGACTCACTCCAGCTCTGTTAGCGCCTCCAGATTCTCAATCTTCTTGATCTGGTTGTCGTAAAGATCCAGCTCTCGAAGACTCTGTAGCTCCTCCAGATTCTCAATGCATTTAATTAAATTTTGGCGGAGGCAGAGAGTCTGGGGGATGGGAAAAGGACAATTGACACAGGCAAGGGGGAGGCCATGAGAAGGCCTCAGCTTGTGCTGGAGGACACAGGACAGGCCTTTCTGGCGGAAGGACGTGTCTTCATTCTTCTGCGGTTTCCTAGAAAGGCGCTGACCTTCGGGAGGCAGGTGGGCAAGGGCACCAAGCCAGAACTCCTCCACACACCCTAAGGATGGGCAGGAGCCCAAAGGGAGGCAGGAGGAAAAGGCGGGCCCCACGTGAGAGGCCCAGTCAGGGAGCGTGGCGTTGGCCTGGGGTGTGGATATCTGCCACTCTTGGCAGAGCCTAAGAGCCCTCGGTGGGCTCAATTTTGAGAGACAAATTCAAATGAGATGCATTGAGGGCTGTGGAATTAACTGAACACAGGCGCAGAAATGAGGCAGCCAGAGTCAGGGTTCCCTGGCCGCCGGAGCTCAGCAGCGATGACCCCAGGGCTGTGCCCGAACCCCCTGACTGCTGTCTCACACCCACTATGCTCCCAGTAGAGAAAGGCTTCCACAAGGTGGAGTCAGCCCCACCTCCCATAGGCTGGCACAAGGACCAGAGCTTAGGACTGACTGCTCGATTTGGGACTCATCCACATCCCACAGGTGGGTGTCATAGCTCCCTTGTGACAGTTCCTCTCACCTTCACTTTCTTCAGTACCTCAAATCCTTCAATCTTCCCAATGCGATAGTGATTCAGATCAACATCCTGAAACAAAGCAGAAATCTACACTCAGCTATAGCAAAGTGGCTGGAGACCTGTGTCCTAGAAGAGCAGTGATCAAAGGAGGCCTGGCAGTGGGCAGCGGTGGGGGAGGCAGTGCCAGGTGGGTCTGCAGCAGACAGATGTCAGTGACAGGGTGTGCTGTGGGGGCTCTTTGGTTTAGTGTTGACTTACACTTAGTTCTATGCAAAACCGACCCTTAAAATGACTGGCACATGGCATCTTTTTCTCATTCCCTAGATCCTGTATGCACAAAACATATGCCCAGGCTCTGAGGAGATGCACCCCATCCCCGTCCCCATCAGAGACACACTGTGGGCTCAGGAGGCCCAGCCTGGGGCCGTCGGGACCGCCATGTAGGATGTGATCACCAGACCCAGACAATGTATGAGTCAAAGGCATCTCATCTGCAACACAGTCCTCAAGGGTTGAACAGACATGGCATAACAATCACTGGCATGAAAAACATGAACCAGGGAACTATCTTTCTCATCTCATACAAGACAGCCTGACAGGCGGTCTGTCACTGCGCCTCCTAAGGCTGGGCTGAGCAGGCAGCATTACCTCCGCATCTCTGTCCAGGTTGATGGTCTCCATGTCCACAGGCAGCTCGTGTTCTTCTGAAAAAATAAGAAAGAGAGGCTTGTTTAGAACCCTGTTAACAGGAGTCATCGGTGAAGAGCTGCCTCTGGCTGAGATCTGGCGCTGTTTGGTGCCCAAGCCAGCTCAGACCCCGAGGAGGAGCTGATGGGAAGGCACGCCGAGGACCTGGAGAATGTGGAAGGGTTGGGCCCTGCTCTGACAGTACTGGCATTTTAAGCATCCTGAATTTCCTGAATTCAGATATTGGCAAAGGTCTCCAAACATCCATCTGTGCCTTTGAACTTCCTGAGAAAGGAAATGTGTTTTGAAGCTGCTGGTGGGAAGGAGGGGAGGAAGTGGCTGAGTGCAGGTGAGCAGGGCAGCACACTGCTTTTTCCATGACTCACCAGCAGCAGCCTGCCTCCTACACAGGCTCTCCCTTTTTGTTTGCGGCAACAAACTAGGCCATTAGGATCTAGACCATGCTGGGCACATCGGATGCTCAAGGATGGGCCTTTTATTGCTTTGGAAGGTGGCCCAGCATCTACAAACACTTCTCTCGGTAAAGAGCAAAACAAAACAAAACACAGTTTAACAGATAGGATCAAAGAGGCTCAGTGAATAATTTAAACACACTTCTCAACGGGGAGACTGGTGAACTCACTCCAGCGGAGAAGCCCACTGGATTTCATGAGGACTCTCCACCGCGGAGCCACCGCCTCTGTGCAAGGGGAGAGCGCTGCTCTCTCTGCTGGGGGACAGCCTCCTTGTGCGGCACTTCCTCACTTCATTTCATGGGAACCTACTTCAGCATATGTGCTGAACACACACAGATGCGCACACACACACACAAAGAAACAGACACACGCATGCACAACAGTGACATACACACACTCATGCAGACCCCAAACACACACACCCATACCCCTTAAAACACTAAACATATCAACAGTAATTCCTTAGTATCGCCAACTATTGTCAGTGTTCGCATTTCCTCAACTGTCTTGACATTTCTTCCCTGGTTTACTTGCATTATGACCGAAATAAGGCTGTATGTTGTGACTAGATAGTATTCCTCTTTTTAAAAAATTTTTTAAATTTGAATTTTTTTTAAGAGACAGGGCCTCACTCTGCAGCTCAGACTGGAGTACAGTGGTGTGATCATAGCTCACTGCAGCCTTGAACTTGTGGGCTCAAGTGATCCCTGTCTTAGGCTCCCAGGAAGCTGAGACTACAGGTGTGTGCCACCATGCCCAGCTAATTTTTTACAACCATGTTTTGTACAGCCAGGGTCTCGCTATGTGGCCCAGGCTGGTCTGGAACCCCCAGCCTCCAGTGATCCTCCCACCTTGGCCTCCCAAAGTGCTAGGATTATAGGCATGAGCCACTGCACTTAGGCCGGCATTGTCCTTAAATTTCTTTTTCCCCTTGCAGTGTTCTGTCTGTCTTGCAGTGCTTGTCCCAGTCTGGATCCTGTGAATTATACCTGTAGGATGCTTTCTTCTGTACCTCCTGTCATTGTCACTACTTCACAGGGCTGTAGGGGCTCTTACTGCACCTCTTTCCTAGAGCAAACATGCACTTGCCTCTGCAGGGGAGTGACCTCACACAGCTCTGGACCCGCATGCCAAGGCTGGCTCCTCACCTCACCTGCAGGCTTCTGAAAGGAGCACTTGACACCAGACCAGCTTAACGAAGTAAATGGTCCCACAAGGCTGAATTCAGTTTTTCCACTATGCCTTTTCTATAATGATCAACTGTGGCTAGTTAAAAATAATAATGTTTACTACAGTTTATCCATAACTTTACAGGATATCAACAAACCTCACGATGAAAAGGAACTGGAGGAAACCAAGAGATAGGATACAAATCCCTTCAAAAGACGGCGTCAAGCCACTGTTTGTGAGTTCTGGAAGTTGCACTGGAAGAGGCACTACAATGAAGGCAGGGTGCCCAGGTCATGTAATCTGAACCAGGACCCTTTGAGAGCAGAAAGCCAGTTACGCTGGGCCAGCAGGGACAAACGGGTTGTATGTGTCCTCAGGACACGTGGCCACATGGCTTTATGGGGTCTTGTTTGTAATGTATCCAGCACTGGCTGCCCACCCACCACTCAGAATGTCAGCTAACATCTGAAACAAGGTTTCCAGCCTAGAATACCCTTCTGAGTATATTACATATTCATCATATTTTAAAAATGATTTAGAGAAAATAGGTAGAAAGTAACAGTTGACATGATTACATTTGTTTGAATTGAATTTAAGACTTACATAGCCCCACGTGGTGGCTCACGCTTGTAATCCCAGCACTTTGGGTGCTGGGAGGCCGAGGTGGGCGGATTGCCTTAGGTCAGGAGTTCGAGACCAGCCCGGCTAACATGGTGAAACCCCATCTCTACTAAAAATGCAAAACTTAGCCAGGCATGATGGCGGGTGCCTGTAATCCCAGCTTCTTGGGAGGCTGAGGCAGGACAATCGCTTAAGCCTGGGAGCTGGAGGTTGCAGTGAGCCAGGATTGCACCACTGCACTCTAGCCTGAGTGACAGAGCAAGACTTTGTCTCAAAAAAAAAAAAAAAAAAAAAAAAAAAAAAAAAAAAAGACTTACATAAACATAGGTAGGAGCAAGTCTTGGCTTCTCTAAGGACTAGATATGCATATTCCCAGAAAATTTATAATCAGCTAGTCATCTGGAAGAAAAAACCTTGGATTTTTCCAGGCCAGGCCAGGTCAGCCGGTCTGCCTTGTAGCTACATGCCCCCGGCCAAGCTGCAGTCTCACTTTCCTCATCTATAACACATTACCGCACCAGTGCACTTAGAGAACATGATGACAACATCATTAGCCTGTGCTAGTGAGCCAGGGAAAGAAAGCACACAGCGCTTGCTCTGCCAACTCTCAAGTCCTCCATAAACACCCGATGTCTCAGCAGCACCCATCTGAGGATAGCGGGGGCTCCCACCACTCCACTGTCTGTGACTAAGTCAGGCGATAACGGAAGCCTCCATCCATCACTCCCACGCACTGCATTCCACCCACATCACTTCCAGAATATCAGCTCCGAAGTGCCAAAAAAGTAAGTGTGACTGGTACTTTTGTGGTCGTCTCCTTTTGCCTTAAAAGTGGGTTGCCATAGTTACCAATCATCTTTGCTGGCACAGAGAGCACAATGTTATTTTAAAAATTAGGTTTGTTTCTTGTATACAAATCTGGAAAATGCAGAATGTATAGATCCTTCTTAAACCTGTTGTTTGGACAGACTCCATTTAATGTGTTTTCTTTAGCAGGTAAAAGTACATACATGAATACCGTTTATAAACTTGCTTTTTAAAAAAAATCTCTAGAGGGACAGAACAATAATACATATAATTTTTTAAAAAAGGAAAATTAAAGTAGAAACTTGCTTTTTTTTTCTTGGCTCGTTACAACCTCCGCCTTCCAGGTTCAAGCAATTCTCCTGCCTCAGCCTCCTGAGTACCTGAGATTACAGGCACATGCCACCACGCCTGGCTAATTTTTGTATTTTTAGTAGAGATGGGGTTTCACTGTGTAGATCAGGCTGATCTCCAACTCCTGACCTCATGATCCACCTGCCTCAGCCTCCCAAAGTGCTGGTATTACAGGTGTGAGCTACGGTGCCAGCTTAGAAACTTGCTTTTTTTTTGAGATGGAGTTTCCCTTTTGATGCCCAGGCTGGAGTGCAATGGCACAATCTCGGCTCACCACAACCTCCGCCTCCTGAGTTCAAGCAATTCTTGCCTCAGCCTCCCAAGTAGCTGGGATTACAGGCATGTGCTACCATGCTTAGCTAATTTTGTATTTTTTGTAGAGATGGGGTTTGTCCATTTTGGTCAGGCTGGTCCTGAACTCCCGATCTCAGGTGATCTGCCCGCCTTGGCCTCCCAAATTGCTGGGATTATAGGCGTGAGCCACCACAGCCAGCCAAAACTTGCTTTTTAAACCTAATATCTTGGATATCTTTTTGTGTTCATATGACTTCTCTCATTCTTTTCAATATAAATTGATTTTCTAAGCAAATGAAAAGGTTTGGGCCATTGCTGGGGAGGGTGAAAAACCATCATTATGGGTGAGAACTTACTTTTATTATCTCCAAATTTATTCTGTTGTTATTCATTAAAACAATAAGAGGCAATTGGGCTATTTTCCACATAAAATGATTTTCCTAACATCTAGGCATTTTAATTAAAAATATTTTTTTTGAATTTTTATTTTTTTGAGACAGAGCCTCACTCTGTTGCCCAGGCTGGAGTGCAGTGGTACAGTCTGGCGTCACTGCAACCTCCACCTCCTGGGTTCAAGCGAGTCTCCTGCCTCAGCCTCCTGAGTAGTTGGGACTACAGGCGCATACCATCATGCCTGGCTAATTTTACTTTATTTTATTTTATTTTTGTATTTTTAGTAGATACAGGGTTTTACCATGTTGGCCAGGCTAGTTTCGAATTCCTGACCTCAAATGACCCACCTGCCTTGGCCTCCCAAAGTGCTGGGATTATAGGTGTGAGCCACTATGCCCGGCCACAATCTAGGCACTTTAGAAGTCAATCCTCAGGCCTAAAAAATGGTAAGGCAGGACGCAGAAATGACCTCTCTCAGAGATTAAAGGTTTCTATTGCTATGGTAGGACACAGAAGCATAGCAGTCAGCCATGTTTATTTCAAATCTCATTTCCTAAACACATGGTTAAAAAAAAAAGTTGTGGTTCTGTCTCCAGTGGCACACTAGTGTCAATATTCGTGCTAGGATTTGCCTTCAGTGGAACTGGAAAAAAACACATGCTTTTTGCAAATGCCATCAATGAGTCAGCCTGCCGAGGGAGCGCCTCAGAGAGCACACCCACCTGCCCTGAGGGCCCCTAAGGAACAGAGGAGTCCTTCCCCAGACCGACACACCGCCTACCCAGGGACAGACCGTGTGCAGCACAGCCACGCCTCCCAACCTGCGGATGTCCCTGACGGAGGGAGCTGGGCCTCGTACCTGCTGGGTCCTCCTCCCCCCGCTCCTCTCCATCCTTCAGGCTCTGTTCACTGAGGTCGGCCACGATGCCACTGCTGTGCCTCTTCCCTTCTTCATCGCCAGATTCTTCGGACTCGACCCGCCTGTCAACTGAACCCACACATGTCAGTAAGAATTTACATCCACTTTATGGGACTTTGAGGAGTATATAACAGACTAATACCACGTTCTAAGTAAAAAGGACTTCATTTAAGCATGTCTGTTGAATCCAGTCCAATGGAACATCTGAGTGTGTCCCAGGTCCCAGCACCACCTGAGGCTTACAGCAGCGGGGAGAATGGCGGCGGTGGGGGGGGGCGCTGGGGAGCAGAGTGTGGAGCCCATATGGATACTTAGGTGAGGAACAGACTTCTGCCCTCAAGGAGCTTGTGGAGAATTGCCCAGTGTTCTGAAAACCTTGGATCACCTATGATTAAATGCACTAATGGAACCAGTGCCTCTCACTTTCGGGCTTGGTGACCACCGCTGTGACCCTTCTGCCACGTACCTCCATCCATGCCCCACTATTCATTTGGCTAGGAAAACCAGCCAACTTCACAGGCCCACATTCTGAAAGAAATCAATACTAACTCAAATCAGACTGTGGGCAGGAAAAATCACTGAAGAGGAGGAAAATATAGCCAATAGTGCTGACCGCCCACAGAAAGCTCACTGGTGTGAAATTTATTGGACAGAGTGTTACCAACTCAAGGCTTTTAAAGGCTGATAAATATTTTTTGAATTGAAGAATAAGGCAATTCAATGTGACAGGTAAAAATTCTTTGGTAAGGTTGTCAAATAATTTTTTTTTTTTGAGGAGTCTTGCACTGTTGCCCAGGCTGGGGTGCAATGGCATGATCTCAGCTCACTGCAAGCTCCACTTCCTGGGTTCAAGTGATTCTCCTGCCTAAGCCTCCCGAGTAGCTGGGACTACAGGTGCGCACCACCATGCCTAGCTGATTTTTGTATTTTTAGTAGCAATAGGGTTTCACCATGTTGACCAGGATGGTTTCAATCTCTCAACCTTGTGATCCACCCACCATACCCTCCCAAAGTGCTGGGATTATAGGTGTCAGCCGCTGCGCCCGGCCCATTTTTCCTTTTTATAACTTTATTCATGACCTCTTTTTCAAGTCTGTCTGGAAAACATGAAGCACTAACACATTACTTGGAATTATCAACCACACTGAAAATACTCTCTTTGCTGACTATGGTTTATCTACAAAGAGATGTACTCTTTGAGGGAAAGAGTTCAATTTCATCTTTGTATTTCCTGCTTAGCCTAGTAGCAAGGTAAAACCCAAGAAAGGACTGCTAAATAAAACAAATCCTTAAAAAAACCCACCTCCAAAACCTCCAGATCCATCTCTTCTTCCCTACCCGGGCAATGACAGTGGCTCAGTTACTTATTAGCTGCGGCCTGGGCTCCTGGTCTGCCTCCTGACTCGTCTCTCTATGACTTGTCTTGCCCTGTTGATCCATTCTCCATTGCCAGAGAGTCTGATCTAATTCTAAAATCCAAATCCGAGCTTTGAGTCCAAAAGTATTTCTAGAATGCTCTTTCTGAGTTTGCTGCTGGAGATGCAGCTTTGGCAAGTCACCTCCATTTCAGAGTCTCAATCTCCCAGTCTGTGGAAGGGAGTTAGCATAGAACTCATACCTCAGCGAGTCGCTGTCAGGGTTAAATTAGAAAAGGCACCGGTTAGCATGTACATGACATGCAGTAGATATTTAACTAGGCACAGGGCACTCGGTGGTCCACGCTTAGGGAGAGAAAGTTCTGCTGAGTGACAGGCTGGTGCAGAAACCTCATGAAGGGGAGGAGGGGTGAGAGGTTAGGAGAGGCTTAACTAATGAATGCTAGCCAAAGTGAAATGAAACCTGACGGCAGCAGGGAGGGTCTGGAACAAGGGACAGTGAATCAGCATGTAAGAAAATTACTCTGGTGTACTGGGGATGAGGGGCTGGTGAGTAGGGGCAATCAATCTAGCCTAGAGATGACGAAGGTCTGAGTTAAGGTACTGGCAATGGGAATGGAGGAGGCATCGAAGATTTGGAGATATTTTTAAAAGTAGAGGTGTCAGAGCTCCTTGACTAATAGGACACGGGTGGGAGTGGGGCAGAGAGAAAAGCTGGGCTTTTATATTTGTCATTTACTAAGACACGGAAACACTTGAAGAGGGGGTGGGAGGACACAAAGAGGCACTTCTTTCTTAAAAAGCCTCAAGGGTATAAAAGTCCAAGACCCTTAACAGCACATCCCGATCACAGATGACGTGGTCAAACTCTCTTCCACACCCTTTGACTGCAGTTTTCTTGGCCTTGAGAGATTCTTGCTCTTTTCCCTCACCCTATTCCCAACCTCGTCGCCTTCGAGTTATTCTTCAGGCCCCAGCTCAGAGCTGGCCTTGCTCTGCAGCCGTCACCACTTCCAAACATGTCAGCCCTTCCTCCTGCGCCCACCCTCCTCCCCCAGCTCCACATTCCTCTTCCCTGCCACTTTCACACGAGGCAGTGACTGCTCTTCTGCGAGGTCTGTACCCCTCACCAAACCATGGGACCCAAAAGCATTTAAGCACTCGACGACTGATTCCCAGCTGGCGGTAGCCGGGTGTGTGCACGCACGTGTATACACATACTGTGCCCGCATGTATACGACTGTACCTACGGACATGTATACATACACATATGTGCATCTAATTTTTTTTCAACAAAGTGAATGAGGAGGAAGAAAGTTGAATTTTGTCTTTTCGGAACTATGAGAGCTTTGAAAACAGGCATCACCTTCCGAAACTCAATCTTCTGGTTCCTTGTTGCCCCTTCGCAACAGTCCATTCGATTTCAAGAGAAGACCCTTCTCCACCCTCGCCACGTGAACCAAGGAGCAAACTCTGGTAGGTCCCAGCGCCCGGAGCCTCAGTTTCCTCGTCAGCTGACCGAGGACGCTCCCCCGCCTGTCAATCTCAGAGGCTCGGGGCGAGGCTCCAACTGGACCGAATGGAGCCACCGCGTCCCATTCAGCCCCACCCCCGGCCTGGCCTCGCGCCGCCGCTCTCCCCCTAGCTCTGGGTCCTTCCTGGCCGCTGCCGCCCTCGGGCCAGGGCTCCCTTAAGTCCAGAGCCTCCCCCGCTCCCCCGGGTCCGGCTGTCAGCTGTCAGGGGGCCGCGGGGCGGCGACCGGAGGCGGGACGTGGAGTTTCTTTCAGGCACGGAGCAGTTCCGGCCCGCAGCTCCCCCCGCCCGCCGGGCCTTTGGGCCGCCGCCCGCAGGGGCCGCTCACCCTCCATCATCTCCTGCGACTGTTGCTGCCCCGCGCCGCTTTCCGCCGCCATGTTGGCTGCTCTTCCCCTTTCCGGAGTCTGTCGCCTCAGGTCCCTCAACCAATCAGGGCTCCCGCCTCAGAGTCGGCCCAGCCAATGGGATTCCGGCGCGGCGGCTCCAGCAGCGGCGGGCCTGCGCGGGCCCAGCGCCTCATGGGAGTTGTAGTTCCTTCACGAAGCCCCGCGCCGCGCCTCCCCCGGGGCAGGTAATTTAAGGCAGCGGAGCCGGAGCAGTCTGGAGGCGAGAAACTGGGAAGGAAAGCAGGGGGAGTCGAAGCGGGACGCACAGAGCCGTGGCTGCCAGCGGACGGAGAGGACGTCGAGGCAGAGTGGAGAGACGCCCTGGGCTCGAGGATTGACTTATGTCCCTGTCTGGACCTCGGAGACGTGGAGGGGCCGCGGGCCAGGCGGATCTCTCCGTGGCTGCAAGTTGCGGGCCGGTCCCACGTGCATCCCTGGCCTCTGCGAGCCTCGCTGGCTGCGTCTGTACAATGGGCCGAAGGGCAAAAGCAACAACATTCTCCCGGCGTCCCCGCGCGGATTTTCCCCGTGCGAAAGTCTGCCTTCTTGTGACGCTCAGAGCAGCCGGGTAGGTGCGGGGCACGCGCTGCTGGGGCCGCCAGGCGGCTGGCCGGTTCCGGGGCTCCAGCTGGGCTCCCCTTGCCAGCCGTTCCCATCCCAGCGCGGACGAGAAGCTGCAGTGGTCGTCCACCCGCGGAGCCTCCCGGCCCGTAAGCGAGCCGCCCCGTGTCCTCCGCCTTCAGAGAAAGGCCGCCGAGGGGCGAGCTCTGTGCTACTCACCCTTTCTGATCCCGAGACCGGAGGAAACCGCGTCTGCCCGGCCGGGGGGCGGGGGCGCCCATGCCTTTTGGGTCCTCCGAAGCGCCGTAGGGGGTGTCTGGTGCGTCCCTAGCAACCGTTAGCGCGGGCTTCTGGACGCCGGCTCTCTTAGTCCCGCCCACAAGCGCGAGTGGTTGGTCCTTGGAGCTTGTCCATCGGCGCGAGTCGCTGTGCGATTGGCCGGTGGGATAGAAGCGCGCAGGGGCTCCCTTCCGCGGTGTGAGGCCGGCCCGGCGTGACCCTCGCCTGACCCAGGTGAGATCCTGCGCCGGGGAGAGCCGGCCGGGCGCCGCCGTCTCCCGACGGCCGCCGTGGGGCCTGCGCGGCCCTCCGGCGAGCCCGACTCCGGGTCTCCGGCGCCTGCGCCCCTCGCGCCCCGCCGAACCCGCGTCGTGTCCGTGCTCCGGCCGCGGCGGGGTTGCGGCCGTTGGCCTCGGGCCCCGCGCCCCCTGCGCCTTCGGGGCTCCGGTGTAGCCTGTCCGGCGGGAGAGCCGCCGCCTGCGCTGCGGTGCGGGCCCCAGGAGGACCGGCCCGGATCCCGCCGCGTTCCCGCGCTCGGGGTGCCCGCAACCACGGGGCTTGAGCCTCTCTCCGGGATCCCAGCGCGCCGCGGGGCCTGCGCTGCGGGCTCGAGGCCCTTCTCGTCCTTACCGTCCACGTCTCAGGACACCCGGCCAGTTCGACGTCGCTTCTCCTCTGCGGAGTTCCCTCTCTCCGTCTTTCTGCTGCTGCCTTAAGACTTTCTGATTTCTGGCCTGGGTTACTGTAACCTTTCTCCTGGTTTCCAGCCTTGCCCCGACGTGGGCCCGGGAGAAGTCTTTGTAAAGTGGGTAGCTGGCCATGTTCCTCCTAAGCACTGAATTCTTAAAAGTCAATTTTTGGGGATAAAATTAAGACTTTTGGGGCAGACGTAGGAGGGTCTGGGCTCGTGCTCGGCCTCTGCAGGCCCCCGTCCACCTTCTCTTCCGCGCACTGAGCTCGGCTCTGGGCGCGTTTGCCTCGCTGGGCTTCTGAAAGGCTCCTGCACTCTGCCTGGAAGGGCTCGGCTCTGCAGGTGCCTCCTCCGGGACTGACATCCTTGCTGAGTTCTGCTCCACTGTCCACCTCGTTGGCCTCATCCTGAGACTGCTCCTGCTTTTTGTTGTGCAGCTGTGCTGGGAGCAGTGGGAGCCGTTTGCTTCCTAGCTTATGTTCTGGTGGGAGAGAGACAGTTGCTCCTGGAAGTTCCGCGAGATGCTCCCTGCAAAGCTGTCCTTGCTTCTGTTTGGTCTGAGGTGGGGTCACTTGTGTCTTCTGGAATCAAAACTAGCAGTGGGAATGCGGTTACTCAGTGGTAGCATTAGATGCTGTCTGCTGGGTTGGGTTCCCATGTGTGCTGCTCACGGGATGCAAAGGACAGTTCTAAAAATCTGAGCCTGGACTTGCAGGCATTTCTGGTTTGTATTTGAGTCCAAATTTAGTGAGCTAAGGTCATATGAAGCCGGCTCTGTTCCCTCCTGAGGCCAGGCTGTGGCCGTGGAGTGCACGGGAGGCTCAAGGGCCGATGTTGCTCAATGACACGCTGGCGCACGTGGACCTCACATCCAGGAGGCACAGAGCGAAGAAAGAGGCATCTTTCCTGCCGTCTTCCCCACTCCCGCAGGACAAAAATTGCATGCCCTTACCCTTCCTTTCCATCTCACCTTAATTACTTTTACAAAGAAACTTTTGTAACATTTACAATATATTCTGAACAGTTATACTACTTTGTTATTTTATCTTTTGAGACAGGGTCTTGCTCTGTGCTGGAGTGCAGTGGTGCGGTGTCCTCTCACTGCAGCCTCTGCCTCCTGGGCTCAAGCCATGCTCCCACCTCAGCCTCCCAAGAAGCTGAGACTACCAGTATGTGCCACCACACCTCACTTATTTATTTATTTATTTATTTTTGTAGAGATGGGGTCTCCCTGTGTTGCCCAGGCTGGTCTTGAACTCCTGGGCTCAAGTAATCTACATGGCCTCCCAAATTACTGGGCATATTACTTTTTAAAATAAAGATTTCTAACATTGACATTTCAGTCTGACGAGTTACATTTTTAAGGAATTAACGTTTTCTAACGTAATGTATTCTGAAGAGTTGTATTATTTTTTAAGAAACAAATTAAGGTTTTACAGCAGTTAAGTGCATTCTGAAGCTCTAAATAGGTGTCCTGAGCTTTGTCTATAGGTTGGTTCTAAAAGTAGAAAAACTGCCCCCCACTATAATCATGTCATTGTTATTTATATTGTAGCAATAATTAGTGCCGTTCAGATGCTTAGAGGAGATGTCAGCCTGTGACTAAAGGTCCCATTCAGTGTTGCTGTTTGAAGGAACACTGCACACTTGAACCCCAAACTCCGTATGTTATTTCTTCCTAGCCTCCTATACATCTGCGGGTTTGTGGAGCCTTTCCCTCCTAGGGTCTTAGGCTGGGTTTGTGTGTAGAATGTCTGAATTTTTTAGTTTTGTCAGTTGATTCATACAAAAGAATAATGGCAATATTAGTCTTGAATTGTACCGGCAGAGTGGATGCATTTGAATCCTTCACCCAAATCAGGAAATCAGGGGCCTGTGTCCTTGTGCCTCGTCCCCACTTCAGCGTCTGCCTGACCCCGAGGGAGCCACCTGCCTCAAGTTAGGTTTACCAGACTCTTGTTTCAGAAGTAGTTTAATCACATAGGTGTGTTTCCCTGAACTACTTATTTAGATTGTTTTATAACAAAGGAATCCTCCTGCTGACTCTCTTCTGTAACTTGCTTTTTTTCCACTTGTTATATGGCTAAGATTCACCCTTGTGGCCGGGCGCGGTGGCTCACGCCTGTAATCCCAGCACTTTGGAAGGCTGAGGCGGGTGGATCACGAGGTCAAGAGATCGAGACCATCCTGATCAACATGGTGAAACCCTGTCTCTACTAAAAATACAAAAATCAGCTGGGCATGGTGGCGCACGCCTGTAGTCCCAGCTACTAGGGAGGCTGAGGCAGGAAAATTGCTTGAACCCCGGAGGCGGAGGTTGCGGTGAGCCGAGATCGCGCCATTGCACTCCAGCCTGGGTAACAAGAGCGAAACTCCGTCTCAAAAAAAAAAAAAAAAAAAGATTCACCCTTGTGTGTAGTTCATTTGTTTTCACTGCTGTAATTCCTAGTATGAATGTACCAGAATTTAAAATCTGTCTTCTTGCTGACGAGTGTTTGGGTTGTTTCATTTCCTTTTCTCCTCCTTCTCTCCCTCCTTCCGTTTCTTCTCCCCTTTTGTTCTGCTTGGCTTTGCCATGGAGAACCTGACTGTCCTGAACATTCTTGTGTCTTCTTATCTGTGTGTAAGCATTTCTCTGGAATATAAATCTAAGTGGAAAGTGCTATATCCATATAGATAAATGCTTGACCGAATTGCTTTCTAAAGAGATTATGTTAATGTAGTTAAGAGTTCCTGTTGATCCAAATCCATTCTGACATTCGGTATTATTAGATTCTTAATTTCTGCTGACTTTGTAGGTATAACATCATCACGATTAGGATTTTGTCTCCTGTGAAATGCTTGTTCCTATTTCTTGTCATTTTTCTGTTGGACCATGTGTCTTTTAAAAATGTTTAAACTTTAAATAGGTTTGGTTTTTTTTTTTGAGACTGAGTCTTACTCTGTTGCCCAGGCTGGAGTGCAGTGGTGTGATCTTGGCTCTTTGCAACCTCCACCTGCCGGGTTCAAGCGATTGTCCTGCCTCAGCCTCCTGAGTAGCTGGGACTACATGCACATGCCACCATGTCTGACTAATTTTTGTATTTTTAGTAGAGACAGAGTTTCACCATGTTGTCCAGGATGGTCTCGATCTCCTGACCTCATGATCCACCAGCCTTGGACTCCCAACGGGCTGGGATTACAGGCATGAGCCACCACACCTGGCCTAAGCCATTGATCTCGTAGAGGTATTCTGGATATTCTCTGTTGGTTATGTATGTGGCAAATACCTTCTCCTAAATTGTGGCTCATTCTTTCATTTTCTTTATGGTGTTCTTTGTGAACCTTTATTCTCAATTTTAACGTTACATTTATTAATCTGTTTTTTTATAACTAGTGTTTTTTGTGCCTTGTTTGAGAAAGCTTCCCCTACCCTAAAGTCTTTCAGGTAGTCTCTCTTCTTCTAAAATGTGAGTGATTTTATTTTAGACTTTGTTTTCTTTGGTTTGACAGGGTCTCGCTTTGTTGCCTGCGTTGGCCTCGATCTGGGCTCGAGCAGTTCTGCCTTAGCTTCTAGAGTGGCTGGGACTACAGGCGCAGGCCATGAGGCTTGCCTGGCTAAAAGTTTAGTGTTTTGACTTCCACAGATCAGGTCTTTTATGCCCTGGGCAACATAGTGAGACCTCATATCCTAGTTAAAAAAAAAAACATGAGCCGGGCGCGGTGGCTCAAGCCTGTAATCCCAGCACTTTGGGAGGCCGAGGCGGGTGGATCACGAGGTCAAGAGATCGAGACCATCCTGCTCAGCAGGGTGAAACCACGTCTCTACTAAAAATACAAAAAATTAGCTGGGCGTGGTGGCGCGTGCCTGTAATCCCAGCTACTCAGGAGGCTGAGGCAGGAGAATTGCCTGAGCCCAGGAGGCGGAGGTTGCGGTGAGCCGAGATCGCGCCATTGCACTCCAGCCTGGGCAACAAGAGCGAAACTCCGTCTCAAAAAAAAAAAAAAAAACATGGCCACGTGAAGACACATAGACACAGGGAGCAGCTCTGTGATAGCGAAGGTATAGATGGGAGTGACACAGGCACGAGTCAGGCACATCAAAGATGGCCAGTGGGCCACAGATGCCAGGATAAGGCAAGGAGGGGCTCCTTGGAGGTCCATACTGAGAGAGGTGGTGTTGGGAGGGCCAGCCCCCCTTTCCTTTCCACCCAGGCCTGCCCTGTCCTGGAAGGGCCTCATGTGGGCATCCTGCAGGCTTGTCCAAGTTCGCTGTTCCTGGAAGGCTTCTCCTCAGCCAGTCACCAGTGTAGGTGTGGGAGGATCTGGGTGGGCAAAGGCTGACGTGGGCCTTAGAAGTGGGCACGAGGCCCTTTGGTCGGGAACTCTGGGTTCTGGGTAACCAGCATGTGGTCGAGAAGAGGGGATATGGGACCTGGGAAGCTTGCCTGGGCCCCAGGGTCTCCTCATTTCGTGGAGGAAACTCCAGTCGTGGTTCTGGTGCTGGCCAGAGCCTCTTCTCGGTGTTTATCTGAAATCTGGATGACCGGGTGGGCGCCTTGCTTCCTTCCAGTAGAGGAGGTCTTCTTGCTTAAGGGCTCTTTTTGTTGAGTTTGGCCGTGAGGACGGGGTGTTGGTACATGTGCACCTACGTTTCAGGTGCTTGCCAGTGTTCAGGATGGGACTCTTCAGTATCTCCACTCTGCAGAGTGGTCACATGAATGTATGCATGTGACAAGATTGCATAGAACACATGCTTACGCACACGCACATGCTTACTCGCGCACACGCACACACACGAGCAGGTAAATGCTGTGAAATCTGGACGAGGATGATGGATGGTATCCAATCCGTTTCCTGGCTGCGACACTCTCCTGTGAGATGTCACCACGAGAGGAAACTCAGTGAAGAGTATGTGAGATTTCCCTGTATTTCCACCCTGTATCAGCATTTGAATCATGTGTAAGAGAAGCTAAAAATACAAATCTCCGGTGCCAGGCCTGTCTCTAGGAGATGTGACCTCTTGGCCACGGCCCCTGTGACCTCAGTCGCTGGCAGCACTCAGGTGATTCTGTGTGCAGCTGGTGGGGTGGTGGGGACTCACTGTGTAGGGGAGAGCTGCGGCTGTGGGAGCTGTGCAGCCCCCGCATGCCGATGGTTCATCTTGACCCGGGGGTATTTCCTGTCCTGTGCTTCGCGCATGGCTCCTTCCCAGCGTTCTTTGTTTGCCCTCTCTCCTCTGTCTTTCCCATACCTTCCTATGTATTTTTCTCAGAAAGAGCTTTTAGCACCACTCTGGGTGGACTGTTGTCCCCTCGCAGGCTCTGACCCGGGACGGCAGTCGGCTGTGTAGGTCCTTTGGGACCGAGCTTAACTCAGCATTATGAGTGAGTTGGTTAAACTGTCTTTATGTTCCTGCATTGCTGATGCTCATCAGGTTCACGTTGTTTTCTAGTTGTTGCTGGAGGTGGAAGCTTGGCGATTTGCCTCCCTTCTTCCCATGGAGGACAGAGGTGTAACGGCCTTTGAAGAGGACCAGAGATGCCTCTCCCAGAGCCTCCCTTTGCCAGTGCCCACAGACGGCCCAGCTGCTCAGACCCCTGTGGAGCCCAGCAAGTCGTTTTCCTCAGCCCACAGACAACTGGGCAGAAGGAATGGGCTTTCCAGACTCTGCCAGAGCAGGATGACGCTCTCCGGTAATGACCTTCAACATTTCAGGCCTTAGTGCGGAAATACAAATACAGAGTTGCTGTGTTCTCATGGAAGCCTCTCAGCAGTGATTAAAGTCGCTTACTCTGTTTCTGCAGAGAGAAAATTCCCCATTAGGTGCTTGGCTTGCATTGGCAGATGACTCCGGCAAGACCCTTCCTGCCGCTTTGATTCTGCTGTGATTGCCAGGCAGCTGGTGATCCTTTTCAGGCAGCAGGTGGAACTCACCTTCACATTTCAGGGTCAACTTACAGCAAATGTTGTTTCTTACTTCAGAGCGTGTGAGAACGCCTTTCTAGGCTAGGCTGTTTTACTAGGAAATGCGGCTTTGCTCATGCATTTACTGAGCTAAGTGCAGTTTAGCTCAGTAATATTGAATGACTCACTGCTGCACGTGTAGGCTTTCCGCTTGGCCACAGACAATTAAGACAGGGTCCCTCCCCTCAGGGAGGTTTTTGCGACACGACAAGCACATGGCTGCTGACTTCAGGAGGCAGGTGGAGGCGGGCTGAGAGGTGTGGGGCAGTGATTTCTCCAAGAGTCTGCTGCCTGCTATGTCCAGGCACCCCAAGGGTCTGGGCCACGCTGAGGAAGAAAGCGTCACTTGTCTTTGAAGGGCTCATTGTCCGATGAAGGCAGCTAGGGAGACAGCCGGCTGTGTGCTCAAAGCTAGGGTAGGCTTGGAAAGGGGAAATGCTTTGGGATGACAGAGGTGGGCACAGAGCTGCAGGACATGGTGCCCGGGGTCTGGTCTCCAGGCCGAGGAGCACTTTGACACTGGAGGGAGGAGGGTGTCAGCTGAGTGTGTGCACTGGGGTGTGTGAGGGCGTAGAGAGGAGGGCCCTTCAGGGAACACCTGGGATCCTGCAGGGAGGCTGGGCTGGGTGGTGCACGGCCCTCAGGAGTGGGCTTCACCCGGGCGGTGATCAGGAGTGTTCTCAGTATCGACAGGTGAGTTCCTTTTTTGCAGCATCATTCTGGTGGCTGCATGAAGAGTGGGGTGGGAGCCGGAGGCACAAGCCTTGAGACAGGAGGAGGAGCTGTGCTTGGTGACTGCTGTCCAGGAAGAGGAGGGGCGAGAGAGTGGCTGGACAGCCGTGTGGTTTCCTGCCTCTGTGAATGGTCCGCGTAGGGCCACTCATTGAGAAAGTCAGGGGTCCTGGATGAAGGACACGGAGGGGAGGGGAAGCGGAAGGGCCAGGTGTTGCATGCTTGGTTTTGAGCACGGGAAGAATGCAGCTGGCGTCTCCTGAGGTGGGAAGAGGGCGAGTTGGCCGTGGGAGCCCTGGGGAGGGGTCCAGGCTGGAGGTGTGAGCGTGGGAGTCATGACTCATTCCTAGTTCAGATGAGTTTAAAGCTACACTAAGTTGGTGAGATGGAGCCAGGGTCACTGAGAGGTGAGAGGGTGGGAGGTGGGGGAGCCCAGGTGCCCGGGGAAGGTGGTGTGGGAGGAGGGGGAGGCCTGAGGAGTCACTGCGGGGCCGAGTGTTTTGGGAGCCATTGGCGGTGTTGCTGAGAGCAGGTTGGAGTGGTGGGACATGAAGCCGGCAGGCCAGTGAGAACACTGCATAAGGACCTCCTGAGTCACAGGTCGCTTCCAAGGAGTGAGTGACAGGCGGCTGCCGGACGGGCCATGGGGTCTTGGAATGACTTACAGAGGACAGAAAGTGGGAAGGAAGGAACCTTCAAGTGTGGTTAAACTTTTTGGAGACAAGGTCTCACTCTGTTGCCCAGGCTGGAGTACAGTGGTGCAATCATAACATAGTCTTAAACTCCTGGGCTCAGGTGATCCTCTTGCCTCAGCCTCCTGAGTAGATGGGACTACAGGTGCACACCACCATGCCAACCTAGTTTTTAAAAATTTCATTTTTAGTAGAGGTGAGTTTTCCCTGCATTGCCCAGGCTCATCTTGAACTCCGTAACTCAAGCAACCTTCCTGCCTCAGCCTCCCAGAGGCTGAGATCCCAGACGCGCCTGGCTTGCAGTGTGATTTAGACACAGAAGTGTTGATCTTGAACTGTTTGTGCTTCCGAGCGGACCTGGTGGTTGCCTGCCTGGATTCTGGGGACCATGTTCAGACATGTAGTGTGAGTGTGCACTAGCTGTGCAGATGGACTTCATCCTGGCATCTTTTTGCAGGAGTTGAGGGCAAGGGCTGTATGCTTGGCCTGTTTCAGAAGTGGACTCTGGCAGCTGTGTGAAATCTAAAGCTTTGCTTCGCTTCTCTTTCCAGAAGACAGATGGAGCTCCTACTGTCTATCATCACTGGCTGCCCAAAATATTTGTACAAGTAAAGTGCACTGCCCTGCTGCCCCTGAGCACACGGACCCAGCCGGTCCCCAGGGCAGTGTGTCCTGTTGCTCCCTGCTGCGGGGACTGTCTTCAGGGTGGTCCTCACCCCTGCTTCCGGCCCCCGTGTGCAACCCTAACAAGGCCATCTTCACCGTGGACGCCAAGACCACAGAGGTATTTGCTTCTGTTTTAGATCCAGCTGTATAGATGTAGATTTGGGGTTTGTGCCTTAAGCCTGGAATGCGTGTGTTTTAATGCAATTAGAAAAATACTGGGGGCTGGGCGAGGTGGCTCACGCCTGTATGCTCAGCACTTTGGGAGGCCAAGGCGGGTGGATCATGAGGTCAGGAGATGAGACCATCTTGACTAACACCGTGAAACCCCATCTCCGCTAAAAAATACAAAAAATTAGCCAGGCGTGGCAGTGTGCGCCTGTAGTCCCAGCTACTTAGGAGGCTGAAGGCCGGAGAATTGCTTGAACCCAGGAGGCGTAGGTTGCAGTGAGCCGAGATGGCGCCTCTATACTCCAGCCTGGGCGACAGATCGAGATTGTGTCTCAAAAAAAAAAAGAAAAATATTTGGGTAGTTTGGGAGGTGTGAGGATTGTTTGAACCCAGGAGTTCAAGACCAGCCTGGGCAACGTAGCAAGATCCCATCTCTACAAAGAAATTAGCCAGGGGTGGTGGAACACACCTGTAGTTCCAGCTACCTAGGAGGCTGAGGCAGGAGGATCGCTTGAGCCGAGGAGTTCCAGGCTGCAGTGAGCTATGATTGTGCCAATGCACTCCAGCCTGGGCAACAGAGTGAGACCTTGTCTGTCAGGAAAAGGCTGGCTTCTGCGTGGTCCTCCTGAGTGCCTGGCTGTTCTCAGCAGCTGGTGGAGCTGCTGGGGATGTCTGCATCTTTGCTCTTATTTGTAACTCCTCAGATCCTGGTTGCCAATGACAAAGCTTGCAGCCTCCTGGGGTACAGCAGCCAGGACCTGATTGGCCAGAAGCTCACACAGTTCTTTCTGAGGTCAGATTCCGACGTGGTTGAGGCCCTCAGCGAGGAGCATGTGGAGGCTGACGGCCACGCTGCGGTGGTGTTTGGCACAGTGGTGAGTGGATGTGGGTGCAGCACTTGGTTGGGCCTCAAGACCAGCAGCCCATGGCAGGAAGAGCTCAGCGTTCCCCACCGGAGCTCTGCAGGGTGGCCACCTCAGCTTCTTCAGCTGCAAATGTCATCCCAGGGGCCGTTTCCCTGCTTCAGCTGCGGCGGGAAGGGGGGCCCTTAAAAATGAATCATCATGGGAATGGACCCTGTGACTGTGGCTGGCTCCTGGGGGGTGTCGTGGGGTGGCCCCTGCTGTGTTTGAGGGCTGTCCAGGCCCTACATCGGATTCTCAAGAGTGGACGGTTTTATTGTCTATTGATTTTTACATCACCATGTGTACATTCTGTTTGGGTTTGTTGGAGTGGGCAGGGGGTGGGCCTGAAAGTATTTCCCTAGACAGTGCTGACTCTCACCTTTGCCGTGTGCCCTACCTGGACGTTGACAGGTGAGCTGAGTTGGATGTGGAAGACCCAGCCCAAGGCATGGAAAAAGCTTAGGACCAATTGTATCAGAAAATTGCTGGTTCAAGAAATTGACTACTAAGAAGAAAAAATTAAGATATTCACCATGTGTTGGTGTCCTTTCTTTAAGAAATAACAGATACTGCTTTTTTCACCCGGCAATATTGCCATGGGCCTGAGAATGAAATCTACTCTGTTGATAAAACTTTCACTTGGAGATTGTAATGTTTAGTGTCAGAAGTCTTGTTTGTATTTGGTAAACTTCTGAAATGAAAGACAGGTAAGCAGAAGGGGAAAATGTCGCAGTGCCTGGAGTTTGGAGGGGCCTCCGGGAAGTAGGTTCCCCATCCAGACTGGCCTTCTGGGTCCACGGCACGCAGGTGCGACCCTCCCGTTTCCACAGGTGGACATCGTCAGCCGCGGCGGGGAGAAGATTCCGGTGTCTGTGTGGATGAAGAAGGTGCGGCAGGAGCACCGCCTGTGCTGCGTGGTGGTCCTGGAGCCCGTGGAGAGGGTCTCAACCTGGGTGGCTTTCCAGAGCGACGTGAGTGTGCAGCTTTTGCCTCGTGTCTCACGGACACCGGAGCCGGTGTCTTTTTCCTCCTCGGCAAGCGCCCGTCTCCGTCTCATTCTTTGGGAAGAAAGAGAATGAGGAGCCTGCAGGGTCTGCCCGGTGCTGCCCTCACTGATTGTGTGCACTTGGGCAGGGAAGGAACCTCTCATGCTTCAGTTCCTCACCTGTAAACCAGGGCATAATCATAACTCATGAGATTGTTTCAACATATAAATGAGATAATGTATGTAAAACCCCCAGAATACTGGCTGGCATTAGGGACAGCCCTCACATGTGAACTGGGATATTATTAATGAGCCTGTGGTGTGGGCCATGCTCCTGAAGGGCAAGAAAGCCCACAATTGAGATATATCTCTGGTAGGAGGAGAAAGATGATGTTCTTAATCAAATTCACGTGTGTCTATCTCCTGCACTTTGGACGGAGAAGTCATGTTAGCCGTCTTGCTTTTGACTTGACAGTTTTGAAGTGTAGTCAGATTTACAGCTGAAGTGCAAGAAGCTTTGACGGTAAGCACTGGGCTTTTCCTCCAGGGGACCATCACGTCGTGCGACAGTCGCTTTGCCCATCTTCACGGGTTCCTGTCTGGGGAGGACGTGGCCGGGCAGCGCGTCACAGACCTGATCCCTTCTGTGCAGCTCCCTCCTTCTGGCCAGCACATCCCAAAGGTAGGGCTCTCCTGCCCTTTCACACTGTGGGATGGGGTCAAGTTCTTGGCTCCGAAGCCATAACTGGAGATTAAAACAGAGGATTCCCGAAGGCAGGAGTGGCTTTGGGGGTGGGACATGCTCAGTCTTCAGCTCTCTGCACTGAGGCCTTGGTCAAGGGCTGGAGCCTTTGTGGCCCTCCACTGACCACTTGTCCCCTGAGTCTTCTCCCTGGAGCCTGCTGGGGGCATGTGCTGGGGTCTCTCTGTAGGAAGGACTGGCTGATGGTAGGGTTTCCCTTCAAAGCAGGATGGCCTCGTCAGTCGGTTGGGGGCTGGGCGAGTGGCGTTGGAAGGCGTTGGAGGTTGGGGAATGATCTGAGGCTCTAGGAGTCAACTGGATCCTCCAGGCTCCCCGTTTCCCACCTAGTGTGCAGCTTTCACACAGGACCCCATTGCTTGCATTAAACTGATATCACACCCCAATAGCCTGCAGGTTTTGGCTGAAATCAGCTCTGGTGCTGCAAGAAATAGGAGATCTTTTGAGGACATCCACAGGAACGCCCTACTTTTCTGGCTTGCCTTGAACTAAGAACTTCACCCTCTGAGCCTATCATTTGCTGTTTTAAGCTTCCCAGCTCGGTTGGTAGCCCTGCTGCCCCCATGTCTGTTCTCTCTGTGTCCTTTGCTCTAAAGCAGTAGCCACTTGGGCCTCGGAGTTGGCAGGAGCATCAGCCAGTGCCACCGCTCTGCTGAGTCTGAGCAGAAGCAAACCACCGCTCTGCTGAGTCTGAGCAGAAGCAAACCTCTGACCTATCAGAGGCAGTGTGTTCAAAGGAATGTGCACCGGAAAACACGCGTGAGCGTGTTCTCAGCAGAAGCTCTGTTCCTAGTAGCCCCAAACTGGAGCCACCGAACACCCAGCAGCAGCAAATCGAGACGGACTCTGTGAGCCCTGGAAAGGGGACCCTGCCTCCCGCTTGTTCCTTGGCTGGCTCACTGGGACCCGGGGCCACCTCGGTTTGAGAGAACTGGGTCAGGGCCTGGGCTTGCCACAGGGAGCCTGGGGTCTTGAGTTCTGACCTTGACGGCGGCAGTGCTATGTTCAGGACAGGGTAGATGAGCTGCCATGCCACGGCCCCTCCAGTTCTCCCGTTTTACAGGGTGAGCCCTTAAACAAGGGCGGACACACAGGCTGGGCCTACTTTGTCATCTTGTAACTATAAAGGGAAGAAACTCTTCAACATTTCTGGTGGCCAGGCGCGGTGGCTCATGCCTGTAATCCCGGTACTTTGGGAGGCCAAGGCGGGTGAATCACAAGGTCAAGAGATTGAGACCATTGTGGCCAGCATGGTGAAATGCCATCTCTACTAAAAATACAAAAGTTAGCTGGGCATGGTGGCATGCACCTGTAGTCCCAGCTACTTGGGAGGCTGAGGCAGGAGAATCGCTTGAACCCGGGAGGTGGAGGTTGCAGTGAGCTGAGATCTCGCCGCTACATTCCAACCTGGCGACAGAGAAAGGCTCCGTCTCAAAAAAAAAATTTTTTTTTTTGGTTTGGGCTGGGTGTGGTGGCTCATGCCTGTAATCCCAGCACTTTGGGGAGCTGAGGTGGATGGATCAGGAAGTCAGGAGTTTGAGACCAGCCTGGCCAACAAGGTGAAACCCCCTCACTACTAAAAATACAAAAATTAGCTGGGCATGGTGATGGGCACCTGTAGTCCCAGCTATTCGGGAGGCTGAGGCAGGAGAATCACTTGAACCCAGAGGTGGAGGTTGCAGTGAGCCGAGATGGTGCCACTGCACTCCAACCTGGGCGACAGAGCAAGATTCCTTCACAAACAAACAAACAAATCTTTGGTTTGGAATGCTGTATTCATCAGGATTTAGTTGGGAACCTAGTACATTCCAAGTACTTAAAGCAGAGGTAATGCAGTACAAGAGTCTGGTTGTGTGGGTGACGGGGAGCTGAGAAGGCTGCTGAGAGCTGAGTGACAGCGGGAACCACTGACCCCTAGGTGGGAGAGATGAGGGTGGAGGGTGGGCCTGGCCACCCACAGAGGTGGCTGCTTGGACATTGCCCAAGCCTGAGCTGGGCGGGAGAACACATCCAGAGATGTGCAGCTGGTGGGGTGCAGCCTGTGGAGCCAGTACCCTGGGGCCAGAGCAAGGATGGCACAGTTGCCAGTGGCATGGCTGAGCCCCGAGCTTGAGCCCCACAGTCCTCCCTCCCTCCCTCCCTGCTGGTACCCGGCGCCCTCATTAGGGGTGTCTCAATTGCCCTGGGGCCACTGTGCCTGGGGTGGCTCTGGGCAGTGAGTCCTCCCCACCCACAGAAGGGCTCCTCCCTGGGCAAGGTGGGGTCAGGAGGAGAAGAAGGCAGAGCAGTGTGGGTGAGAGATGTCCTGGGGACTTTTCCCGATGACATGTGTGGTAGAAGTTGGGTCCAAAGCAGCACAGACCCAGTGCTCTGGCACATGAAACACGGCTTGCGCTGAACGATGAGCCTCTCTTTCAGAATCTCAGGATTCAGAGGTCTGTTGGAAGAGCCAGGGATGGCACCACCTTCCCTCTGAGCTTAAAACTGAAATCTGAACCCAGCAGTGAGGAGGCGACCACCGGCGAGGCGGCCCCCTTGGGGGACTACTGGGCCTCTGTCTGGGTGTTTCGCACCATCAGCGGCCTCATCACCCTCCTGCCGGACGGGACCATCCACGGCATCAACCACAGCTTCGCACTGACGCTGTTTGGTTATGGAAAGAGTGAGCTCCTGGGCAAGGTGGGTTTACCCTGGGCGCCTGGCTCCCCATCCCCGCAGAGGAAGCTGCTGTGCTCTGCGGTGCTGGCATGCGTGTTTCAGGCCTCGCGCCCGGTGAGCTCTCTACCTCGTTGCTTTACTCAGGAGGGACCTGGGGCCCCGGGAGGAAGGTCCCTGCTCGTAGCCAGCAAGCTCCTTCCTCTCCCCCCAACCCCAGCAACCACCGTCAGAGGGAGGGAGAGGAGCACTGTGCCTCGAAGCCCTGAGAGATTGGGTCTGACTGACGGACACAACTACAGGGGCTCGTTTCTCACCGTAGTGGAAATACTAAAAAGTGGCTAAGCTAAATTGTCATCAAGTTGGATTCAAGTTAATTACAAAGCAGTCAGCATTATTCCTGGTTCCCACGGGAGCGGAGGGCGTGGTGCCCTCGCGGGGATTTTTGGAGGCATGGATGTGTGTGCCCTCTTTGAGGTTAGAGCGGGTTCCGGCGTTAGGGCTGTGGGCAGTGTCCCGGCGCAGGGGCACACACAGGCTCAGAGGAAGTACCTGTCAGAGCAGCTCCAGGCCTCCCCTGACCCTGAGGGATGAGACCTAAGGGACTGGCTCTCCTTGTGTTCATTTCTCCCCCAGGGGGACGGTCCAGTGGGTCAGTGTGGGTCCTCCAGGTTCTGAAATGTCGCCGCTTTGTTTTCTAGAATATAACTTTCCTGATTCCTGGTTTCTACGGCTACATGGACCTTGCGTACGACAGCTCGTTACAGCTACCAGACCTGGCCAGCTGCCTGGACGCCAGCGACGAGAGCGGGTGTGGGGAGACAACCTTGGATCCCTGGCAGGGCCAGGGCCCAGCCGAGGGCTCCCAGGGTGAGACACGTCCTCCTCCTCCTGAAGGCGCCTGTGGCTGCTCAGCCCCAGACGGCCCCGTGTCTCTGAGATAGGGCGGGTAGGAGCTGGGCCCCTCCAGTGTTTCAGGGGTGAGGTGGGGCCAGAGTCGGGTGACTGTTTGCTGGTTTGATGTTCTTCTCCGTCTCGGGCTGTGACACGTGTTATTCTTACAAACGTATGAGAATAGAGAAGAACAAAAACCCCCCAAGACTGCGTCACCTGTCCCATAGTTTATCTGAGACACAGCTAACCGACAGTCTTGTCTCTTCTGAGTAAATGTGTGGAGCTTCATGCAGTTTGAGTGAATCCGTGTAGCGTAACAGATGACAGCTGACCCTTGAACAACGGGGCTTGACATTGCAGGGTCCGTTCATGCATGGGTTCTTTTCAACCTCAGAACCACAGTATCGGTGGGAGGGGAAGGAAGCTGGCGTATGTGGAGGGCTGACTTTCAGGCACCTGGTTTCTGCGGGGTGGCCTGCGGGACTTGAGGGTGCTCGGATTGTGGTATTCTGGGGGTCCTGGAACCCATCCCCTGGGTGTACCAAGAGTTGACTGTAATTCCTAAATTGAATGTTCCAACCAGTATATCCTGGTTTAATTATGTTTATTCCCCATACTTTTAATTTAACATTTTAAATTCTTTCAACAAATACTTCCGAGTCCCTTTCGTATGCAGTCTTAGGTGTGTGGCCCGTGAAGACAGGGTGAGCACACCGCCTCCTGGCCCGAGGGACCCACACTGGCTGGGAGCACTGGTGGGGGCTGTGAACCTGCTGATGCCCTGGCAGGGCCTGTGCCTGAGCTCCTGGTAAGGAGCAGGCCCCTGGCTGCTTCCACAGTGCTCACTCTTCTGTTGACAAGCGTGGCGGGCGGGGTTGCTCCCTGGCCCTGGCTCTGCCTTAGCAGGGACCCAGACTCTGCTTCTGGGTACTCTGCCCACCTGGAGCCTAGGCTCACTGGGTGTGGTTCTCGAGTTCCTGGGCCAGGCTGGGGCCAGATAGAGCTGGGAGAGTGAGGCCACAGCGTTGGGGACCATGGCAGAGACTTCTGCTTTTACCCAGAGTCAGATGGGACCGTTGGAGGGCTGTCAGCAGATGAGAGCCATGCTCTGACCTGGGCAGTAATAGGATCATGGTAGCTGGCTGCCGGGGTCCTGGGCCAAGCAGCAGGGAGACCAGGAGGCAGAGAGTGGGCGCTGGTTTGGACCGCGGACGCCTGGAGTGTGAGAGGTGGTTGCTGCTGGTCATGCTGTGAAGGAACCTCAGTGAGTTCCAGGCACTTGAGCAGGTCCTTTCAGGGAGTGCCTGTGAAGAACCAACACTCTTTTTTGATGTTGCTGCCAGACCCAAGGATTAATGTTGTGCTTGCTGGTGGCCACATTCTGCCCCAAGATGAGGCCCGGAAGCTGGTGGAAAGCGAAGACATCTTCACTGGGACTCAGACCGAGCCGGGAGCCGGAGGCCGGCTGCCTTCCTGCCTCTCACCTCAGCCTGCTCCAGGGTAAGTCCCATTGAAAACTCTCTCGTGTTGAGTGCCTGCTCCGCTCCACACACACTGACAGCTGGCTTTTCTACACTGCCTGGCTGAGTCCTTGTCGGCCTGTATGGGAGGGCACATGGTGTTACTGTCTCAACGGAGGGATAAGGAAACAGGCTGTTGAGAGTTCCAGGACGTTTCAGTAGATTTCAGAGAACTGATGGAAACATAATTTTATCATTTTCAAAGTCGTATGAAGCTCTTCTCTTTGCATATTTTAAAATATCCTATTTAGAGTAAAGGAAGTTTCTATTAGAGAATTAGGAACATTTGGAAAAGTGGAAATAAAAACTCACTCTGTTCTCATAGTCCTATTGTGCGTAGTGCGTGTGGGTGTGTTTTTAACCTGTTTTCTTCAGAACCCTTTTTTTATGCACAGTGTGCAGTAAAGGTGCCCAAACTGTAGGTGCCCAGGGGGCCCAGGACCCTTTCTTTGATGCCTGCAGACCCTGGGTCCCTTCCTGCGGCGCGGCGCCCCCCACACCCCGCTACCCCGGGTCAGGGTGGCGGAGACACTGCCTGGCCTTGAGCCTGACTCACACATTTTGTTCCATAGGCCTTCTGCTCATTGTTGTGTCTAGGATATTTATCCACGTTGTTGTGCTTTCCAGTCTTGAAAAATTATTTTAAAAATATGTAATACACGAAGATGTGTTTTCTTAATTACAGAAGAATAACGATAAAAGGGATAGTTCCCTTGGCCATCTTCCAGTCCCCCTCCTCCAATCCCACTCTTCCCCCAGGGTACCGTGGTCAGCAGGTAGAGCCTTCTAGGGCTTGTTTTCTGTGCATTTAACTATAGTTGTGTGCTATACATTTATACGTGTGCATGTGCATCTGTGTGCTCACATGTGACTAGCAGGGCTGGGCTCGCACTATGCACACTGTCCTAGCGTGCGTGTATGTGTGGGCATGTGCATCTGTGTGCTCACGTGACTAGCAGGGCTGGGCTCACACTGTGCACACTGTCCTAGTGTGCGTGTATGTATGGGCATGTGCATCTGTGTGCTCACATGTGACTAGCAGGGCTGGGCTCACACTGTGCACACTGTCCTAGCGTGCGTGTATGTGTGTGCATGTGCATCTGTGTGCTCACATGTGACTAGCAGGGCTGGGCTCACACTGTGCACACTGTCCTAGCGTGCGTGTATGTGTGTGCATGTGCATCTGTGTGCTCACATGTGACTAGCAGGGCTGGGCTCACACTGTGCACACTGTCCTAGCGTGCATGTATGTGTGTGCATGTGCATCTGTGTGCTCACATGTGACTAGCAGGGCTGGGCTCACACTGTGCACACTGTCCTAGCGTGCGTGTATTTGTGCGCATGTGCATCTGTGTGCTCACATGTGACTAGCATGGCGGGGCTCACACTGTGCACACTGTCCTAGCATGCATGTATGTGTGTGCATGTGCATCTGTGTGCTCACATGTGACTAGCACGGCGGGGCAGACACTGCACACTGTCCTAGCATGCGTGTATGTGTGTGCATGTGCATCTGTGTGCTCACTTGTGACTAGCAGGGCTGGGCTCAAACTGCACACTGTCCTAGCGTGCGTGTATGTGTGTGCATGTGCATCTGTGTGCTCACTTGTGACTAGCAGGGCTGGGCTCACACTGTGCACACTGTCCTAGCATGCGTGTATGTGTGGGCATGTGCATCTGTGTGCTCACATGTGACTAGCAGGGCTGGGCTCACACTGCACACTGTCCTAGCATGTGTATATGTGTGTGTATGTGTATGTGTATGTGTGTATGTGTATGTGTGTGTGTATGTGTACGTGTGTGTACGTGTGTGTATGTGGGTATGTGTGTGTATGTGTGTATGTGTGTGTACGTGTGTATGTGTGTGTATGTGTACGTGTGTGTATGTTTGTGTGTCTGTGTGTATGTGTATGTGTGTGTACGTGTGTGTACGTGTGTGTACGTGTGTATATGTGTGTGTGCGTGTGTGTACATGTGTTTACGTGTGTGTACGTGTGTGTGTACGTGTGTGCACTCGCATGTCCTCTGCAGGCCTCCTCGGAACCGAAGCCTCCTGGACGGCGCCCAAGCTCACGCAGCGTGGCTTGTTGGCCAGTGTGCCAGTGTTTTCTCATTTGCTTAGCCTCCCTGATGCCCTTTGTGACTGTGGGTCCACACTCCGTGTCGTGAGAGGGCAGCTTTGGCTCTACTTGGCTGTGTGCACCTCTCCAGGTGAGGAAGGGATGCCTCTCCCCTAGGGGCGCCCCCGAGCTGCACTGGGGCGACTGTCATTGAGGGCCCATGCTCACAGCACTAGCCGCCGGCTCCCTTGCCAGTGTTCCCCTTGTCTGGGACGTCTCAGTGGACAAAGGCCACGTGCCCCATCGCTCTCCTCAGGACCTTGGACACAGCTCATCGTCCGGGACGTGTTGGACCAAGGCCGTTGCCCAAGATCGGCCCATTCTTAGCCTTTCTATTGGATTGGATGCTTTTGCATCCCATAATTCTGAGTCTGATTAGCATCCACTCCACATCTAGTGCAGTCGTGACTGTAGATATTCATCGTTCGTTCACCTGTTGGGTCATTCACTTACTTGTCACTTGTTCAACGGAGAAGTGTTGCCAAAGACTTGAGGTGTGTCCCTAGGAATTGTAGTCTGGTCTGGATAGTAGCTAACACAGTAAGAGAGAACGGTGTAGGGAAGCATGAAGGCAGGAGGCGAGCTGTGTGGAGTGCTTTTGTGTTCCGGGCACTAAGTCGAGTGCTTCCTCATCAGGTGAGACCCCACGTGATATGCTCAGACAGCAGGTGGCCTCCCCGTGGAGGCCGGGCCCTGGCACACCCCCACCGTACGACCGGCAGTCCCTGGGGCTGCCCTGGGTTGAGGTCCCACACCCCAAGGCCTGTGTGCACTCGGTAGATGAGCGGCCCCATCACGTGGGAGCCACACCTTTTGCCCCTCACTGCACGCTGGCCAGAGCTGCATGGCACGGTGCTGCCCGGCCGCCGGGGCAGCTGGAGGTTTGCCCTCGTGTTTCCTGGGCGGCTGTCATGCTGAAAGTCAGAGATCCACAGTTTCACAGTCTCTTAGCCAAAATTGTGAAATCCAGAAAGTCCCCAGCACTGACCTTTTTTTTCTTAGAATTGATGTTAAAAGCATTTGCTAGGCAAATTGTCCCTGAGCACGTGTGAAGCTGTTCACGGTTTTCCCTCAACCTCTGCAGTTTGAGTGTTCAGAGGCCTTGCTGCAGACAGGGCACTGGATGCCCACAAGGCCCTCTCGCCAGCCTGCTGGTTTCTACCTAGCAAGTGACCGTATCACTTTTCTGAAATTCCCAACATATCTGGTCCAGGGGTTTTGATGAAAGGGCTGTGGACCCAGGTGACCGTGGAGAGGAGAACGGGTACACGGCTGCAGCAGTCTGCTACTCAGGGCCCCAAGAGCACGGGAGAAGATGCAGGGCTGCCTGGGGGCCTCACCTGTGTGTCTGGACTATGCCCCAGAAGTTGCCCAGACGCTTTAGCAAGGGGCTTCATGAGACCCTCCTGGTGTGGATTCGCCTCCTGGCTCACCTGAGCCTGCAGGAGGCTGTGCGGTTTCCCAGCATTTGCGTGGAGCTCGTCTTGAGCATGGGATGGATAGAGAGGGAGAGGGAGGTGCAGGGGAGAGAGATGGAGGGAGAGTGGCAGGCAGACGCACGCCCTCAGCCCACCCTCAGTTCCCCCAGAAAACTGCTTTCCTCAGAACTCAGCTCACCATCCCTTTCTCTGCAGAGGCCACCCTTGGGCTGTATCCTTCCTCTTCTGTCTTTCTTTTTTTTGGGTGGATGGTCTTGTGCCATGCCCAGGCTGGAGTGCAGTGGCGCTATCATGGCTCACTGCAGCCTGGACTCCTGTGCTCCAGTGAGGCTCCCACTTGAGCTGCCCAAGTAGCTGGGACTACAGTTGTGTGTCACCACACTGGCTAATTTTTAATTTTTTTGTTGAGATGAGGTCTCACTGTTGCCCAGGCTGGTCTCGAACTCCTGGGTTCAGCCTCCCGCAGTGCTGGGATTACAGGTGTGAGCCACTGCGCCCAGTCCTGTCCTCTTTCTGAGCCTCTGGTATACCTTTACGAGGTCACTGACGTTAACCTGTCCGTGCATCTGTTCCCCAGTGAGGTGGCGTGGTCACATTCTGTTCATCTGGTGCCCAGTGTCAGTCTGTCTTGTGGAGGCCGCAGTGGCCGGGCTGGCAGGAGGCCTGGGTCCCTCTGCTCTGCCATCATCCTGTCCAGACTGTGGTAGCCTCCTCGCAGGTCACCACATGCTGAATGCTTGAGGATATTACGTGCAGCCCTTAGGAGCTGCCCTCATCAGCCTCCTCTGGCTTTTTTGGCCCCTGTCCCCTTCTTTTTTTGTTTTTGAGATGGAGTCTTGCTCTGTCACCCAGGCTGGAGCACAGTGGCTTGATCTCAGCTCACTGCAACCTCTGCCTCCCGGGCTCAAGCGATTCTCCTGCCTCAGCCTCCAAATAGCTGGGATTACAGGTGCTGGACACCACACCTGGCTAATTTTTGTATTTTTAGTAGAGACAGGGTTTTGTTGTGTTGGCCAGGCTGGTCTCGAATGCCTGACCTCAAGTGATCTGCCTGCCTTGGCCTCCCAAAGTGCTGGGATTATGGGTGTGAGCCACTGCGCCCGGCCTCCCAGCCCCATCCCCTTCTGCCTGGGCCTCGTCTGACAGCCATTTCCCTAGTTGGCCGTGAAGTCGGATGGTGTTTGTAGTCAGTTGTTGTTTTCACTGTGGTAGAGTTTCCCAGGGACGCTCCAGTCCCTCTCTCCTTCCTGCTCACACCTCCTCAAGGCAGCAGCAGGGACTTCCCCTTGAGGTGGAAGCAGAGCCGCACGGCTGACGGGTTTGGGGCCCTGGGGTCACCAGAGGCCGCACCATGAAGTGAGAGTGCTGACTGCCGCACGCAAGCGCTCCTGTACGTTAGTGTTGGGCTTTTGGTAGCATTCTCTGCTGAATCCTTTCTAAATGTGGACTTCTCTGGAGAAATTTGAGACGAAGTGCAAGTTTAGCCTTTCTCTTAGTATGAATGGTGGCCTTCAGTGCTTTGCACTTGTTTCTAATGGGGAATCGATGCAGTCTCTCCTGTTGACTCCTCTGTGGCCCTCTGTGACCGTCATCCATGTCATTATCCTCAGGGTGGACAGCGTCACAGAAGGAAGCCCGCCTGCGCATGGTGAACAGGTGCTGCCCGGGGACCAGCACGCCACCGCCTCCGGGAGAGAGGAGCCTGCGGCAGTAGAGACCCCTGGACGGGGCCTCCCGGGAGGAAGCAGGCCTGAACCAGTGGATGCAAAGCCGTCTGCTTCATGTGAAGATTCTGAAGCTCCAGTCCCAGCTGAGGATGGGGGCAGTGGCGCTGGCCTGGGTGGCTTGTGTCAGCAGTCCCAGCGGGAGCTCACAGGTGTCAGTGGGTCAGACTTTTGGGCTGGGGTCACCATGGCCCAGTGCCAGGCCAAGGGTCAGTTGGCGGTGGGCAGCCTCCCGATGCACTGCCCTTGCTACAGGAGTGAACAGGGCCTGCTATGGCGAAGCCAGGACTCGGCCCGCAGCCCGTCGGGGGTGGCAGGCATCTCCTTAGGGACACCGACTCTAGATGAGCCGTGGCTGGGAGTGGAAAATGACCGAGAAGAGCTGCAGACCTGCCTGATTAAGGAGCAGCTGTCAGAGTTGAGCCTTGCAGGAGCCCTGGACGCCCCCCACACCGAGCTCGTCCCAACAGAGTGGCCGGCTTTCACCGCTCCTGTGCTGGCCTGCGATCCGGGAGGCAGAGACCTGTCCGGCTGCACGGGCAGCTCCTCAGCCTGCTATGCCTTGGCCACGGACCTCCCCCGGGGCCTGGAGGAAGTGGAGGCCCAGGAGGCTGATGTGAATTCGTTTTCCTGGAACCTGAAGGAGCTCTTTTCCAGTGACCAGACAGACCAAACATCATCAAATTGTTCCTGTGCTACGTCTGAACTCGGAGGGACACCCTCTTCCTCGGCAGTGGGCTCTGATCCAGATGTGGGCGGTCTCCAGGAACAGGGGTCATGTATCCTGGATGACAGGGAGCTGCTACTGCTGACCGGCACCTGTGTTGACCTTGGCCGGGGCCGAGGGTTCCGAGAGAGCTGCCTGGGACGTGATCCGATAGAGCCGTCCGAGGTTTGTCCAGTGTCCTCTGAACATTATGCAGCAAGCGACAGTGGAAGTCCAGGGCGCATTCCTTCCACGTTGGACGCTGGCCCTGAGAACGCGTGCCCGTCAGCAGAGGAGCCAACGCTAGACGTCCAGGCCACCTCCACACCCGTGGCGCCTGGGGCTGCTGGCCTGCAGCGGGAGATCCAGGAGGGTGCCTACTCGGGGAGCTGCTACCATCGAGACGGCTTGCGTCTGAGTATGTCCTGGACCCCCCGGGAAGAAGCGTGCTGCCCTCAGAGCAAGTGCGGGGGATGCAGGGGCTTCCTTGTCCTGGGGTCTGACGGGGTGTCACCCTGGACTAGTTTCAGCAGAAATCATGTTTTAAAGGAGAATGCATTATCATTCACCCCTTGACAATTCAGGTTAGAAATACATGTGCCTGGGGTGGGTGGAGCTCAAGGTCCCAGGCCAGCTGCCCCGTGCCTGTCAGTTCCAGCTGTGCCTCCAAGACTCAGGCCACACACTTCAGAGAGCCACTCCTCCCGGAGCAGGGGAGGCGTGGGGGTGTCGTGTTGCAGTCTGCCCCTCGACCTCCTGCCAGCCTCACCTCAGTGGGCACACGGAGAGGCTGAGGGAGACGAGCCTGGCGAGGTGCTCACGTGTTCTTCCGTGGTTTTGGTGTTCACTGCCCTGATCTCTGAAAGACCCGGCCTTCTGTGAGGTCATGTGATCAGGCCCCTCTGCTGGCTCCTTTGAGGCTGATTCTGTTTACTTTCGTTTTTATTTTCCTAATTTCTTAGGAGGTCCACATTATTTTAGCAGTTGTTTCCATATTGCTGATTTTGTAGTATTGATAGCTAGGGTTCTTACATTTAAAAGAATGTTGTAAATAATAGGTGTCATTTGTAGAAATACTAGAAATATAAACAAGAAGAAGATAAAATCAGCTGGAAACCCCTACCACCAGAAAGAGCCAACCACACTTGTGTTGCTGTGTAGCCCAGGGCTGTGTAAAACGCACACACGCCTTCTCTGTGTAAGTGGGTGTGGAGTGTCACACGGCTCTTAGCAACCAGAGTATGTACCTGTGTGCATGGTTTTGATGTAGGCCATTCACACTCTTGTCACTGGAAGGCAGAAGACCCACCGTGGGTAGGGGCACGCTGAGTGCAGGTTCTCCCGGCTTTCTGAGTTGGGGGTGGTCTGCAGGCCTCTCTGGAGGGCTTCCTTGGCCCCCTGGCTGCCCTGAGTGAGGAGGCGTGGTGGTTGCAGTCCTGTAGGCTATGCCTCAGGGGTTTCCCCTGCCAGCCCTGCCAGCTTCCCTCCAAGCCTTGGTGCTGCCTGCCTCTGCCTGGACTGCTCTGTGGTCCTGGTAGCGTTCTGGGGACTGGACTTTCTTTTTTTTTTTTTTTTTTGAGACGGAGTTTCGCTCTTGTTACCCAGGCTGGAGTGCAATGGCGCGATCTCGGCTTACCGCAATCTCCACCTCCTGGGTTCAGGCAATTCTCCTGCCTCAGCCTCCTGAGTAGCTGGGATTACAGGCACGTGCCACCACGCCCAGCTAGTTTTTTGTATTTTTAGTAGAGACGGGGTTTCACCATGTTGACCAGGATGGTCTCGATCTCTCGACCTCGTGATCCACCCACCTCGGCCTCCCAAAGTGCTGGGATTACAGGTGTGAGCCACCGCGCCCGGCCGGGGACTGGACTTTCTAACCCAAAGCTGCTGGGAATCGGACCATTGCATTCTAGGAACTGGGCTCTCTAACCTAAAGCTGCTGTCTAGCCAGGTCATCACAGGCCTGTGGTTCTCACCTTCTCATCCTGCAGGTATACAGTTTGAGGTGAGGCGGGTGGAGCTCCAGGGCCCGTCACCCCTGTTCTGCTGCTGGCTGGTGAAAGACCTCCTCCATAGCCACCGCGACTCGGCCGCCAGGACCTGCCTGCTCCTTGCCAGCCTGCCCGGCTCCACCCACTCCACTGCTGCGGAGCTCACTGGACCCAGCCTGGGGGACGTGGGTATCTGCAGTCGGCGCCTGCTCTGGACTTGCCTTGTGCTGTGCGGCAAATATCCCAGTTGGCGTCTCTTTCTGTTTCCTCGGGGATGGGAATATGGTCTGTTCGTCACTTTTAGCACTGTCTTCTAATGTGCAGTGTGACTGTAAAGCCACTTTAAATCTGCACAGACCCATGTGTACGGTGGGGTGTCAACACATTTCGACATGGGTGCCAGTTTGGATCAGTGTGCTGAGGCAGTTTGGGGTACCCCGTGGAGATAGGCCTGAGAGCACGGGAGGAGAGGGTGAGTGGAGTGCAGGGCACGCCTGCCTCGGGTGGCTGCCGCAGACAGGGGTCCCCGACGTGTGACCCACAGACCTTCCTCTGCGTGGCAGGTGCTCAGGGCCAGACCCTGGTTTGAGGATCCCCCCAAGGCTGTGGAACTGGAGGGGTTGGCGGCCTGCGAGGGTGAGTACTCCCAAAAGTATAGCACCCTGAGCCCGCTGGGCAGTGGGGCCTTCGGCTTCGTGTGGACTGCTGTGGACAAGGAACAGAACAAGGAGGTATGCTGGCTCCGGGAGGGGAGGGCGCCGGGCATCCCTTCAGGTGGCTCCTGACTTTTGGTCCCAGTTCTCTAAATCTGGGGTTTTTGGAGGAGTCCTCTGCGTTCGGCACCAAGCACGCAAGCTGGCCCGTTTGGCCTGTTTGGCCTGTGGGCGGTTTCAGGATACAGGAGGCTCTCCCAGCAGCGCACACGTCACCTGGGGCTGCTGAGCCTGTCAAGCTATAGATTGAGGCTCCAGCAAGCCAGGCTCAGGGCTTCGCCTCCCACCCTCGTGTCGAGACCCCACATCTGGATCTGTGTTCCCCCCTTTCTGATGTACCACTCGCCTACCCATGTGGATGCTGATATCTCGCAGGCACCGCACAGGCATGCATAAAGCCACATTTAGGACCCTCCACCCAGCTGGAAAAAAGACCCAAGAAAGAGGCAAGCAGGCTAAGCAACAGAAGCTCTTGGTCTTCCTGGGTCCCTGGAATGACCTCTGTTCGTAGCTCACGGCTGAACAGGGATTGCTGCGTGCTGGGTGTCCCTCTAGGTGCAGTGAAGGCTGCCAGCTGCTTGTCCCCCCTTCCCCTTCCTCCCCAGTTGTCACGGCCACTCTTACACACTCTCCTTCCACATAAACCTTAGAACTACAGTTCCTCCCTCCCAGGTCCTGTTGGGGTTTGTAGCTGCCTGGACATGTTTCGATATGGGGGAATTGACATTGGGATGGTGCCTGCTGCCTGTTGAGAAGCAGCATCTGCTGCTCGCTGTGAATCCTGTTAGACTGTCCAGGCGTGCCCGTGCCTGGCTTGGCGGGTTCCCGTTGAGGGTCATGGAATGCCGCCCACAGGATCCTTTCACCCCTGTGTCTTCTAGTCACTCATTGCTGGGATGCACCGAATATCTGAGCTTGGACTGATTGATCACATGTCCATATCCAAGTCTCCCTGGTACTAATGCTTTTTTAGTGGATCCTTTGGGTTTTCTAGATAAACAGCCTCTCCTCTGCAGTCATGACAGTTCTCTCTCCTCTGTGACTTGCTTGTCATCATCCTCTTATCCCTCTGTCCTGTCACTTAGCGAGGACCCGTGGAGCACCCTGCACAGCAGGTGTGCTGCTTCTCCAGGGCAGCTGTGGCTCCTTTCATTTCTTGATGGGCGTCTTTTATTTGAGGGTCTTTTCATTTTACTTTCCACCTGCTAATTTTTTTTTGTTGTTGTTTTTTTTGAGATGGAGTCTCACTCTGTCGCCCAGGCTGGAGCGCAATGGCGTAGTCTCAGCTCACTGCAAACTCTGCCTCCCAGGTTCAAGTGATTCTCCTGCCTCAGCCTCCTGAGTAACTGGGATTGCAGGCATCTGCCACCACACCTGGCTAATTTTTGTATTTTTAGTAGAGATGGGGTTTTACCATATTGGCCAGGCTGGTCTCGAACTCCTGACCTCGGATAATCCACCCTCCTTGGCCTCTCAAAGTTCTGGGATTACAGGCATGAGCCATCACGCCTGGCTACAACCTGCTAAAAATTTTTAACAATGAGTGTTGAGTTCTATCAAATTCTACCAAAAGAAGTCTTCAGTATCTATTGAGATGTTCATATCCTTGTTACCTTTATTAATAAAATGAATAACATACTCACAGAATCTGTCTTTGGTTATATTAAAACAGTCTCTTAATGCATTGCTTAATTTGATTTGCTGTTTCTATTTGGGATTTTTAAAAATGTCTATTCACACCCGAGTTTCTTTCTTTCTTTTAATGTCAGAGTTGCTTGAGGCTGCCGAGTGTCAGTCCAGGAAGATGATGTGCCTTTGGCTGTCCTAATTCTTCTTTCACTTTGTTTTTTCGCCACACTTGCCAAATAACTCTGTTTTACTCATCAAGTTTTTTTATTTTCTTTTAATTTCTTATACTTTCTATAAGTTTTTCTACTTTTCTAGGTTATTGAGTGTATATTTTCAGTGCTGCTAATAGTAACAGTGTTTAGAGTGTTAAGCTTTTGGAAGACACTTTGGCCATTTCCTAGATGTTTTACTTTACAGTGCTTTTGCTGTCATGTGTTTCTAAACAGTTTTTTTTTTTTTTAGACAGGGTCTTACTCTGTCATCCAGGCTGGAGTGCAGTGGTATGATCTCAGCTCACTGCAGCCTCTGCCACCTGGGCTCAAGTGATCCTTCCACCTCAGCCTCCTGAGTAGCTGGGACTACAGGCACGTACCATCACATTTGGCTAATTTTTTTTTTTTTTTTTTTTTTTTTTATGACAGGGTTTCACCATGTTAATCAGGCTGGTCTCGAAATCCTGAACTCAGGTGATCCACCTGCCTCAGCCTCCCAGAGTGCTGGGATTATAGATGTGAGCCACCATGCCCAACCCACATTTGGCTAATTTTTTTGTACTTTCTTGTTTTTTGGGTAGAGACAGAGTTTTGCCATGTTATTCAGGCTGGTCTCAAACTCCTGGGCTCCAGTGATCTACCTTCCTTGGCCTCTCAAAGTTCTGGGATTACAGGTGTGAACCGCCATGCCCAGCCAACAGTTTGATTTTTAAGTTTCTATTTTCATCTTTAATGTATCTGAGCAGATCTTCTCATTCTTGGTTTGTATTGGGAATCTGATAGACTCTAGAGTTTTCTTTAAACCTTAATCCCTTAAAGCAGAAGAAAGAAGCCCCAGACTCTTTTTCTTACTGTAAAGAGAAACCACATGAGTAGTTTTTGCCTTTTAAAAAGCAGATGTCAATTTAAATATTATTATAAACCTAACAAGTTATTGAGTAAAGGAACCAATCAGAAAATAGACTCTTAAGGGTCATTCTAGTTACAGAATAGAGTGCAATTCCCACATCTTAAAAATATCCTTTGTACCAAGAACGCTCCTAGGCCTGGTGACCTGGTGACAGAGCAGAGATGGCATGCATCCCGTGCTGTCACTGTGTTGGAAGGATGGGAGAGGCCAGAGTGTTGGGAGGTTGATTCTGTCACAGTTTATTAGCACTGGCTTTATGGGTGGGATAAAGCTGCCCAGCAGCAGCTCACTCCTATAATCCTAGTACTTCAGGAGGCTGAGGCCAGAGGACTGCCCTGGCCCAAGAGTTTGAGACCAGCCTGGGCAACCTAGTAAGACTCAGTCTCTACAAAAGGTTAAAAAATCAGGCTGAGGCAGAAGAATCACTTAAGCCCAGGAGGTCGAGGCTGCAGTGAGCCAGGATTAGGGTATTGGACTTCAGCCTCAGCAACAGAGCAAGACCCTGTCTTCAAGAAAAAAGCGAAAGGCCAAAAACAAACAAAAAAACCCCCTAGCTTTATGGTAAATAAAAATGGCTTTCTTTTTTTCTTCCCAGCTATAGAGGAAAAGAAAAGGTTTTTTTTTTTTTTTTTTTTTTTGAGATGGAGTCTAGCTCTGTTGCCCAGCCTGAAGTGCAGTGACACAATCTTGGCTCACTGCAACCCCTGCCTCCTGGGTTCAAGCTATTCTTCTGTGTCAGCCTCCGGAGCAGCTGGGATTACAGGCACCTGCCACCATGTCCAGCTAATTTTTGTATTTTTAGTAGAGATGCGGTTTCACTGTGTAGGTCAGGCTGGTCTTGAACGCCTGACCTTGTGATCCACCTGCCTTGGCCTCCCAAAGTGCTGGGATTACAAGTATGAGCCACTGTGCCCAGCCAGAAAAGAGAAGATTAAAAAAAGTCTTTACTGAGTTTTTTTCCCCAGCATTTAGGATGACCTGCTATTTCAGGGTGAAGCACCGGTGTCCCAGTAGTTATCATTAAGAGAAAGAGAGCAGGCCTGAAACATACAGCTTTTGATATGGGAAAGAAAATGCCAGAAGAGCACTTGAGTATGTGGAATGCGAGACACCTATTGCTTTCCAGCTATATCCCCTGAGAGTTATTTAGGAAAATATTTATTTAAATGCAGGATGCACAAAGCATGAGTGTCCGTTATTGGGGACTTTCAACAACTGGACAGACATGGCACCAGCACCCAGATCAAGACACAGAATTTCCCAGCATCTCAGGACCTTCTGGGCACAGACCCCAGGATACCCACTCTCTTGGCATTTAACATAATCAGGCTTGCCTATTTCTGGACATTATATAATGCTCAAATGATGTGAGCTCTAATGATGTGGAGTATCTTTTTGTGCATGCTTGTTTGCCATCTGCATATTTTCTTTGATGAAATCTTTTTTTTTAATATTGCACTTTAGGTTCTGGGGTACATGTGCAGAACATGCAGGATTGTTGCATAGGTACATACATGGCAAGGTGGTTAGCTGCCTCCATCCCCATCACCTATATCTGGCATTTCTCCCTGTGTTACCCTCCCCAACCTCCCCATCCCCATGCTGTCCCTCCCCTAGCCCCCCGCAACAGACCCCAGTATGTGATGCTCCCCTTCCTGTGTCCATGTGTTGTCATTGTTCAACACCCACCTATGAGTGAGAACATGTGGTGGTCGATTTTCTGTTCTTGTGTCAGTTTGCTGAGAATGATGGTTTCCAGATTCATCCATGTCCTTATAAAGGACATGAACTCATCATTTCTTGTGGCTGCATAGTATTCCATGGTGTATATGTGCCACATTTTCCTTGTCCAGTCTATCATCAATGGGCATTTGGGTTGGTTCCAGGTCTTTGCTATTGTAAACAGTGCTGCAATGAACATTCGTGTGCATGTGTCCTTATAATAACGATTTATAATCCTTTGGATATATACCCAGTAATGGGATTGCTGGGTCAAATGGAATTTCTATTTCTAGGTCCTTGAGGAATCGCCACACTGTCTTCTCCAATGGTTGAACTAATTCACACTCCCATCAACAGCGTAAAAATGTTCCTATTTCTCCACATCCTCTCCAGCATCTGATCACCATTCTAACTGGCATGAGATGGTATCTCAATGTGGTTTTGAATTGCATTTCTCTGATGACCAGTGATGATGAGCATTTTTTCATATTTGTTGGCCTCATATGTGTCTTCTTTTGAAAAGTGCCTGTTCATGTCCTTTGCCCACTTTTGAATGGGTTTGTTTGTTTCTTGTAAATCTCTTATAGTTCTTTGTAGATTCTGGATATTAGCCCTTTGTCAGATGGGTAGATTGCAAAAATTTTTTCCCATTCTGTTGGTTGCCAGTTCACCCTGATGATTGTTTCTTGTGCTGTGCAGAAGCTCTGGAGTTTAATTAGATCCCATTTGTCTATTTTGGCTTTAGTTGCCAATGCTTTTGGTGTTTCAGTCATGAAGTCCTTGCCTACGCTATGTCCTGAATGGTTTTGCCTAGATTTTCTTCTAGGGTTTTTATGGTGTTAGGTCTTACGTTTAAGTCTTTGATCCATCTGGAGTTAATTTTAGTGTAAGGTGTCAGGAAGGGGTCCAGTTTCTGCTTTCTGCACATGGCTAGCCAGTTTTCCCAACACCATTTATTAAACCAGGAATCCTTTCCCCAGTGCTTGTTTTTGTCAGGTTTGTGAAAGATCAGATGGTTGTAGATGTGTGGTGTTGCCTCCGAGGCTTCTGTTCTGTTCCATTGGTCTGTATTTCTGTTTTGATACCGGTACCATGCTGTTTTGATTACTGTAGCCTTGTAGTATAGTTTGAAGTCAGGTAGCCTTCAGCTTTGTTCTTTTTGCTTAGAATTGACTTGGCTATGCGGGCTCTCTTTTGATTCCAAATGAAGTTTAATGTGTTTTTTTTCCAGTTCTGTGAAGAGGGTCATAGGTAGCTTGATGGGGATAGCATTGAATCCATCAATTACTTTGGGCAGTATGGCCATTTTCACAATATTGATGAAAGCTTTTCAAACCTTTGCCAGCTTTTAAAAATTGGATTTTTAAATAATACTGAATTTTGAGAGTTCTTTATATTTTCTAGTTACTATTCCTTTATCTGATAAGGGAACTTCACCCAGTCTGTGGCTTGCCTTTTCATGATCTTAACAGTGACTTTTGGAGAGCAGGGGTTTTTAATTTGATGAAGTCCTCGTTTACCATTTGTCACTTGTGTTTTTGGTGTTGTGTCTAAGACAACTGCCAAGCCCAAGGTCATAAAGACTGACTTGCATGTTTTCTTCTACGAGTTTTATGGTTTTAGATTTTACATGTTAGTCTTCAATCGATTTTTAGGTTACCTTTTGTGTGTGGTGTGAGACTGGGGTCTGACTTCACTCTTTTGTATGTGGATATCTAATTGTCCTAGCACTGCTCATTGAAGACCGTCCTCTCCCCGTGGAGTGGTTTTGGCACCCTTGTCAAAATTCAGTTGACCGTAGATGGTGTGTCTGTTTCTGGACCTGAATTCTGCCATTGATTTACAGTCTTATCTGTCTACCTTAAGTCTGTCCTTAAGCCAGTACCAAGCCCTCTTGATTACTGTAGTTGTGTAGTAAGTTATGAAACTGGAAAATGCTAGTCCTTCAGCTTGGTTTTTCTTAAGCTTGTTTTGGCTATTTTGCATTTCCATAAGGATTTTCAGATCAGCTTGCACTGGGCGACAAGGTTTTCAGTGGCTTGCAGGATTTCTTTCTTTTGTGAGTGGCATCTTTTTCTGTCACCTTTGACTATCATTGACTGCTGTAGCAATGATAGTCACTATCATTGACTGCTGCAGTTTGTCAGTCTTGCCAAACTCTGATTCATCTGAGTCAATGTTGAAAACATTTATAAGAGTGATAGCGTTTCTTTATATTTTCTAGTTTTCAGGCTTCTAGTTTATTCTCTTGGCCACGGCTTCCAGTCCTTGGTTGAGAAGTCGGGGTGATGTGGGTGTTCTCCAGGGCACCTGCCCTGAGGCCTTAGGGCCCTCTCTCCAGCCCAGGTTATGGCTCCCTCAGCCCCAGCTGGGTTCTTTATCACACCCATCTGTCCACCTGACAGAATGGGCGGGAGTGGTGCCACATTTCTGGTCAGCTGCTGGCCCCTTCCCTGCTTCCTTATGCTGCAGGGGTTTACACCTGTGTTTCTTCGTTCATGTCCTTGGGACTTAGAGGAGGTAAATGTGTGGGACGCCTCTGCCGCATGGACCGATGGTGGCCCCTGGATTCATGGGCTGCTCCAGGACTGGCTTCAGCTATTTCCACCCTGTTTTCCTCACAGGTGGTTGTGAAGTTTATTAAGAAGGAGAAGGTCTTGGAGGATTGTTGGATTGAGGATCCCAACCTTGGGAAAGTTCCTTTAGAGATTGCAATTCTGTCCAGGGTGGAGCACGCCAATATCATCAAGGTAGACAATGATTTCCTCTTTAGAGACGCCCTGACTTTGCTCAAGTCAAATGTCTTCAGCTGTTGACCTGAAGATGTTTCGGCAGAGCCGGACTTGACTTTGTCTCTTCCCAGGTGTTGGATGTATTTCAGAACCACGGGTTCTTCCAGCTCGTGATGGAGAAGCATGGCTCCGGCCTGGACCTCTTCGCCTTCATCGACCGCCATCCCCGGCTGGATGAGCCCCTGGCGAGCTACATCTTCCGACAAGTGAGAGCAGGCCAGAGCCACAGTGGGGCGAACGCAAGCCTGGGTGCCTGGGTCTGGTGGCTGCAAAGATCAGTGACCCACTCCTGGTTCTCTGAGCTGGACCTCGTCTTCTGTGTGGGGATTTCATGGAGGAGGATGTATATTTTCAGAAAAAAATTCTATGAAGTAGAGAAAGTGAGGTTGGGAGGGAAGGATGAGGCCAGATACAGTTCTGGAATGACTGGGAAAGTTTGTTTAATGGTTAAGGTATTCACATACATAAAATATCCACCACAGTCATAAAAATTAACCAACAAGCGTTCAGGTGAAGTCAGAGAGTGCCTGAAAGACGTGTGTGCGGCACAGCGGCCTGCAGGCTGCAAATGCCCACTCAAAATGGTGGCTGTCCACCTAACGGCCAGCAAAGCTGAGATCCTGACACTCTCATTCTGCAGTATTGGTCTTGATCTGTTTTGTGCGTCATTACGTATTGATTCTGGGCCCTTATTTTACTGGAATGGGAGAGTGATAAGCAAAACAGGAAGACATCCTAGCAGAGGGCGAGGTGGAAGAAACGGTAACTCGTGTTGGGTTTTAAGGTGAAGGTGGTGGTTCCATTCGGTATCGCTCCCAGCTCCCCCCAAGGGGAGAAATACCAGCAAGGGGCTGTGTAGACAACTCACATTTGCTCTTGGATTGTTTGCTGGGCACGACTTGATTTCTAATGATGGCTTCTGGGAATCAGCATTTCTTCCTCATAGCTTTACCCTCTCAGGAGTTACTGGATTTCTGAAGTTTAGTTTCTCAGGCTCCTACTTGTAAGTTTCAGGCATTATGGATCAGCCAAAAAAAGGGCACCTCTCTCCCTCTTCCTATGTCGGAAGACAACATCTTCCCTTTAAGCTGTGGCAGAGACTCATTTCTGATATTTTTGACAGCAAATATGGTATCTGTGTGAGGTAACGTTGAGGGTCACTTGTTAAAAGCTGCTGCCTGACAGGTGTTGGTTCTGGAGCTAGCGAGACGGGTAATGATGGTGTTCTATACTGTAAAAGTTTTGCCAGAATTAATCTATACCCCCTTCGTAAATGTAAAGACATAAATGTTACCACACGTGAGTGTAGATTCACAATTTTATAAAATACATTCTCACACATTAATGTATTTAGGAATCGCGCTCATTCTCAGGGCATTGCCTGTCCGCTCTAGATTCATCGGGGCCTGCTCAGCGGCGGGGGAGCTGGGGCCTGGGAACAGCCTGGCTTGGTTCAGGCAGCTCCAGGGCAGTGCTGTTGGCCCAGGGCACGGGAGGTGTCTGCCGGAAGAGCAGCTCTCTTAAAGTTGCTCTTCATCCCTTTGTAGTTAATCTCTCAGAACTAGTTAATAAATCTCAACGAAACTTTCCATGTTCATGTTAATGTGTGGTTTCTGTCTCCCAACTGGATCGTGACTGATTTGTATATATCTGCATATGTATGTAAGTATGTATGCATGCATGCTTGTATATGTGTATTTATATGTGTACCTATGTACATGTTGTCTGTAGGTATGCACACGTGTATGTGCAGGTGTGTATGCATATGTGTGTATCTAAATGTGTATGTATCTGTAAATACGCAGGTATGTCTGTATATATGTTTGTAAATATTTGTATATTAAATATAAATTAATTGGGCATAGCTAACCTGTGCTTAACTGTTGTTTCTGCTTTGAAAGATACTCATTTGTAAATATAAAATTGTCTCAAAAGATCAACACGATACATCCATGAAATCACTAAGTTGATTGGTACAATGGGTGTCCAGATTCCGACAGATGTTTAATTCATCCTAGTTGAGCTAAACTGAAAGGCTGATTTTGCTGGCCTCGGTTATGGGAGAGGCAGAGTGGGCCGGCGGTGCAGCAGCTGTTGGGAACGAAGCTTGTTTCTAGCGTAACCACTCTAAGTGTCTTGTTGAGCAGCCACATGTCTGAGGAAAGGACGGCTGACGCCTCGTGTTGCTCTCTGAGGCGCTGCGGGAGCCCTCAAGTAGGCTGTGCTCCCAGCTCTGTCCCAGATGGCAGCCTGGACTCTGGGCAAGGCCCTTTCCCTCCCTTTGGGCTGAGGCTGTCGACTGGGTGCTTTCTCTCGGGCTCTTCCCACTTCACACCAAAACTGCACCCATACTTCACGTGCCCACCATGGGTGTCTGTGAGCTGTGGCTTTGTGGCCTGTCTTTCCTCCTGGGATAGGCATGGTGTGCGTTGTGGGGCAAGTGTCTGCTAGGAAGGTTTTCTAAGCAGCAGACAGAACTCACGCGCCTCGTGTTGATGCTGCTGCCTGGCTGGCCGACGTGGCCGGCTCCGGTGAGCATGCCTCCTGGAGCGGCTTTGCTTCCTGTTTGCTTGCAGTCGTAGCTTCAGCATTCAGAACTCTTTCCTGGCCTCAGTTCATTATGGGTCACAGGTTCATTTTTTCTTTTGTTTTCGGTTCCAGTTTATTTTAAAGGCATGTTTTAGTTGCACTGCTTTTTTAAAAGCCCCCTCTGGCCTCCTGATTCCAGCTAGTGTCAGCCGTGGGATACCTGCGCCTGAAGGGCGTCATTCACCGCGACATCAAGGACGAGAACATCGTGATCGCCGAGGACTTCACCATCAAGCTGATAGACTTCGGCTCGGCCGCCTACTTGGAAAGGGGAAAATTATTCTATACGTTTTGTGGAACCATCGAGTACTGTGCCCCGGAAGTTCTCCTTGGGAATCCGTACGTATGCGGCAGCCTGTCCCTGCGCCCTCTGTCAGGACCCGGGTGGGAAGGTGGCTCCCTTCGTGCCTCGTGGCGATGGGTGTCGAGGGACCGGGGCTGGTGTGCTGAAAGATCAGTGGGCAGGCGGGCAGGGCCCTGTTGTCAGAGGCGCTGGGCGAGCAATAGAGGAGTTAATCCGTTTACTTTCTCAGCTTTTATTTATGTTTGGAGTTTCATAGAATAAAAAGCTAAGAAAAATATTAAAGATAAGAGTCTCCCAAAATGGTACTCTTCAGTAAGTGAAGAGGATTCCTTTTAGTTAGATTTATTTATTTTGATGACAGGAATCGTTATTTCAGTAAAATATAGTGGGGCTGATCACACAAGAAATGAGCATTAGAGAAAGTCCCGAGGCAGAAGGCTCGTGCTGAAGGCGGAGCGCTTGGCTGGAGGGGCCGTCGCTGAGCAGCCAGACGTCAGGGCGATGGAGTGGGCCGGCTGAGCCTCTGCTGTGGGGAGAAGCAGCGTCCTGGGGTGTGTGGCCGAGTTGGCGGCTCTGCAGTCAGGGGAGCCTGTGAGTCAGGGGCCGGTGTGGGCAGGGCCGCCCCTCGGGAGCTTAAGAGAGGAAAGGAAAACAGGAAGACTGGTTGGTTTGTAGGGCCTGAGTGGGGCCTCTGCTGACGGTGCTTTCTGCTGCACGCGCCTGGATCACTCTCTCATCTTCTGTAAACCAAGTGTGTCTTTATGTGTATGAAATAGATTTTATTAAGTTAGAAACAGACAACAGGTGTTTTCCTCAGGTGTGGTTGGAACACTTCTAGGTGCGTTCGTGGTTAGAGGGCCGGACGATCACGGCACCGCTTGGACCCTCACAGTGGGCCGAGGCGGTGCTCTGCTGCACCGCCCGTGTCTGTTCCATGTGGTTCTGTAGGAGGCAAGCTCGTGCTGTCCTCACAGGAGAGGGGCACAGGGTCCCTCACACAGACCTGCTTGCTTGGAGCTGGACCTGACGTGGTGGCCTGAGGCCAGAGCGTTTGCTCACGGTCACTGCGCAAGCTCCGTGCTGTGCCCTGGACTCTCGGGAGAAGCTCAGCTCGGGGAGAGGAGTGGCCGGGGTCTGCCTGGGCCGTGTTTCATCAGTCAGGAGGTGTGGGTTCCAGATGCCCACCCCGAGTCCTCAGAGCCCAGCGGCCTTGGCCTGTGCCAGCCTCCACACCAGGCAAGCATGGGCTCTTCTGGGCCTGGATGCCCTGTGTGCAGAGTGTGGAGGAAGTGCAGGGGGGCTCTTCCCCGCTAGAACCTCCATGTGTCTTCAGAGCCAGCAAACGGTGTGAAGTATTGAAGGGGCAGGTCTGAGAAGGGTAGATGTGGTTTGTTGCCCTGGTGCCTGGTGGGTCCTGTTGGGTCCTGGTGGCTCTGCCTGCCCTGCAGTGGCTGTTGTGCCCTCCGTGCTGGAGGGAACTGCCCGTCCCCTGTCCACTGACCCATGACACCTGCTGCGTGGCTTGTTACCCTCCCTGCACCCAGGCCGGAACCCTTGGGAGGATGCGGGGGATCCAGCCTGGGCGAGAGCTCAGTGCTGCTCAGCCACCTTGCTCCTGCCTCCCAGGGCCGCGGGCCTGCCCTCTCCCTGAGCACCTGCCCTGCCTCCCGGCCCCTCCCTTCTGGCTTGGGCAGTGTGCCGCTCCTGGGCCTGCTGGGCTGCAGGCCTCCTCTTGGGAGCCCCTCCGTCCTGCATCATCTCCCCATATCTCTGGGTGAAAGGGTTTCTGAGTTCTGATTCTCAGTCCCGTCCTCAGGGACCCGGCTTCCAGCTTGCCATCTGCATCTCCATCTCCTCCAGGGTCGGCAGCCTGAGGCCTTAGATCCCCGTTCCCCTTCCTCCAGCCCTGGCAGCCGCCATGCCACGTCCTTTTCCGTGAATCTGACGACTCTAGGGACCTCCTCTATGTGGAACTATACAGCATTTGCCTTTTGGTGACTGGCTTATTTCACTTAGCATAAAGTCCTCAAGGTCCGTCCGCGCCGTGGGCTGTCCCAGCGTCTTCCTTGTCAAGGCTGAATCTGACTGCATTTTTGGATATGCTGTACATACTCATTCATCTGTCTGTGGACATTCGGGCTGCTTCCACCTTTTGCTTCCATCTTTATGTCGTTCATGATGCTGGTACGAACGTGTGTGCGCAGGCACCCCCGGCTCTTGTTTCTATAAATCAAGCTTTATTGGAATGGAGCCGTGCTCATCTGCTTATGTGTTGTCTGTAGCTGCCTTCCTCCTTCGTGACAGAGTTGAGTTGCAGTGGGGACCATGTGGCCCCAAAACCTGAACTATGTACTCTTTGGCCCTTTATAGGAAACGTCTGCCAACCTCTGTTCTATTCTACTGGATATTTCTCTTCAGCTTCTAGAAGCCTTAAAATCTCTCTCTAACAAACAGAAACAACACAAAGATGAACACTGCCAAAGCTGATGTTCTTGCTCTGACCCCTGCAGCCCTCATCCCCTCGGCTTTCCTGCAGTCTGTGCTGGTGACCCCACCGCCCTCTGACTCAAGCTGGTGGCCTGACATTCGCCCACGCTGCTGCTCTGGCCTCTGGGATCTGCCTTCTTGAGCCCTCCCGGCCCCTCTTCTCCGAGTCCAGCCAAGGGCTGTCTGGCACTTCTAACTGCTGTGGTTTCTCTTGTGGTTTGTCTGATTCCAGTTCTGGGAAGAGGCTGCTGCTTCCCAGACCTCTTCTCGGGACAGACCCTCAGCTGCGGACCCAGAGACTCGTGGTCTCGGGCAGCGCAGGGACACAGCCAGGTGCGGCTGACCTGACTCCAGGGCGTGCTTGGTAGCAGCTTCGCCTCACCAAGCCTTGCTCCTCTTCTGTGTAAAATGAAGGTAGTATTTATCTTGCTAGGTGGTCGTGAGGATGGGGGCCAAGCCATGTGAACTGCTGGTACAGCACTGGCACCTCTAGGTTCCCAATAAAATGGCAGCTGGGATCAGGATGTTGACGGAGAGGTGTCTTCCCTGGGGCTGCTCTCGCTGGCCCATTGTGTGAACACTTACCGTGCCTCCACCGCTTCCTTCTTGACCGCCTTCATTCTCCGGTGTTTCTCCCGTTCAGTCTCGTCCTGGTGTGCTCGTCACACGTGATCCTGGTGTGATCTTTCTAAAGGGCACGCGTGTCCACGGTCACACCAAACTGAACTTGCCTGAACATGCCTGAAGGGCACGTAACCCTGTTCTGAAGCAGCCTGCGGCTCCCATGGCCCTGAGCAAAGCCAACAGACTTGCAGTCTGCTTCCTCTGGGAAGCCCTCATTAGCCTCGGAGCTGCCCAGGGGCCTCTCCAGCCCTGGCAGGTGGCTCGATGGCTGGTCTGGGGCAGAAGCGCGTGGAAATGGAGGGCGTGTTTGAGGGGTGGAGTGACTCTCCTGGGAATTCGCTGCCTGGCCTGTGTGCCTGGTCGGGAAGGGCCACAGTGCTTCCCGCGGGCGGGCTTGGCAAGTGCGTGCTGAGCACCATGGCGTCTGATGCCTTCTCGCAGCTACAGAGGGCCGGAGCTGGAGATGTGGTCTCTAGGAGTCACTCTGTACACGCTGGTCTTTGAGGAGAACCCCTTCTGTGAGCTGGAGGAGACCGTGGAGGCCGCCATACACCCACCGTACCTGGTGTCCACAGGTGAGCGTGAGCCGCAGACGATTCCGTCTCCTCCGTCCTCGGTGATCTCTGTCCATACTGATAGTCTCACTTGTTTCCTTTCTATTCATCGAATAATTGATCTGATCAAAAGAATAATTTGCGTATGACTGTAAAACATCTTGGTAATTTAGTTTTCATTACCATCTTTGGATCTTAGAGGCCCTCTTGTGAGAAACAGACTTGCAGTCCACACCTGGCCATGGCAGCAGCTAAGATTAGGCCCTTAGGTTAGAAACCCCATCGCACAGTGGGTGCCAGTGGATTGAGGCTGAATTTGATTGCATTTTCTTGATGTGCTACACTTGACTCCCCAGCGGCGCATGTGGAGGCCGTGGGGCTTCAGTTGCACCATGAGCTCCCCTTGATGTGCCTCAGCTTCCCGCAGGGACAGGAGTGGCTGTTTGTGTCTGGAGTGGGACCAGTGTGGGAGGCAGATGTGGGCTCAGTGGCCAGAAAGGCCTCCAGATGATCTGGAGTGGGCCGCCTCAGGAGCTCACACCCCACAGAAGCCCTGGAGCTGGTGATGGTGTGAGGGGCAGCCAGGTCAGCAGGGGTAGCTGTACCCCAGGGTTCTGAGGTCTCTTCCAATCTTGACATTGTGCCATGAAGAAGTACCTTGGACTGGCATAAACAAGAGATGTGCATTTCTCACAGTTCTGGAGATGGCCAACTTCTTGCTGGGTTCTTCGAGAGAGAGAGAGAGTGAGCTCTGAATTTGTCCTGTCTTCCTCTTATGGGGTTCCACCCTTGTGACCTCATCTAACTCCAGCTACCTCCCAAAGGCCCTACCTCCTCATACCACATCAGGAGTTGGGGCTTCAACACATGGATTGTTTGCGGGGATGGGGGGACTCCGTCTCTGGCAGCCTGGAAGGGATTCTTAGATTTGCTGAAGCTCTCGATTCCTGTGATGCCATGGGTCTTGGGCATGCTGTTCCACCCACAGAGGCTGTTCCGTGTGTTCTCCCACTGGGGTAGGTCCCCTGGGATGGCGAGGCTCCAAGTGGCCCTGGTTGGGTTGGTAGCTACATGGTTAAAGGAAGTGGGACCTGAATCCAGGTGCAAGGCAGGGGGCTCCTCTCAGAGCTCGTGCTGGCATCCCCTCACCTGTCATGTTAACCCTGATAGTCACAGCTCCGCATAGCCAGAGCCCCCGACGACAGACCAGTCAGGAACCCCCGCACCACCTGGACTGTGGTTGCATGAGATGGCATCTTGAACCCCAGGCTTTCATTTCAGAGGCAATGAGTGTTTCCTGCAGCTTTTCTCCAAGCACAGCTGGGCCCTGCACTAGAGGTTCCTGGGCCGCCTTCTGCCCAGTCAGAGGCTCTGCAGGGGGTGGGGGCACCCAGGAGTCTGAGATGTGCTCCCCTCGATCCCAGTCTGGATCTCCCATCTGTGTTCTTTGTGTCCCTAGAACTCATGAGCCTCGTGTCCGGGCTGCTGCAGCCAGTCCCTGAGAAGCGCACCACCTTGGAGAAGCTGGTGATGGACCCGTGGGTAACACAGCCTGTGAACCTTGCTGAGTACACGTGGGAAGAGGTGTGCCGAGTAAACAAGCCAGGTGAGGCCTCTCAGCGCCCTCCGCCCCGTGTGACTTTGCTCGGAATGACGCGGTCCCGGGGCTGCCTTCTTGGGTCAAAAGGAGGAAAAGGAAGCTCTCTCTCCCATGCTGTCTTGGGCACAAATGTCAGGGCCTATAGCTGACCTGCCACCTGTGAGCAGGGGCTTGATTGTGTCCAGAGGCCTCTGGACCCCACTGGGGTTCAGGGTGTGGCTTTGGGCCTTGGAGGGTGGCCAGGTACCCATGGGAGCACCTGGCAGAAGGGGTCAGGACCCTCAAAGATGGTTTGAGGAATGCAGTTGGTGACGGTCTGACTGGGCTGAAGGGGAGGAGGAGGCGGCCACAGGTGCCGAGTGTGATGCTTTAGCAGCCTGGGGGGACTCGTAGCTCTTCAGACAAGGCTCTGGCCACAGAGCCAGCACCGCTGCTCAGAGCATTTGGGCCAAGCTGGTGAAGATGGCCCTGGGCTTAGATCCCCACAGCACAGTGGCAGGAGCTGTACTTCCAACCAGTTGGATTTCTGAGCACCCCCCACCGCCATAGGCTTTTGTTCTAGGACTTCCAGTAAAAAGCAAAGTATCTTAGCAGCTTATGTTGGTAGTATGTGACGCAGCTCTCTTCTTCTTCTTCAGAAAGCGGAGTTCTGTCCACTGCGAGTCTGGAGATGGGGAGCAGGAGCCTGAGTGAAATGGCCCAGGCTCAGGAGCTTTGCGGGGGCCCCACTCCCAGCGAGGCTCCTGAGGGCCAGAGCTGTTTGCTGACCAGCTAAACGCCAGCTTCTGGCTGCTTTTCTTCACTTGGCTCGGAAAATCATACGGTTTTCAGGCCCATCTGCTTGGAGAAAGTACATTCTCAAGCGTTCCCAGCTCACCTGCCAAAAACTCACGTGCAGGTTTGATAAACGCCAGAACAGAAGGCAGCGATGCTGTGTTATTTTAGGTTCATTACATAGATTTGGAATTCACTTTCTTCATGACCTAGAAAAATACCCCAGTGTTCAACTGTTTTATATTATTAAAGGGCTTGTAATTTGTGAACTCCTGAAGGCATGAGTGTTTTCTCTTTCCACTCTATACACGCCTGTGTGTTGTTCCCTCTGACTCGGTGTATGCTCATCTGAGCGACGGAGATGTGAAATGTGTAGAACTGTTAGATGACCAGACTGTTCCATTAATTTATTTTCTCAAACACTTTTCAAATTAAAGCATCTTGTTAGTAAACAGTTACCCTGAGTTGGAAGTCGTGAACTGTTCCTGTGTGCTGCGTGTGGGAAATACTTGGTTTCGTTTTGCCATTTGTGCACCCCACTTGCCATAGCTGGAGAGAAGTCTAGTCTTGGTCATTCTGGGGTTCCTTTTACAAGCAGGCCCTGCCAGGGGTGGGCCTAGGGCTCTGAAGCTTCCTCCATCTGGTAAGACTGGGGAGGGTGTGGCATCCTCAGGGACTTCCCTTCCCCCGGGCCCTGTAGCAAGGCTGCTGTCAACATGTGGCTGGCTCATGCCAGCAGTCCCCAAACCCCCACGGCTAGCCAGCTCCCACCTCTGTCTCCGTGAGGGGCTTTCTGGCCCAGCCCACACCTTCGGTCCACGGGAGGGGCTCCAGCGCTGTCCCTTCCTCAGGGCTGCTCGGGTCCCAGGGTGCTTCTCAGACACTCAGTGGACTGCTTCCCTCTCAGGCTCCAGTCCGTTCCCCTCAGACAGACTTGGCTAGGTCAAGTACTTACATTGTTTTATTTCATGTCTGTGTTAGGGAGGAGGGAAGAGCTAGAGGTGACAGCAGAACCTTTCATTTTTTTCCCTGCTGAGACAGTTGGAAAATAAATAAACCGCTACCCTTTTCCTGTGTCATGACTTGCAGACTGTTTTTCCACATTCTGAGACTCCTGCCCAGACCTTCTGGAAGCTGCTTGGGGGCCAGGCTGCCTCCAGTGTGGTTCTGAGCTATTTCTCGTGGTATTTAGGAGACACTCAACTGTTAAGGATGATCAGAGCAGTTAATCTTAGTCCCATCTAGTAGGATACGGGAGACTGCCATCCCTTTCCTCAGAAAGTGCTCTTCAGTCTCCCTGCCACAAGTGACTGATGGAGTTAGTATGGAGTTGGAGAACCCTCCTCTATCAGGGACACTAAAGGTACAGGTTTTTAGAGATGTGTAATAAAGTCAGTGACGTTTACTCTTCAGAATTCAAATGCGTTTCCTAATGTTTTGAGAACTCAACATTTTTCTTTGCAGTGTTTATGATGCTTATAACACAGAGGGTGTTATAGAATGGTGCGGGTTTTTTGTTTTTTGGAGACAGCCTTGCACTGTCACCCAGGCTAGAGCGCAATGGTGTGATCTCAGCTCACTGCAACCTCCGCCTCCCAGGTTCAAGTGATTCTCCTGCCTCAGCCTCCCGAGTAGCTGGGATTACACGTGCCTGCCACCACGCCTGGTTGATTTTTTTGTACTTTTAGTAGGAACAGGATTTCACTATGTTGGCCAGGCTGGTCTTGAACTTCTGACCTCAGGTGATCCGCCTGCCTCAGCCTCCCAAATTGTCGGGATTACAGGCATGAGCCACCGCGCCTGGCCAGAATGGTGTTTTCAGACAGGTGTTTAATGGATTGAGAATGCTAGGTCCTAGCTTTCCAAGAAATGTTACTTCTTTATAAGATAATAATGAAAGCTCATCTGACTTGATAGCAGTGGAAGGTCGGCTATTTTGCAAATGTTCTTTGCAGAAAGAACCCAGAGAGAAACATTCTGACGCTGAGGCTGCCAAATTTTCCACTCCATGTTTTTTTTTTTTTCATATGGAGTCTCACTCTGTCACCAAGGCTGGAGCGCAATGGCGTGATCTCAGCTCACTGCAACTTCTGTGCCCTGGGTTCAAGCAATTCTGCCTCAGCCTCCCTGGTAGCTGGGATTACAAGTGTGTGCTACCATGCCCGGCTAATTTTTGTATTTTAGTAGAGATGGGGTTTTGCCAAGTTAGCAAGGCTGGTCTTGAACTCCTGAGCTCAGGTGATCCGCTTGCCCTGGCCTCCCAAAGTGCTGGGATTACAGGCATGAGCCACCTTGCTTGGCCCACTCCATGTTTTTAAAGTATGGTTTGAGAGAGCAAAGTTTTCACAAAAGACTGAAGGTGATGTCTATTTATTTATCATTATTTTTATTTTTATTTTTATTTTTTTTGAGACGGCGTTTCGCTCTTGTTACCCAGGCTGGAGTGCAATGGCGCGATCTCGGCTCACCGCAACCTCCGCCTCCTGGGTTCAGGCGATTCTCCTGCCTCAGCCTCCTAAGTAGCTGGGATTACAGGCACGCGCCACCATGCCCAGCTAACTTTTCGTATTTTTAGTGGAGACGGGGTTTCACCTTGTTGACCAGGATGGTCTCGATCTCTCGACCTTGTGATCCACCTGCCTCGGCCTCCCAAAGTGCTGGGATTACAGGCTTGAGCCACCGCGCCCGGCCTATCATTATTTTTTGAGGCATACTTTTGCTCTGTTGCCCATGCTGGAGTGCAATGGTGTGATCTTGGCTCACTGTAACCTCTGCCTCCCAGGTTCAAGCGATTCTCCTGCCTCAGCGTTCTGAGTAGCTGGGACTACAGGCACAACGCCACTATACTCAGCTAATTTTTTTATTTTCAGTAGAGACAGGACTCACCATGTTGGCCAGGGTGGTCTCAAACCCCTGACTGCAAGTGATCTGCCAGCTTGGGATTACAGGTGTGGGCCGCCGCACCCAGCTTCATGTCAATTTTTCATAGTAAATGAAAAATTTACTATGAGTAATCTATTCAGAATCCTCGTGTCCCAGCTGCCATTTTATTTCTAGAGCTAGATAACCTGTTCAGGGTCCTTGATTCTTTCCAGGGAGTTGGGGTGGCTCATGGGAGTTTCTTAGGTTTTTGGTGTAGCAGAAACACAATTTATTTTGAGATGTTAACAGTTTAGTATTTTGAGAAGAAAACTGCATTATTAAAAACAAAAGGAACCAATTATTTTCCTTTTGTTTTTGAGACAAGGTCTTGCTCTGTCACACAGGCTGGAGTGCAGTGGCACAATCACAGCTCACTGCAGCCTCAACCTCCTGGGCTCAAGTGATCCTCCCACTTCCAGCTCCTAAGCAGCTGAAACTACAGGTGCAGGCGACCACTCTCGGCTAATTTTTGTGCTTTTTGTAGAGACAGTTTTCCTATGTTGCTCAGGCTGGTCTTGAACTCCTGAGCCCAGGCGACACTCCCACCTCAGCCTCCCAAAGTGCTGGGATGACAGGTGTGGCCACTGCACCCCGGCAAAGCAACCAATTCTTTAGTTCTACGCAGATTATAACCTTCCTTTTAGTGGATATAATCCCTTTGTCAAAAGATACAGTTTTACAGAGCTGAGCACCGAGCTCCCTGCCTGGCTCAGAGCAGGTGTGTCAATCTATGCAAGAATCAAATCCTTGACGTCCGTCCAGCATGGAGGCAACGCCAGAGACGCTCGTAAGTGCGGGCCGTGGCGGCAGGGCTGGCGAAGCGGGGCAAGCGCGCCTCCTGCTCCCCGCAGGCCTCCCCTCCGGCGGGCGTGGGCTCCGTCCTCAGCCGCACCCGCGTTGGGCCGGGACGAGGGAACCAGACCCCCGAGTCTGCAGGGCTCCCGCTTACACGGGGACCTGTGCCGTCATGCCCGCCATTTCACTTGGGTCGCTTAAAGTCGGCAAATTCTCATCTCCCACCGGCCGAGGGCAAGAGAGAACAACGGCGAAGCCTCTCCGCGCGCCGGCGGCCGCGGCGTTCACGCCGGACGCCGACTTCCGCACAGCGGGACCCGGGGTCTGTCCGCGGGGCACGGAGTCCGCCTTCCCGCCTCGGGGAGGATTCCCGCGCTCCCGGCTGCAGTTCCCGGAGCCGGGCGCCCCGCTCCCGAGGGCCGAGGCCACGGCGACGGGCCCCGCTCCGGCCTCCCGGCTTGGCGGAGGGGCGGCCCCGGGACACCGAGGGGGCCGCCTGAGCCCCCGACGCGGTGCGCGCGCAGCGCAGCTCCGGGCCGGAATCAAGAGCCACCGTCACCGCGCTGGCGCCGGGAACGGCGGCGGGGACGGACCGGGGGCCGGAAGTGCCGGGCCGGGGAGGGCGGCTGCTTCCGGCGCGGTCGCTGCTGCCGTCTCCGGCGCGCCATGGCTGCCTTCCGCCGTCAGGTGAGGTTGCGCCGGGTGCGGGGGCTTCTCGGGTCGCCGGCGGGCGGGCGGGCAGCGACGCGGAAGAGCCGCGGCCGCCGGCGTTTCGTGGAGCCCTTCCGGGGGTCCGTGCACGCTGACCTGGTTTTGGCCTCCTGGCCCGGGGGCTCGGCTCAGTTACTGTGGGGTATAGAGTAAGGTTGATTTTTTTTTTTTTTTTGGAGACAGAGTCTCGCTCTGTTGCCAGGCGCCAGGCTGCAGTGCAGTGGCGCGGTCTCGGCTCACGGCAGCCTCCGTCTCCTGGGTTCAAGCGATTCTCCTGCTTCAGCCTCCCGACGAACTGGGATTACGGGCGCCCGCCGCCACGCCCGGCCGATTTTTGTGTTTTTAGGAGAGACGGGGTTTCACCGCGTTGGCCAGGCTGGTCCCCAACTCCTGACCTCGTGGGATCCGTCCGCCTCGGCTTCCCCAAACTGCTGGGATGACAGGCGTGAGCCACCGCGCCCGGCCTGAGTTGACTCTTGAGCAAGAGTTTGATTTTCGCAAGGAAGAGAACGTGTATTTACGGTCCGTTAGGAGGAAGCGGAATCCGCATACAGATCTTTTTTTTTTTTTTTTGGAGACGGAGTTTCGCTCGTTACCCACGCTGAAGTGCAATGGCACGATCTCGGCTCACCGCAACCTCCGCCTCCTGGGTTCAGGCAATTCTCCTGCCTCAGCCTCCTGAGTAGCTGGGATTACAGGCACGCGCCACCGTGCCCAGCTAATTTTTTGTATTTTTAGTAGAGACGGGGTTTCACCACGTTGACCGGGATGGTCTTGATCTCTTGACCTCGTGATCCACCCGCCTCGGCCTCCCAAAGTGCTGGGATTACAGGCTTGAGCCACCGCGCCCGGCCTGCATACAGATCTTTAGGCCGGTGTTCCTGGCGGAGGCAGCAGCTGAACAGGGAGGCTGGAGAGCCGCCAGCGCTTGGGCTTGGCGGGCTGGCCCGGGGCGACAGTCGATGACGCTGGATAGGGGGTTGCGACCGATGTGAAGGTTTACAGCAGGGTTTCCCAACCCCCGGTACCGGTCCGTGGCCTGTCAGGAGCCAGGCTGCACAGAGAGGCGAGCGGTGGGTGAGCCAGCCAAACGTCCTCTGTGTTTACAGCCGCTCCCCTCGCTGGCCAGGCCGCCTGAGCTGCGCCTCCTGTCAGACGTTAGAGTCTCACTGGGGCGCAAACCCTACTGTGAACTGCGCCTTTGAGGGATCTAGGTTGCGCGCTCCTTGTGAGAATCTAATGCCGGATGATCTGTCACCCATCACCCCTAGATGGGACCTTCTAGTTGTAGGAGAACAAGCTCAGGGCTCCCAGTGATTCTACATTATGGCGAGTTGTGTAACTATTTCATTATATATTAGAATGTGAAAATAATAGAAATAAAGTACACCACCAATGTAATGTGCTTGAATTATCCCGAAACCCCTCACCAGTCTGTGGAAAACTGTCTTCAATGAAACCCAGTCCCTGGTGCCAAAAAGTTTGAAGACTGCTGGCTTAGCGTGCTTGGATGATTACGCATCGTTTGTTAAGCACCAGCGTGAGCCACTGAAGATTTCTGAGGTCAACTGGAATTGTGTATGCAAGTTGACTAAATTACTGTGACCCTTCAACAACACAGGGATTAGGGGCACCAGGCCGCCCCCACACCAGTTGAAAATCCATGTATGACGCTGACTCCCCTAAAACTCAACTACTTACAGCCTACTTGTGACTGGAAGTCTTACCGACAAGATAAACAGTCAGTTAACACATATCTTATATATATATTGCATTCTGTAAGTTAGAGAAAAGAAAATGTCATTAAGAAAATCATAAGGACAAAACCCCATCTCTACAAAAAATACGAAAATCAGCAGGGTGTAGTGCTGTGCGCCTGTAGTCCCAGCTACTCAGCCTGGGGAGATCAAGGCTGCAGTGAGCCATGATTGCACCACTGCACTCAAGCCTGGGCAACAGAGTGAGACCTCCCCCCTCAACTCAAAAAGAAAAAGAACATCCTAAGAGAAAATGCATTTATTATTCATTAAGAGGAAGCAGATCCTCATAAGGTCTTTAGGCTGAAGAGGAGGTGGAGGAGAGGTTGGTCGTGGTGTCTCAAGGGTGGCAGAGGTGTAAGAAAATCCACATATAAGTGGATTCGAGCAATTGAAACCCTTGCTCAAGCCTCCCGAGTAACTGGATTAAGGGCCAACTCTGTATCCCACAAGATTTTTCTTGTGGAATGAATTTAAGAATGTGAATCTGGAAAGTAGTCTGAGGTGAGACTTTCCTGGCAAAGGTGACCAGCTGGCCTAGAAATAGTTTTTCCCTCTTCCTCCATGTCTCTGCTGCCGTCCTTAAAGCTGCAAAAGCTAACAATATTGTACCTACTTGGCTCCCATCTCTATGCCCTTGAAATACCCTGTTCTCTATATGTGAGCTTCCTTCTCTGTAGGCTTAAGTTCAGATATGATTTTGCAGATTGCTTATAAAAAGTGTTATGTTTGTGTGGAATCAAGGCAGTAAATACTCTGGCTCAAAAATCTTGTGGTGTCCATTGCACTGGAATAGTGAGGAATTAATTGTCTTTCGGTGCTGTGTCTTACAGGTCCTTGACTGGCACCGCCTGATCCCCCTCACCTGGGCCTGTATCGCTAGGCAGATTCCTCATCTTGGAGAACAGAGAAGGACAACAGCTTCCTTGTTGCGCAAACTGACTACAGCCTCCAGTGGAGGGTTCATTGAGGAGTCATCCTGTATTAGATCCAGTAACTCTGTGCAGGAGCCAGAATGCAGGAGGAATCTTGTTCAGTGCCTCCCTGAGGAGCAGAGGACTCCTGTGGAACAAGGATCCTCGGTACTGGAGAGAGTCGTCAGTTCCCTCCAGGACATGGGTTTCAGCGATGCCCATATTAATGAATTGCTCCGTGTACAGCCAGGTGCCAGTCCTCAGCAGTTGCTGGACATCATTTCAGAATGTATTCTCTTGGGTCTGAATCCAGAGCCTGTGTTTGTGGCCTTGAAGAAAAGTCCCCAGTTATTGAAACTGCCTATTAAGCAAATGAGGAAGCGCTCCAGTTACCTGCGAAAACTTGGGCTTGGAGAAGGTACAAGAAGATGCAGATTTTGGCCGCAGTGGCTCACGCCTGTGATCCCACGTCTTTGGGAGGCCAAGGCAGGCAAATCACTGAGGGGTTCAGGATCAGCCTGGCCAACGTGGTGAAACCCTGTCTCTACTAAAAGTTCAAAAATTAGCTGGGTGTGGTGGCACATGCCTGTAATTCCAGCTACTTGGGAGGCTGAGGCAGGAAAATTGCTTGAACCCAGGAGGTGGAGGTTGCAGTGAGCTGAGATGGCGCCACTGAACTCCAGCCTGGATGACAGAGAGACTGTCGCAAAAAAAAAAAAAAAAAAAAAAAGAAAGCAGATCTTTATATAGTGTGAGAGAAGCCAGAGCTGGGGAGAGAAGAGCCTAAGGCGAGATGGATTAGGGGATTTCTGAGGGTATCAGTGTTCCTGGAGAGGAATGTCTGATTCGGCTTGGAGGAATAGGAGTGGCCTTCTGTGCAGAACGCATTTTGAGAGGGAAGGAGGAAGAGTTAAGACTAGAAGAAAAAAGTGGAGTGCCAGGACAGAGACTCGTGTCCGCCTTTTCCACTGTGGGCTCTTTAGCACCCAGTGCTGTGATGGGCATGTGGTATATGCTCAGTGGGTTGATGCTGAGATGTGATGTTGGTAAATGTATACATAGAACATTTGATGTTTAAATCAACATGAAATGGTCTTAGTGCTTTGTCTCTGAAGTCAAACCAACATCTCTTGTAAAGACTTACCTTCCAGCTGAGTGTTTTGATTTACTGTGGAATCCAAGAGATCTTGCCAGGTTCCTGGGAAACATGGGAGTGGGCTTCCCTTCTACCTATCCCCCACTCCTGCGCCCAGCATATTCACGTCTCGGGGCTGCCCAGAGTTCCCTGGATCTCTTTAGAGGCCTTCTAGAGGAGCTGGGGGCTCATGAGGGTCTCAAGGACCCTTACCCACTTTGACCAGAGGAGTTCCACTATTCTTTCTTTTCATTTTTGACTCTTCCTGTTAAGGTTTCTTTTGAGGCAGGGGTGGAAGGTGTAGGACCCACCATTTCACAGCATCTCCACAGGACTCCTTCTCTAGAAGATAAGGAAAAGGTAGCCTTGTATATTTTTCTTAACAGATTGCCTCATACAGTATAATCTAAAAGTCTAAACTTGATGCATTATGTGCAGTGATTATTATTTAGCCAGCTCAGCACAGCCTGAAGAGATGAAGATAAAACCTAAACTCCTGAAATTCCTCACACATTAAGATAATCACTAACCGCCGGGCGCGGTGGCTCACTCCTGTAATCCCAGCGCTTTGGGAGGCCGAGACAGGTGGATCACAAGGTCAAGAGATCGAGACCATCCTGGTCAACATGGTGAAACCCCGTCTCTACTAAAAATACAAAACATTAGCTGGGCATGGTGGCGCGTGCCTGTAATCCCAGCTACTCAGGAGGCTGAGGCAGGAGAATTGCCTGAGCCCAGGAGGCGGAGGTTGCGGTGAGCCGAGATTGTGCCGTTGCACTCCAGCCTGGGTAACAAGAGCGAAACTCCGTCTCAAAAAAAAAAAAAAAAAAAAAGATAATCACTAACTCAAATGTTAGGAAACTTTTAATTAACAGTTTAGTTGACTTTAAGTTTCCAAGTACTGAATTTTGCTCAGCTATACCTAGGAAGGCCTGGAATCGTCCCAGTTTACACCAGTTAATGCAGTTTTAATAGGGCCTGATTCACTCAAAGTGACCTGGCTTGGATAAGATATATAGTGACCGTGGTAACCAGGATGTCAGTGTTGGTGTGTGTTCTCGGGATTACTATTATTATTACTGTTATGATGACGATGGTGGAACTCCTTTTCAATGAGTTCAGCTTGAGAATGTTAGTTGTGAATGCTTCGATGACTTTTATTATAGAAGGAAACAGCAACCCAAAGCCCCAAATGGAGCAGACTACCCTCCCATATTACTCTCTGATCTTTCCAGTAAATGCCTGGGAAATTCTTTTCCAAGTGAGGAGGGCAAGAGGAGACCCAAAATATAAAGTTGGCAGCTTTCAGGTGGGAGACCAGAATACCGCAGGAATATGCGGGGGAGGGCTGGTGATTCTGAGGAGTGTCCCAGAGTCAGTGGGGATGTATCATTTCCATGGTGCTTCTGGAAAGACATGTCTGAAATTACCACTGCTTTGTGGAAGGAGAGGATCCTTGTTTGTTTTTAAATGTGGACTTAAATCGGGTGCAACTGGCTCCTTGGTTTCTGGAGTATCCTGAAATGATGTGCTTGCCTTTTTTGAATGTTCTGCAGGGAAATTAAAGAGGGTGCTTTCCTGTTGCCCTGAAATTTTCACCATGCCTCAGCAGGACATTGATGGCACTGTCAGGCTTCTCAAGGAGAAGTGCCTTTTCACGGTACAGCAAGTCACCAGGATTTTGTACAGCTGCCCCTTTGTTCTCCGAGAGGACCTGAGCCAATTGGAGTATAAGTTTCAGGTGAGAATGACTGACAGGGCGATTAGGGTGGTAATAGCAAGTTTTTCAGGTTTTTCAAATGTAGTAAGGGTCAGTTATATGGATAAGAAGCCTCAGACCCCTCATATCTGAGTGGAGGAAGTGAAAGACTAGATGGTCTTTGCATACATCAGCCAGAGAATTCGGTTCTGGTTCTGTAATTTCTTTACTACAGTTCAAACCTATTCTTCAGCTTTTCCGCCATTAGTAATGAATGATCCAGTCCGATTCTTAGAGTCTAAGTGGGGATTCTGAAATAGCTAACTTTAAAAGAGCTGAAGCCTTTCTGTCCTCAGAATCTGTTTTGCATGTTGATTTTGAAAACGTGATTTTAACAGTTGTCCTGATTTTTTAGTAATAATTATGGCAATTTAGGTCAAATTTCTAGATGTTTTCTGAATGTTTTGCCTATCTTTCCATATTCATAGTTTTCCTTCCCTGTTTAAGGAGAAATAGAACTTCTCCCTCCTGCCCCTTTATTTTCTGCTACATGTTTCTCAGTATGAGTTTGTAAGTGTTTTGAAACTGCCGGCTGTCATACAAATGTCAGTATTCTAGAGTGGGTATTCTGCTGTTGTCAAATAGGCAATTCTTTTGGAATCCTTTTGTACAACCTAAGTTTATATGGTTCGTAGAATGACAGGTTTTAAGACTCTGTATCTGGGATTCCTGAGTGTGTTTGTGTCTTCCAGTATGCGTATTTCAGGATGGGAATTACGCATCCAGACATTGTGAAGAGTGAGTACCTGCAGTATCCACTCAGCAAGATTAAGCAGAGACACATTTACTTGGAGCGCCTGGGACGGTACCAAACCCCTGATAAGAAGGGGCAGACACAGATCCTTAACCCATTGGTCAAGAACATTCTCAGAGTGTCAGAAGCTGAGTTTTTGGCCAGGACAGCCTGTACTTCTGTTGAGGAATTTGAGGTTTTTAAGAAGCTCTTGGCTCGGGAGGAGGAGGAGTCTGAGAGTGGCAAAAGGGCAAGTCTGGAGGAGGAGGAGGAAGAGGAGGACGAGGAGGAGGAGGACGAGGAGGAGGATGAAGAGGAGGACGAGGACGACGACGATGAAGATGACGAGGAGGAGCAGCTGTGACGGGAGGCCAGAAGCAAAGGCCCAGAGTACCAGGGAAGCTTTCCATTTGCTAAGAGCCTCTGGGTCCTTTACTTGAATCTTCTCAAGTTACTTTTTATTCTAAAACTAGTCTTTTGATGAAAAAAATTATAAATCACCTGAGAGGTAGATCAAACCAAACAGGAAACAGGAAATGCAAGTTTCATCTGTTGTCAGGTGTCCGGGGGGAGGGCCCTGTCCCATCCTAAATAACTTGCTTACTGTGAGCTATTCAAATCAAGGGGACATTTTGTTTTACTTTTTTCTCTTTTGAATATGTTGGTGATAATTCCATGACAGTTGGAAGATGGGATTCCTTCTTCTGGGTCAGGAATCACTTTATATTTCCTTTTAGTGATAAAAATAAAATTATGAGAAGGCAGTGTGAGGTTTTAGTACATCATAGCACTTTATTTTATGAAAACATGTAGCAGGTTTTCCACAAAAATATTTGTTTTTAATCCAAAAGTATATTGTTTTATAATTGCGTTCAGTGTGCAGCAGAGTGAAAGGAAGTTGATTCGTGATGTGCTGGTTAATTTGCACAGCGTCTCAAGGCAGCAAAACATTGTGGCAGTTTTATCTTTGTGCATAACAGGCCCTTCCTGTTGGGGGAAGTTGGCTTTTATGCCAGCTCTTGGCCAGTGGTCGGTCACCTCTAGGCCCGGTGTCTCCGGCCCTGTAGCCTGCAGCACCACTGTGCTGGCCTGGACAGTGCCGAGGCAGGTGGAGGCTGGGGAATGGTCCCAGACAGTCGCCCCCCCGTGCCCGGGTTACAGATGGGCTTTGAGAACCAGAGAAGGGGCATAGGGTCATGGGGCAGGTGGGCTGGAGCCACGGCCACAGGGAGCGCTCCATGACCGCCAAGGTGGGGGTGTCACCTTAGGGCACTCAGAACAGAGAACAATCTGAAATGCTGGGAACAGAGAAGAGGAATTTGATTTAAGCCAGGGGTGGTCCCTGAGGTAGAGGCCTGTCTCTGATGGCATGAGCTCTAAGAGGGTCCCGGAGGACATCCTAGAACATTCCAGTTAGCCCTTAAGGGAAACTGACAGGATTGTTGCAGAAAGCATTTTTGGTGATGGGAGCAAAATTTCAGTCTCCTTGGTAACATTCTAGGATCGACTAGATTCTAGGATCTGTTAGATTCTAGGATTCCAGTGGTGGAGGCCGGGATGCTGTAAAACACCCTACAGTGCTCAGGATGGCCCCCACAGGAGAGAGTGACCCAGCCCAAAAGGTCAGTGCTGAGCCCGAGAAACTGATCTAAGGCCTGGTCTAATGAAGTCACATGACCATTCACTCATGACAACTTCAGATTGTAAATGGACTTAGAATAGTTGTATTATTTTATTGAAAAGAGAAATAAATAGCTGGGTTTTCAGCAGGGCTCCATTCCCCCGTGCACTGGAATCCCTTGGTAGGTGTGAGCTGCGTGCTGTTGCGGGGATTCAGCACTGAAGTCTGGGTGCTTCTGTTTTGTTTTCTCTGGCAGCCTCTTCTCCGAGCAGGACTGCAAAGAAAGAGCCTTTTGTTTTGCAAAAGAGAAGCAGCCCAGTGACTCCCTCCACATCCCCGACGCTGGAGTCAGATGTGGTGGCAGTGGAAGGAGTCCTGCTGAGGGCAGGTGCAGGTGAGCTGGCCCTTGACTGGGGCCCCTGCCTGCTAGGTTCTCCACTGGAGCACAGCAGAAATCCCCTTACCTGTACCTGGCAGCTCACATGCCGTGGGGAAAAGGGGGGAGTTTGTCTTGCCTTGCTGGCCATAGGCAGAACTGGAAATGAAGACATTTCACCATGCCAGTGTTTTCACTTTCTCCGGCTGTGGCATCCCAGTCACTGCCACTTGTCCTGCAACCTCGGCCTGTTGTTCTTGTGCCCAGCGTGAGGACTGAGCAGATACTCAGTCTGTACTCGGTTGGATGATCAGCACATCCGTTTCATTAGCAAATGGGTAATTCAGCAACTCATGACTGCTGCTTTCATTCTGATACAGAAATAAATCTTTATGCTCCTGACAACTTTCTGATTCTACTATTACTAATTTCCTTGGGTGGACTTTGAGTATTTTCAAGGAAGCCGTTCGAGTTTTTAAAAGGAGCCGTGTGAGAACAGCTGTGGTGGCCTCTTTGGAATGTTTGAGGAATCAGCTGTCATTCCTGACCACCAGGAGGTCTTTTTACTAGGTATTTCATGTGTAAAACATCCCCAAGGACGAGTCCTGTGATAGCACAGCACCCAGCCTGGGACTCAGGAGCCAGTTCTCGTTGACACTTGAAACATGTTAGCATTTGCTGTGTGGCTGAGGGGCTTGAGGTCCTAGTAGGGAGTAGATTCACCTACTTTTCCAGTGATATCACTTGATCTTAGCATCTGCTGGGAATGCTGGAGCTTACATGGATGAACAGTGACGGGTCCCAGGGCCGCAGGAAGCCAGCAGTGCGTGTTTGTGTACACGGTTTTCTCTCAGTTCACCCCGTGACCCTTCGCCGAGCTGGAGACCCTGCACTGAGCTCTGCCTTCTGCTCTCAAGTGGGTCTGGAGGCTGGGAACATTTTGGGAGTACAGGTGAAACTTCTCGAATTGCCTGTTCCTTCTTTCTGAAAATGAGAGACTGCAGAATACACACACAGATGCACATGAAATTTTAATAAAGAGAAAAAGCCTAAAATATACTCTTAACTCTTAAAAAAACATGTTTTTAAAAGACAAAAGGAAGGAGGCCCTTTCTGTGGCTGGAATGCTGGCTCTGAGCAGAGTCCGGGAGACGCGGCAGGGTGCTTTCCAGCTAGGTCAGCTCTCATGAGGCTCAGCTCGCGAGGAGGTGGGACTGGCTTCTCTGGTTGTAACATTAGCAGGGGGAAGACAGCTGCCTAGAAGCATGGTGGGAAGCAGATGTGGTGAGGTGATGCCCTGTCCTGCTTCTGAAGATGGGGAGGTCTAAGATGGTGCTGACTACCTGATAGCCCGACACGGCATTTCTTGAGTCACGGACTGAAGGAACTTAAACGCTGTGCAGTCAGCCCAGGCATCCATCCCTGCTGCGCTGAGGCTCGTGCGGAGTCCTTGATGCTTCGCGCTGTGTGCCTCAGCTTTCCAAGTAGGGGGCTCGATTGCTTTTTTCCATGAAAATTCAGGGGTCTTTGATGCCTTTGTGACTTGCCATTCAGGGGATGGCTTCCACTGTTTAAGGCTGAAGCTGAGATGATCTCATAGAACAGGGTTCACCAAATATGGCCCATGGGCCAACTTGGCCACTGACTGTTATTGTAAGTAGATTTTTATTGGAACACAGCCATTCAATACATGCCTGTGGCTGTGGCTGTGCTGCTGTAGCCACAGGGACCTCTGGTCTGCAGAGCTGAAAATATTTACCATCTGACCCTTTACAGAGAAAGGCTGCCAGCACCACTATAGATGAAAAGTGTCTGAACTCCACCTTATGTTAACATTTCCTCTACTAGTCCATACGATGGCTCGTCGCCCTGCACAAGCATCAGAAACATGCTGGAGGAGCAGAGCACGGTGGCTGTGTCTGCACCTCAGCTTTCCTTCCAGCATCGCCTGGTGTCTGCTTTTTGGCCCCTGCCCCGTCTGTTTTGGAAGCTGTCCATCATGGTTCCTTCTCAATTTGTTAGGCCTCAAAGGGAGAATTCTTTCTCTGGCTTTGGAGTCAAAGAACAGGTTTCTGAGTACTGCAGAGTGTGGCTGACGGCCTCGCTGACCCTGGGGAACGGTGGCTGTCATCTCATTCGCAGAGGTATGGACCACACCTTCAGGAACTGCAGCCTGGGTGAGAGCACAGACCGCTGAAGTGCTTCGCAGGACTCCCAGGTGGCTGGTCCCAGAGCCGGGTCTCAGGGTGGGCTGGCGCACGCACAGGCCTGGCCCTCCGGCTTCTAGAGGCCTGAGGAGGACGGTCAGAGAGGGGACTGACTCCAGCTGGGACCTTTTCTCTCAGGGTGTCCTTTTTCATCCAGTTTTGAGACCTCATCTTCCTGGGCTTTAGAAACTTTTGAGGTTGGTGGAGTGTAACAAAAACGTCTTAAATCCTCTGAAGAAAAAACAAAGTGAAGCATGAGCATGACAGGCATTCCCACTCCTCATTAAACCAGCTGCTTCCTGTTTCTCTTAATGGTCCTTATGTTGTTAAGGCACCAGTCTAAGGCTGGCGTCCCCAAACTTTTTACACAGGGGGCCAGTTCACTGTCCCTCAGACCGTTGGAGGGCTGCCACATACTGTACTCCTCTCACTGACCACCAGTGAAAGAGGTGCCCCTTCCTGAAGTGCGGCGGGGGGCCGGATAAATGGCCTCAGGGGGCCGCCTGCGGCCTGCGGGCCATAGTCTGGGGACGCCTGGTCTAAGGAGGCAGTGCACGTGGGGAGGGGCAGCCTCCACTGACTACATTCCCATCTTTAGGAACACGTGGGCTCAGCATTACGACTTTTAAATGTGAAATCAACAGGCTATTCCTCTTCCCTGCCTTCCCCTTTCCGGTAGCGACTGTGGGTCTGTTCTCTTAGGGAATGGCTGTTAGGTTTCTCTGGGTTGAAATAAATTCTCGTGGTGTTCTTGGGTAGGTGTCTGGGTGTGTGTATTTCTGTTTCCTGCTTTTTTGTGGGTTTACTTCATTGTTTCAAGACCAGGTGTTCTATAAACCAGTTTGATAATTAGTTGGGGGCTTCTGATTTGTTTTTATAGAAGTGGATGTGCAAGGAAAACTTAAAATGATATATTGGCTGGGTGCGGTGGCTCATGCCTGCAATGCCAGCACTTCGAGAGGCCGAGGTGGGTGGATCACCTGAGGTCAGGAGTTTGAGACCAGCCTGCCCAACATGGCGAAACCCCATCTCTATGAGAAAATAAATAAAACGATACATTAATATTTCAGGTGACTTACCACAATATAAACACCTCAAACCCAAATTATGTTGGATTCGTAATCCTAGCGCAGTCAGGCACTGCATGATGGACTGTGGGTATGACAGTTGTCTCATGAGATTACAGTGGAGCTGAGGTCAGCCATGACTTTTTCTTTCTTTTCTTTTCTTTTTTCTTTTTTTTTTTTGAGACAGAGAGTCTCTCTCAGTTGCCCAAGCTGTAGTGTAGTGGTGCAATCTCAGCTCACTGCAACCTCTGCCTTCCGGGTTCAAACAATTCTCCTGCCTCAGCCTCTTGAGTAGCTGGGATTACAGGCGCTTGCCACCACACCTGGCTAATTTTTGTATTTTTAGTAGAGATGGGGTTTTGCTATGTTGGCCAGGCTGGTCTCAAACTCCTGACCTCAAGTGATCTGCTGGCCCCGGCCTCCGAAAGTGCTGGAAGAATTCTCTGTGTGTTTGTGCTGATGCTGGTGTATACAGACCTACTGCACTGCCTGTTGTATAAAAGTCCAGCACATACAATTACGTACAGTTGATAACACGTGATCGTGACCATTTGTGACATGACTGGTTTATGTATTCACTGTACTCTTCATCATTATCTTAGAGCGTACTCCTGCCACCTATAAAACAAAGTCAACTGTACAGCGGCCTCAGGCAGGTCCTTCGGGAGGTATCCAGAAGAGGGCATCATTATCGTAGGAGGTGAACAGCTTCATGTGTGTTACTGGGACAAGATGTGGAAGTGGAAGAAAGTGAAACGGATGACCCTGATCCTGTGTAGACCTAGGCTAATGTGTGTGTTTGTGTCTCAGTTTTTAACAAGAATTACAAACAACAGTTTTAAAAATAGAAAAAAGCACTGAGAATAAGGATAGAAAGGGCCGAGCACGCTGGCTCATGCCTGTAATCCAGAACTTTGGGAGGCTGAAGTGGGTGTAACACGACGTCAGGAGATCGAGACCATCCTGGCTAACACGAAAAACCCCGTCTCTACTGAAAATACACAAAATTAGCCAGGCGTGGTAGTACATGCCTGTAGTCCCAGCCACTTGGAGGCTGAGGCAGGAGAACTGCTTGAACCCAGGAGGCGGAGGTTGCGGTGAGCCTGGGTAACAAGAGCAAGATTCTGTGTCAAAAAAAAAAAAAAAAAAAAAAGGATGGAAAGAAGACGATTTTGAGCATCTGTACAATGTGCTTGTGTTTTAAGCTGTTATTACAAAGAGTTAATAAGTAAAAAATTAAAAATTTATAAAGTAAAAAAGTTACAGTAAGCTAAGGTTAACCGATGATTGAAGAACTGAAGTCTAACTGCAGCTTCCAGCCCTGCACGCTCGCTGGGATAAGCGCCCTGCACAGGTGGACCCTTTCTTATCTTATACCACATTTTTACTGTAGCTTTTCTGTTTAGATGTGTTTCAGATACACACAGCGCTGTTACAACTGCCTACATTGCTCAGGAACACGCTGTGGCGTGCAGCCCAGCACAGTCTCTGCCACGCGGCCCAGGTGTGCGGGATGCGGTGCTATCTCAGCGTGCTCTAAGTACTTGCTCATCACCTCACAAAGCGTTTCTGAGTCCATCTCCATTGCTAAGCGACACTGGACTGCGGCAAATTGCTCACAAGCCTGGAGTGTGTTTAGTGTGTGTGTCTTTGGAGGGTGAGGTGGGAGGGGAAGTAGATGCTGCCCGCTGCTCTCTCTGGAGACTTTCCACATCTGAAATGGCGGACGAATGCAGTCCGTCATGGCTAACTCAGAGCTCAGGCTCCTGTCACCGGCAAAGCTCTGGCCTAGGCCCTTCCCCTCAGGTGCTGTGGACACTCTTCCTTTGCTGTGAGCCTGTACCTGAAAAGCTCTTTTGCTTCTGTTTGTCTTTATTTTTTTTTAGCATGTAACAAAACATAGACCTGTTTGAAGTGGCTTGTTACCCAGGGGCGCCTCACTCTTAGGTTTACCACCAGGAAGAGGAACTGTGAAGGCTCATTTAAGGGGCAGGAGTGGTCAAGCTGTCCTCGGCCAGCCAGAAATCCATCCTTCATGCACAGTGACATGTTGACAAGAAATCATGGTCAGTATGAAACTGATTACAGGTTATAGATGGGTTTTATGGTACATCCCAGTCTTTTGCAAACTATTGTGAAGAATGCCAGTGGTCTTGAAGATTCAGCACTTAGGCCGGTGGGGGCAGGATGGGGCTCTGGTTGCCAAAAGAGTTTGGGAAATTCTAGCTTAAACAAGTAGAGTCAGAGAGTTTTTCATTTCAGGTTTTGTGAGTGTCTGTGAGTCCACTGTCCGTTACGAGTCTCCTGGTGAGAGACGGTCTCTGAGATGTTCTAAGTACTAAGTGATCAAGGCCCCTGCCGTCTGTTTACTTCTGCTAGAAGGCCGTTCACAGGATCTGGGCAGCACTCCCTTAGATCTCTCCTGGAACCTCTGGAACTCGAACAGCCCAGGCCCTCCCACTGCCCGCACCCCTCCTCCCAGGTGCCAGGTGGTCTTCCAGCCTCTCCAAGTGCCCACCCTCCTGCCTCTTCCTCCCACTGCAGCTGATCTAGTGGGGTTTGCCCCTACCCACAGAGAGCTGCATTTCCACCTGAAGATGTATTTGTCAGTGGCTAGGCCAGGTTCACGTCTGTTTCCCCTTGGGGAATTCTGAAACCTTCCTGGCCCGGGAGTCTGTAACACAGCAGCACATGGCTGAGCTTCCTGTAGCAGTGCTTACTAAGTAGGCTGCGGCACCCCGAGAGTCCGGGGTGCTTACTAAGTAGGCAGCGGCATCCCGAGAGCCCAGAGTGCTTAGTAGGCAGCGGCACCCCGAGAGCCCGGGGTGCTTAGTAGGCAGCGGCACCCTGAGAGCCCAGGGCTGGGCAGTCACCCCCACTTCCCAGCAGCTCTGTGGTAGTGGTGCAGGAGCAGCAGGGACGTACCTTAAGATTTCTCCAGTGTCTGACTCTTACTTTGTTTCCTGAAATAGAGAAAAGTCATTTAATGACAAAGAGACTGTGTACCTTGAATTCTACAGCTACCTCAGTCCAGGGTACCTGCTGAAACCCTGCCTTTAGCTCACGGACGTTTCAGGGTGAGGGACACTGTGAGTCCAGACACTGATGTGGAGATGAGCATTTCAGTTTGTGTGCACCCACCTGGCTTGAGACCGTAGTTGTGGAATGAGAAGGCTAGAAACCTAGCTGGATGTGAGTCAGAAAGAGAAGGACGGACGTGGGAGAAAGCAAGCAAAAGCCACCCTAGGGAAGAGCTGGGTGACACGCGCAGGCCGGGCAGCACGGCTGGTGAGCTGCAGGCTGGGGCCCTGCCTGACACTGGGAGTGCGAAACACGTGTGTGTGGCCACCTGTGGGTCTGTGCGGACGATGACAGGTTTCAGCTCTGATTCTGAAAGATACAATGTTCTCAGGCACTTCTTTCAGTAAACTCCAGACAGGAGTAATTAACTACCTTGAACCCTTCGGGAAAGAACCTGGGTGGGTGTGAGTGAATAAAAAGTAAACAGCGCCGTTAAATACTCGGGGCTGTCAGTAACCCCCCGTGCCTCCCAACTGTAGCACATGTTCTGTGTGAATATGCAGAACCCGGGTGACCACCCAGTACCCAGCATGTGGCCTCCTGAACACCCAGCATGCCTGGCTGCGCCTCTCTGTGCACCCACATGCACATATATGGACATAAGTTTCGTAGCAGAACACGGCTGCCCAGGGGCTGCCTCTCGGAAGCAGCCCGCTTGGCTCAGCCCTCAAGCCTGCAGCAGCCACAGCACCTGCCACCTCTGCCCGTCACCCTGTGAACCACATGCAGGGCACAGCCTGGCCTGCTCCCCGGAGGCACCTGTTTGGGGCTTTCTTGATGCTTGTGCTTTCACAGCTCTCTTTGAAGCAGATGTCTTGGTGAACTCTGTAGACTCGTTTATACCTGTTGTCACAAGAAAGCTTTGTAAAACAGACAGTGAAGCAAAATGTCGCCCTACTGCTTAACCTAGGCTTTGTGAACCCACAGGTAAACAGGAAGGTGTTGGAGGGAGAAGCTGTGACTTTAATGAAACGTTACCTCCTGTTGATGTATTAAAATGTGTAACATAAAGATCATGTGATTTGTAATCACTTTACTGAGGCACAATAATATACATAAAATAAACCCACTGTAATGTGCATGCAGATGAGCACGGACAGAGCACATGGTACTAAAAGATCAAATGTGAAATTTCAGAAACACGTCCCTGCTAGAGGCAGGCCACTCGGCCTGAGGCCTTGGGAGGGTATGACCTCACTTCTCTGTTTTTCTGGGTATTTCACAGAGAAGTGTGAGAAGTGTTGGGGAGTCAGGATTCAGATGTAGGCACTGCAGACATGAGACCTGACTTCATGTCCCGCCTCTTCCATTTATTAATCAGGCTACTTTGAGCAAGTTCCTTGAAGTTTGAAGCCTTAGTTGCATGTCAAATGGGACTTACTCAGACCATCCCTCTACAGGTTTGTAGATAATGATGGATAGAAAAGTGTTCTGTCTTTTGTTAAAGTTCTCAAATGTCAGAGCTATCCAAGCAGTTCAGTGAGCAAAGCTTCAACTCATATGCTAAGTCTCACAGAACCTTTAGGATTTAACACCGGCGGCAAGACTTCCATTTCTGGACAAGAAAGAGTAACAGAATCTGGAATTAACCTCCCAATGTGAACAACCAGAGAACTGGACAAAATATAGTAAGTAACTATATGTCATATGTTAGAAAACAGACAACGTAAGACTGTCATCCCTGAGAGAAGAGCAGCAAGTGAGATGAGCCCTGTGATCAGCCTGGAATTCAGCCTAGAGAGTTTTGGCATCACAGAGAAAGGAAGGGGATCCAAGCAGCGGTCACACTGAGTGAAGGAAACAGAGACTGAATTCGTGGGGCAGAGGACTGAAATGGAGGGGACTGTGCAGAGGAGGAACTCCCAGGAATCGGTGTAAGGGACCCTTGGGCCTGTGGATGGAAACAAGCTGTGCATGCATAGGGTGCATCCCGCTAAGGCCAGGCAAAGAAGAACTACTGAGGAGTTGAACAATTTCCAGAGCCAGAGTACAGAGATCCTGTTTAACAATAGGCCATTCCATAGAAACCCCAGAAAGGGCCAGGTGTGGTGGTTCACTCCTGTAATCCCAGCACTTTGGTGGGCTGAAGCGGGCCAATCACTTGAGGTCAGGAATTCAAGACCAGCCTGGCCAGCATGGTGAAACCCCAGCTCTACCAAAATACAAAAATTAGCTGGGCATGGTGGTATGCACCTGTAATCCCAGCTACTCAGGAGGCTGAGGCAGGAGAATCCCTTGAACCAGGGAGGCAGAGGTCGCAGTGGGCTGAGATTGCTCCAATGGATTCCAGCTTGGGTGACAGAGCGAGACTCCAACTTAAAAAAGAAAGAAAAGAAGCCCCAGAAAGGCCATGCTGTAGAAGTAGGGCAAAATTAACCCCAGAATAAAGGCTACTCTAAAGCCACCCTGAAAAAAGCGTCAGAGGGATCAAACTATACTCAGATAATGCCTTCCAGAGGAAAAAAAAAACACATTCTTGAAAAGAAAACAAAAAAATACAGCATTCATTAACATAAAACTTACAATGCCCAGCATCGAATTAAAAAAACTGTAAGACATTCAGGAATGATTTGAATAATCAAAAAAGTGACCCATAACTTAGAGAAAAATAACCGAATAGAAAAAGACCCAAACGTGTCAGTGATGGCAGAAATAGCATACAAGGACCTTAAAATTGTTCCACATGTTCAGTGATCTACAGGAAAATGTCAAGATAAGACAGAAATTGGAGAATCTAAGAAAGAACTAAACGAAATTTCTGGAGATGATAAAGCATAGTATCTGAAATAAAAATTTGGTTGAACAGATTTAATGGTAGATGAGATGCTGCAGAAGATAAGATCAATGACCTTGGATGCATAGCAACAGAATCTGTCAAAAAGGAAGAGAATAGCCTGAAAAAGCTGAGAAGAGCTGCAGTGACCTGTGGGATAGTATCAGTCTAACACATGCATAACTGGAGTCCCGGAAGTAGAAGAAATGGAGGGATAGAAAAAACATATGAAGAAATAATGGCCAAAAGTTTACAAGGTTAACAAAACTGAAACCCCAGAAAGACAAGAAGCTTAACAAACTCCAGAGAATCAAAACATAGCCATACCAAAACACATCACCATTAAATTGTCCAAAAACAGTAATAAAGGGAAAACATCAAAGGGGCAGGAAGCCACGTCCCGTGCAGTGTAACACAGATAGGAATGACTGCAGTCTTCTTGTCTGCACAAGCCAGAAGACAAAGTGTAACACAGATAGGAATGACTGCAGTCTTCTTGTCTGAAACTGCACAAGCCAGAAGACAAAGGCACGACAGCTTTAGAGTCATGAAAGAACAAATATAACCGTCAATCCAGAAGTCTATATTCAGCAAATATGTTCTTCAAAAGTGAAGGTGAAACAAAACCCTGTGCAGACGAACACACAGAGAGAGAATTCAGCACCTGCAGACCTGTGCCGCAGACGTTAGAGCCGAGCTCTCGTGGCAGAGAGAACTGAAGTCAGATGGAATCTTAGGTCTACAAAGAGGAATGGGGGGTGCACAAAATACTTTCAATGTCTAAAACAAGGTCATATTTGAGTGCAAAAATAACATTGTGCAGTTCTCAGCATATGTGGAAGAAGTAGATCTAACAATTATCTGAAGGATGGCAGGGAACGTGGAGCGTGACACAAGCCACCGCCATGACATTGAAGTTGCGTGATCGTGATTAAACTGCGCTACGCTGAAGGTGTGCATGGTAATCCCAGATGCTGTCTCATGCTGAGTTTGTACAGTAGTAATTAAACGTACACTGTGTTAAGTTGAAGATTTGTACGGCAAATCCCAGAGCAACCACTCAACAATAAACCAAAGAAGTGCAGCCAGGAAGCCCGTGGCGGAGGTGAAGTGGAACCCTAAAAAATCCAAAATTAGGCAGCAAGAGGAAAAAGTAAAAAGCAGATGGGAAAAACAGAAAACAAATAGTAGTATGCAGTTGAAATCCAGCCACATCAGTCATCATGTGGAAGGGGACGTCAGTGGTCTAAATACTCGGATAGAAACAGACTGCCAGACTAGATGGAAAGCAAGACCCAGCTGTTGTCAAACACAAGAAAGGCACTTGACACATGCAGACAGGTTAAAAGTGAAGGATGGAGTGCGTGGGAAGTGAAGGGTCTTCTTGTTGGACACCTGGTGGCCACCAGCAGGCCCTGGCATAACCAGGCACAGCTGGAAGACGGTAGATACTGTGGACTCTGACTGCCACTGCACGGAATCCAAATTCAGTGGGCTGTCTACATGGCTTGGTGACTGGTCCTCTGGCTGTCTGGAATGTTCTTCCCTCAACTCCCAAGACAGATTAGAGTCTCATGTGTGTTCCTGCTACATGTCACACCTGGCGTCATGTCCAAGCTCCAATGAAGCTGCTACTTTGCCCCTCTACATCCCATTCTCCACAGAGCATCCAAAGTGGCCTTTAAAAGTATAATCGAACACATCCCTCCTCTGCTCGAGGCCTTCGGTAGCTCCCCATTTCATGATGGACAAGCACCAGAGTCCTGAGGGTCTCCCTGTCCCTCCCCTCCCACCACCTCTCCCCCGTCCTGCCAGGGACACACCTGACTCGGGGCCTCGGTAACTGGTCCTCTGGCTGTCTGGAATGTTCTTCCCTCAGCTGTCCGTCCCTCCTCCCTGTCTGTTCAGCATCGCCCTCTCCAGGAGCTTGCCTGAGCACCCTCCTGCGGCACCAGAGCCTGCCCATCCCCCGCAGGCTTCCTCGTCTCGCCCTGTCATCTCGTCCTTTTTCCCTCTGCGCTGGCCACCGGCCACCCCACACACCACACACCCACTGCTGTCTACTCTCTGTCCCTCATCTGCAGTGGACGGGCCCTGAAGGCAGGGCTCTGGTCTGCTCTGATGTGCACTGAGTGTCTAGAACAGAGTGCGGCACACGGCAGGTGCTCAGTAAGTCATCTGTTGGCTAAATCGATTGTGTGACCCACTGAGTCACAGAGCGTTAGCAAGAAAGGTCCTAAGAGATGAGGTGAGCAGCCATCCCTCCACAGCCCGTGTTGGAGATCATGAGTTAATGGCCAAACTGGGGCTGGCGTTCTCATGACCCGTGTGTTTTTTCAGGGAGCTCTGAGCAAGAGAAGAGGGGAAGGTCACATCAGTTGGCTGTGCCATCCAGTGGGGCTGGGCTGATGTGTGGGACAGGAAGGCCTGATGGCTTCTTCTCAGCCGCTCTTCTGAGCCGCATGGACCTGGGGCAGTTACTGGGTTTTTCTGCCTCAGCTGCCTCATGTGTGACGTGGAGGGAATTGGTGGTCAAAGCAATCCCTTCTGTGACGGCAGCCACCATCCCTCCTCGGGGTTAGGTGGGCAGCTTTGAGAAAGCACTTGGAGGAGTCAGGAACACACGACGAACGAACGTGGTGAGGTGGAGGACGGGGACCGACTTACACGTGGTGACAGACGCCTCCCTCCCAGACGGGAAAGGACTTGGTCTCGGAGAACAGCCTCGTGCAGGGGCGGGACACCTTTGTACAGGCTGCGACAAAGAACGGGGCAGGGCTCGCCAGGGGCTCCTGACGCTGCACTCCTGCCCCTCCTGAGGCCGTGCCCGAGGCCGTGCCCATGCCCAAGGGAGAGGGCCCGAGGTCTGCAGGCCGGCTTCCTCTAAGGCCACGGTGGGTCGTGTTGTGGAGTGGGTGTGTCTCCTGACACCGCCCTGGCCGGGGTCAGCGAGCCCTCCGCAGCCGTGCCTCGCATGCTGTGGCTGTTCTGACCCGTGTCGGGCGGCAGAGCCCCCGTGGCTCACGGGTCAGCCTGGTCACCAGGCTCCCTGCCTGGGATTGGGAAGTCCTGGGCCCCGTCTGGTACCTCATGGTTTGGAGGCTCCTGTGGCAAACCCAGCTGTGGCCCAACAGCCCTAGCTGGAGGCACAGGCTGTGTTGGGAGGGGCACCCTGAGGCCAAGCCCTGACTTACCGAGCTCACAGCGTCTGCCTTTGAACCCTGGCCCGCAGTCACAGCTGTGGGCGTCCGTGCCAGGTACGCAGGTGCCTCCGTTCTGGCAGGGGTTTTCTGAACAGTTCCCAGGGGCGTCTGAAAACAGAGGTCACAAGAGGTTAGTCACTGGGACCCCAGGACAGGCCTGCCTCAGACACGCTGCTGTCCCTTCCTCGATGACCTGGCCTGATGCAGGGTGGCCGTGCTCTTCCCCGTGGTGCGCTGCAGTGCCTCCTGAACGCCTCTGGGCCCTAGAGCGTGGTCCCAGTTCCGGTGCAGAGAAAGCAGAGGAGACAGGCCTCAGCGTGCCCAGCTCCGACCTCATTACCGAAGGAAGATGAACAACGAGGAGGAGGAGGGAGGGAGGGAGGGAGAAAGAGAGGGAGAGGAGGAGGGAGGGAGGGAGGGGCGGGGCCTTCAGTGCCGAGCCTCCTCTAGCCTGGGGCCCCTCCCCCAGCCCTGCCCTTCGCTGACTTTGCCCCTGAACAGGGTTTCTGCTGCTTGGCTCCCGAGGCTCCTCCTGGTCCTCTGACGGGGCCCTCTCTGCAGAGCTGTCTGGCCACACTGGCCTCAGGAGCTGGGCCGTCAGCAGTGACACAGGAAGGGGCCAGGAGCTGGGCCGTCAGTGGTGATACAGGAAGGGGCCAGCTCACGTTTCTCCATTTGTGTTCATTCTGTCCTTATTTTTCTCCTTATGATTTTTTAGCTTTGTGAAGATTCCTGTTTTAATTTTTTTTTTTTTTTTTTTTTTTTTTGGAGGCATAGTTTCGCTCGTTACCCAGGCTGGAATGCAATGGCGCGATCTTGGCTCACTGCAACCTCCACCTCCCGGGTTCAGGCAATTCTCCTGCCTCAGCCTCCGGAGTAGCTGGGACTACAGGCGCACACCACCATGCCTGGCTAATTTTTTTTGTATTTTTAGTAGAGACGGGGTGTCACCATGTTGACCAGGGTAGTCGTGATCTCTTGACTTCGTGATCTACCCGCCTTGGCCTCCCAACGTGCTGGGATTATAGGCGTGAGCCACCGCACCCGGCCTGTTTTAATTTTTAACTTAACATTGAAAAACACAAAAGAGTAAGAATTGTGCCCACCCCACCGTGTCTAATACTGAGTAAGGCCCCGTCTCCCTGAACCATCCCGTCCAGCACCCGCCCCTGACTCCTCCTCATCTGCTCCTCACCCTCCTGGCGTGCCCACCCCACGATGCGGCTGCCCCAGGCCTTGCTGTCCGTGCTGGTCCCGAGCCCTGGCTGTCTCTCCCTGGCCACTCCTCCTCCCTCGCTGGATTCTCTTTGGCTTTTCTCCTTTCTCTGCCCATCCTCTGGGGCTTTCCTAGTCTTTTTGCCTTTTAAAAAAAAATTGCGATGGAATTTTGCTCTGTCCCCCAGGCTGGGGTGCAGTGGCGCCATCTCGGCTCACTGCAACCTCTGCCTCCTGGGTTCAAGCCATTCTTCGCCTCAGCCTCCTGAGCAGCTGGGATTACAGGCACCTGCCTCCACGCCTGGCTAATTTTTGTATTTTTAGTAGAGACAGCATATTGGCCAGGTTGGTCTTGAACTCCTGACCTTACATAAGCTGCCTGCCTCGGCCTCCCAAAGTGCTGGGATCACAGGCGTGAGCCACCACGCCCGGCCGTCTTTTTGCCTTTCTTGATATGCTTAGAATGAGTTGTGGGCTTTTTTTTTTTAAAAAAAAGAAACCCTTTATTATGGAAATGTTCAAACCCCCAACATGTAAGCACAAAGAGCTCCACACCCTCAGCTTATACACTGGTCCACGCTGGCCAGCCCGGCTTCATCTCTTGTTGCAGAATTTCAAAGCCGCTCACAGATACCACTGCTCCTGTGAACACGGCAGCAGGATCTAATACTTTACGTAACCACACGTTGCTATTATTAGAAATTAGCAGTCGTTCCTCAGTCTCATGAGAAATCCCAGGTCATGTTCCAGTGTGGTGATTTGAGGTCTCACCTGACGAGGGCTCCTGAGGGTCTACACGTGGCTCGGTTTCCTGTGCCTCAAGTCTCCGTCGTCCTCGCGCTTCATTCATGGAAAACACGAGGTGCTGTGCAGTCCCCGCCTGGATGTGGCTCATGGCTCACTTGTTCCCACCCCTGTTTCCTGTAAACTCTGATGACAGAGAGGGGCGTCCCAGGATTCGGGTTCGGAGGGTCTTTGCAGGGCTGCTTCTCAGGGATGCTGGTGCACGCCCGGCCACCCCAGGCGGCCTGCGAAGTGTCGGAGTCCCGCCACGAGACACGAGGACTGGCCACGGGTCCAGTGCTGGCAGTTTGACCAACCCAGAATAAAGTCCCCGATGGCTGGAGCGAGGCTTCGAGATCCCTGATCCAAGGACTGTCCTCTCACAGGCCTGTCCGACCCTGTCGCTCCTGCCCTCACCCGCTGGAGAGTGGTCTGTGAAGACAGGCTTTCCGTCGCCTGCCCGTGGTCGCCTGGGACTGTGGTCCACACAGGTGAGGCAGGGTGAAGGCTCCATCTGCGCCTTCACTTGTGTTCCTGCAGACCCAGTCAGCCCTCAGAAAGCTCTACAGTTGCCCACGAAGTTGCTTTTTCTTTTTGAGTATCATGACGGAGACAGAGAGGCTGATGTGTCTGATGGGATTCTGCTCCTTGCCGTCAGCACTTTTCCTGATGCTCAGTGGATTCTGTCTCTGGCCACAGAGCCCTGCAGGCTGGCTCCCTGCCCTCAGGACGTGGTCTGCTGTTTTGAAAGCTTGCTTTCTTTTTACACAGCGTGTCCTGGGTTATTTTGTCCACATCCTGCTTCAGTCTTGGAATCACCCATTTCTCCAAAGATCACTGGTTTCCTGGTGAGAACGAGACCCAGACCCCACAGCCTGGGCCCTCAGGCTGCTCACTATGATGGAACGGCACAGCTTCAGGCCTTTCAATGAATTGAACTAGAACGTTAGATTTTTTTTTTTAAATAAACATTACAAGTTGATACTAATATTTCCATTTCAAATTAACAGAATCGAAGGACAGACAAGATTCTTATTTATTTATTTAAAGATGGAGTCTCACTCTGTCACCCAGGCTGGAATGCAGTGGCACAGTCTCGGCTCACTGCAACCTCTGCCTCTCGGGTTCAAGCGATTCTCCTGCCTCAGCCTCCTCAGTAGCTGGGATTACAGGCACCTGCCACCAAGCCTGGCTAATTTTTGTATTTTTAGTACAGACGGGGTTTTGACATGTTGTCCAGCCTGGTGTCAAATTCCTGACCTCAAGTCATCCGCCTGCCTCGGCCTCCCAAAGCGCTGGGATTACAGGCGTGAGCCACCGTGCCCGGCCAAAACAAACAAGATTTTTAATTTCTTTCAAATTATATTTTTAATTCTTTACAGTGAAAATCTTGGCGGCATTAACAATTATTTTCTTTATCCTAACATATACATGTAATCATTTCAAAGTAACAATACAAGTATTACTACTAACATTAAGATCACGGAGGACAGCCTGAAATTTCCTGGCAATCCTTTAAGGAACTGCCAGACTTCTTTTCCCCCCAAAGCAGCAACGCCACGTTACATTCCCACCTGCAGTGCAGAGGGTTCCATCTTTCCATGTCCTCACCAACGCTTATTATTATGTGACTTTTTAATTCCCGCCACTCTAGTGGCTTTGGTTTGCCTGTCCCTGTGACTCATGATGGCAAGCGTCTTTTCAATGTGCTTACTGGCCAGTGTACATCTTCCTGGAAGAAATGTCTGTTGAGGCCCTTTGCCCATTTTTAAATGGGGTTGTGTTTTTATTATTCAGTGGTAAGAGTTCTTCAGTTTAGATGCAGGTCTCCGACCAGGTGTGATTCGCAGCTGCTTCCTCCACTCCGCAGGTCCTCATTTCACTTTCTTGACAGCATCCTTTGAGGCACAGAAGTTCTAAGTTTTTATATATAGAGATACATTTGTTACTGCTCATACTTTTATTGATGGGCCTGAGGACCTTCTGTTCTGCCAAATCCAAGGTCATGAAGATTTACTCTTGTGTTTTCTTCTAAGAGTTTTGGTTTTAGCTCCTAACATTAGATTGTTGGTCCGTCTGTGTTATGAGGGATACGGTAGGAAGGGTCCAGCCTCATTCCTTTGCACGTGGATATCCAGTTGCCCCAGCACCGTCTGCTGAGAAGACTTATTCTTTCTGCATTCAATGGTCTTGGCCCCCTTGCTGAAATCAGTTAGCCATAGATGTGTGGTTTATTTCTGGATTCTCAATTCTTTTCCATTGATCTAAACGCCTATGCTTAAGCCATTACCACACTGACCCCGTTACCACACTGACTCCGTTACCGTTGCTTTGTAGCATGTTCTGACATGAGGAGCGGTAAATCCTCCGACTTTTTTCCTCTTTTTCAGAATAGTTTTGCTATTCTGGGTCCTTTGCAACTCCACATGGACTTTAAACACTGTACACAATTGTCCAGAGACATCTTAACAGCAACGCTACAGGTGTTTTGAAACATATAAAAACTTTGACAGGCCGGGCGCGGTGGCTCAAGCCTGTAATCCCAGCACTTTGGGAGGCCGAGGCGGGTGGATCACGAGGTCGAGAGATCGAGACCATCCTGGTCAACAAGGTGAAACCCCGTCTCTACTAAAAATACAAAAAGTTAGCTGGGCATGGTGGTGCGTGCCTGTAATCCCAGCTGCTTAGGAGGCTGAGGCAGGAGAATTGCCTGAGCCCAGGAGGCGGAGGTTGCGGTGAGCCGAGATCGCGCCATTGCACTCCAGCCTGGGTAACGAGAGCGAAACTCCGTCTCAAAAAAAAAAAAAAAAAAAAAAAAAAAAAAAAAAAAAAAAAAAAAAAAAAAAAAAACTTTGACAAATGATTAAGTACAAATAACCCAAGAAAAAGTCAAAAGGCATGATCAGGCATTTCACAGAGAGCCGGCACCTCTGGGGGACGCCCATGAGGAGATGCTCAATCACATCAGTGCTCAGGAGATACAAACCCAGATCCCAGGGCTTGCAGACACCCGTTCTGCCTGCAGGGTCTCAAACCCAGCACAGCCTAGTTCTGGGGGCGGGGGGGATTAACTGCACCTCTTGGTCACTGCGACAGGAGTGGAGGCTGCTGTCACCACTTGGAAAATGACTTGGCAGGCTGGGCACGGTGGCTCATGCCTGTAACCAGCACTCTGGGAGGCCAAGGTGGGTGGATCACAAGGTCAAGAGATCTAGACCATCCTGGCCAACATGGTGAAACCCCGTCTCTATAAAAATTAGCTGGGCATGGTGGTGCACACCTGTAGTCCCAGCTACTCAGGAGGCTGAGGCAGGAGAACTGCTCGAACCCAGGAGGTGGAGGTTGCAGTGAGCCGAGACCGCGCCACTGCAGACTCCAGCCTGGGGCCTGGTGACAGTGCGAGACTGTGTCTCAAAAAAAAAAAAAAGAAGAAGAAAATGACTTAGCGAAGTTCTCGTGTGATTTGGACGTTCACACGTCCTCATCCTAGATCTCGCATTTCTGCCTGCACACGCCCTGTACGGGAACATCAGCTGCGGCACTGCTCATGCCAGCCAAACGCAACCTACGCGTTCTCCGCAGAGGGGAAGAGCCGGTGAATTCCCCCAGTGGAGCCTGCTCAGCAGTGGGTGTGCATAAGCCACAGCCTCCCAGACTGCGTGGGCCAACCTCCGTCTGACAATGGAGGGTGGAAACAGGTTTAACGGTCACACGTGGCAAGACACTTATCTTGCAAAGAAAACCCACCAATTGTTCTGCCACACATACGCGTGTGATAAAGTCACTCTCCCCACCTTCCACTCTGAAGAAAACAGGGATTCTAAGCACAAAGTTCAGGATCGTGGTTAGCTGAAGAGGGAACAGGGGGAACAGCAAGACGCAAGGCATCGTTCACACTCTAGTTCACGGGGGGCTCTTGACCTCAGGCCACGCTTCAAAGGCCAATGAACGAAATAAAAGGTAGCTAGTGTGAGGGCCAATAGGAACCAAAGATTGTGACTGGTCTGCACACTGAGGGGCCCCTAATGATTCCGCTTTGCCTGTTATCACTTAACGTCATTTGCACCCACCGGGGCATGAGCCTCTGTGCCGGCGAACGCTCCTGATTCCAGCCCGAGCCCTTCCTGAGTCTCCGCTGCTGAAGAGACCCAGGAGGCTAACACAGGCCCCTCCAATTTCTGAGTTCTAGGAAATGAACACTATTTGAAGGTGCTGACATAATGCAAACCATCTGATGAAATGTTTGTTTTCGGTCACTTAAAGGTCCACTTGAGAGTCTTCACTATGAATGGGCTGGACTTTAATTAAGAGAAGCCTTCACTCACAGCAGCGGACGCACAAACCCGTCCTCCTGGTGCTCACGGGGCAAGGAGCAAGTCCAGACCTCATACGGTGTGGGGGGATGTGAACTCGGGTGGGTGAAGCCAAGCTTGCAAACGCAGGGGCCCTTGATGTACACGGGTGTCCTGGAGAAGCCGGGGGTAAGGCCTTGCGGGTGAGACCGCGCTCGGCAGCTCACACCTTACCAAGTACTAGGCCTTCTTTGGGGCTGGGTTGAGGGGCGATCCCAGCCGGAGTCTGTGGTGTGACTCGGGGGCTGGAAGACCTGTCCGTGGAGGCACAGCCCAAAGGACTAAAGCCGGGGGAGCGGTCCAGTCTGACAGGGTGAGGAACACACACGTCTGAGTGCCGCCCGGAGGGGAATGGCCTCGTGGCTTCCGGGCACTCTTTCTGCAGGTGCTGGGCAGATGCCTCGGTACTCACGAGGCAGAGCCCTGGACCAGGAGACCGTCGGGTCCTGTGTGGCCCGAGTGTCCACAGTGCCCGGCTGGTCCCCAAGCTGGGGCCTCACAGTGGCTGTTCCTTTGCTTCCCCCATCCTGACTCTGCCGGCTCCTCTTCGGAGAAGTGAGGGGTGAGGCATCTAGAGGTAGGGGCTGGGGTAGGCTCTGTCGCATGTGGAGGCAAAGGACGGGCGGGAGGGGAGGCAGCAGCAGAGCCAGTCTCTCCAGCGCAGATCCTGGGTGGTCTGGGTGGGTCCTGCCCTGGCCTCTTCCCATCTGTGGGCTCCCACTGCTTGGTGGTGTGGCTTCCCTTCCCAGACCGGGGTGCCTGGTGCTCAGCCTCCCCTCGGGGAGACTCTGTGCTTCCTGGTCCCTCACCAGGGGTGGGCCCTCCTGCCTGCAGCCTCGAAGGCCCCTGAGAGCAGTCAGTCCCAAAGTCCCCACGAGCGCCGCCCACTTACTTTCCATGTCCTTGTGGCCATGTTCAGGGAGCTGGAGGGCCAGGCTGACCTGCCTGGGGGCATCCTCCGTGTTCTCGAGCTGCGCCATGGCTGTGGGTTCTAGGAGAAGCCAGGTGGTGACCACACCGCACGGCTGCTTTGCACCCAGGATGGTCCTGGGGCCACCCGTCTGAGCACTTCCATACCTTAAGAGCAAGAAAGTCCCTGGCGGGGACCAGGCTCCCTGCATGGCCCTGGCACCTGTTGGCCCCAGCACTGCCTCCCCTGAAGGGCTGGCCCTCGCCCTCCTGCTGACCCTCTGGAGGGGCTGGGCCTTCCACTTGCAGGCCTCATCAGAGCTGCTTTAGGGACGGTCACCGTGACTGTGCCGAGAGGCCCCATCCTTCTCACGGCTGATATAGTTACTTTCTCCTTAGGGTCAAATTACGCATCCCCTCCTTCCACCCTGCTCTCTGACTGCGCTCAGTCTCTGCTGACCTGCCTCGTGCCCACGCCCCAAGCATCTCGTCTGTGCAGGTTGTCACTGCCACTTGGGCGTTCTGTCTGCTCCCACGGCTGCGGACACGACACGCCCCCGTACTCCTCACCTCACCTGCCCTCTCCCGACACCCCCGGGCTCTGTCCTTCCTGTCACTCTCCCTGCTGTGTGCCCCTCCCTCCTCTGCCTGGGGAGTTTTTGCTCAGAACATGTTCATGAAACTGGTGACTAGGCTCTGTTGGGGAATTCCGTGAGGGTAAGCACTCGGCCTTCCAGGTGAGCGGCAAGGGCCAGAGATGCCCCCTCTGGGGCAGGTGGTGCCCGCCTCACTCCTCCAGCACGTCCTGGGGCCTGTGTCAGAATCACCCAGAGCGCCCTCACCCGCTAAACTCGGTGGGCAGGGGCCGAGGCATCTGGACCCTCTGCCTCCTGCTGCCGGGAGACCTTGCTAGGACAGTGATGGGACTGCTGGACCACACCTGGAGTGGCAGGTTGGACCCTCATAGCCTCCGCCCACGCCTTACCAAAGCCAAGCCCTGCCTCGGCAAACAGAGTAGCTGCAATGGCTCAGACCTGCTTTGAAACGTTTTTCTTCTCCTGTGCGCCCTACCAGCAGCCGGTGCCTCCGCCCCCACAGACACCTGAGGCCCTCACCAGCCGCCCCTCCCGCCGTGGAGGCGCCTGCTGCCCGCAGTCGGGGTGGGGTCCCTGGCTGGAGACTGCGCTCGTGGTGGGGGTGGACTCATCATGGAGGGGACGGGGCCTGGTCACAGGGCAGCGAGGACGAGGGCTGGCCACCGAGGCGGGTGGGGAGGCCCTGGCACTCACGTGGTCTCACGGTGGCTGCTTTGCTGGGGGAGCCGCCGAACCTGGCACTCACTCTTCCTCTGCCGTCCACAAGCTCCGAGAACCTGCAGAGAGGGTGGGAGGGTCACCGCAGCCGCAGCGCCACCTCGGTCAGTGGGGCTGATGGTGGGGCCTGTACCTGGGGGGCTGGGTGGGGGTCTCGGGGGCACTGTGGTCATTGAGCAGGCGCAGTTCCGGCAGGCGTGCTGGGGGTGGTCTGTTCCTGAGCACTCGAGGGTGCTGTCCTCCCTGATGCCAGCGCCTGTCGGTGCCATCGCTGGGGGCTGCAGAGCGGGCGGGAGGAAGGGGCTGGTCTGGGGCTGCCCTCTGCTCCTGTCCCTGCCCCTGCGGCACAGGAGGTACCTCCCACAGAGGGAAGGGGGGGTGCGTGCAGGCTGCGGTCATCCAAGGCACTTGTGGCTTCCCCAGACGCCCTGGGCTTCCTTCCAGCCCACCTGCCGAGTCCCTTCTGAGGAGGAGCCACGCGCAGCCACGACGCAGACATGCACTGGCCTGGGAGTCACGGTGGGGGCTGAGTCTAGGCCCCGCCCCATCACTCAAGCTCTCCAGCTGCAGGGCAGGGGCCGGCCCTCGGGCTCGGACTCAGTCCTAGGCTGCCCTGGGACACAGCTGTTTCCCCGCACGGGCCTCCTGACAGGACGCTTCACTGCGAGTCCCTGCCCCAGCCCTCACCCTGACAGTGTCCTGCAGCTCCCCAGGCTGGGCCTCCTTCCCCCGGGAGCCTCCCTTCCCTCACACCGAGGCCGGCTCACAGAGGCCTCAACCTGCCCTTCCGCCTGGCTGGTGTGCTTGGCCCCGAGCTGGTGGGGCGGCGGGTCGGGTCTGAGAACTCGCCCAGCTTGTGCACGGCGTGTCCCCGGCGCAGCCTCACGCGTTACGGAGGAGCTGGAGCCTCCCCTTCCCCGGGGAGCTGCCCCTGCTCCCTCCGGCCGGCCACTCCTCCCTGCTGGTCTCCGTCTTTCTTCTCTCCCTGTTCCGCTCCCCATTTCCCACAGCTCCTCGTGTGAACGTGGAAGGCCTAGTTCACAGGAGGAGCCGTGGGGCGTTCAGGACCCTGGTGGAACTGGCAGGGTCGCCCCCGCCCCTTCCTCCAGGCAGCTCCTGCCCTACGCCTCTGCACCCGGCACTCCTGCCTGCCTGTGGCCTCCAGGCCCTTCGTGTGTGTGTGTCCGGCGGCTCCTCATGGGTCAGGCTGGGGTGCAAGGCCACTTCGGGGGCTTCCTCCTCGCCGCCACCCTCGGCACCGTCTTCGGGTGACGCTCAGCCTGTCTGGGAGCTGCAGGAGCTCAGGCACCAGCTGCGGCTCAGTGTGCTTATTATTCAAATTGCTGGGGCCTTCCCTCGTGGGTTTGAAAAGCCTGCACTTCCACACACAGACTCACTCCTCCCCTGCTAACGGCCTGCGTCTAGGCCCCTGCACGGCCAGGTGAGTGGTGAACGGGGGGGAGGGCTGGCAGCACTGCCCCGCCTGCCCGAAGCACTCACAGGTGATGATGTACAGGCGGGCAGGCTCGCTGTGCAGTGGCCCCTGCTCCGTGCTCTGCACTGCCGTCACCGACAGCTGGTACCGCTGCCCTGGCAGCAGGTCCCGCAGCGTGTAGGACGCCAGCTTCCCACTGGGGACGTAGCGGCTCTTGGCGCTCTGGCTGGTGGTCACGTTGATGACATAAGCCTCCAGCGGGCTGCCTGGAGTTGGGGCGTCCCAGACCACGTGGGCGGAGGTGGCCGTGACTCGGGCGGCCGTCAGGTTTGCTGGAGGCAGGGGCCCTGGACGAGGCAGGAGCAGGGGGAGGTGAGGGGGCCCCGTGGGGTCTTCCGGCGAGAACACAGTGTGAGGACCCGACGGGCTGCTGCAGCCTCGCCGGAACCAGATTCTTTATTATGGAAAATGGCACAGTGCTGAGGCGGGCGTGGGGTAGGACACACAGCATGTCTCCCCGCCAAGAGGCCTGCAGGCCCCGAGGCCACCCTCCCCTCAGGGTAGGAGCCACCCAGGGAAGCCCCCAGGCCCTGGCTCGTCAGCTGGCACCCTCCCTGCAGCACGGTCGGAGCCCCGTGCAGACTCCCCTGCCCCACGGGACTCCCCAGGCCTTCCCCGGCCGGCCGCATCGCAGTGCGCGGTGGGCCGGGGCCTGTCAAGCCTCCGCTCCTCCCAGAGAGGCCTCCTCTCTGCCCAGTTCACCCCTCCCCGCCACACCGCGCGCTGACTGCGTGCTCCCTCCCCTCCCAGGTGCTGGGGAGAGGGTGTGGGCCTAACGACACCGGGAGCTTAGCTAGAGGGGGCTGGCTGCAAGGTACGAGAGCCCTGGATATCCCGGACCACTGAGTTCCTCTGGGCCTCTGGTTGGTCCCCAGTAGGAACTCCACACTGAGGAGCTACCAGGAGCCTTTAGGGGTGGAGTCTGCCCTGGACAGCTGACCCAGCACAGGGGCCCCTGTTCAGCCCAGCCCGGCCCAGTGGCCCCTGCCCAGTGGCCCTAGTCGAAGAGACGTCTGGGAGGCCAGGGGCTGGGTTTCTGGTGTTGTGGACGCTTTGGAGAGGACTGGGGGGTGTCTGAGCTTCTAGAAGATGGCCTTTGGTGTGCAGGGGGCCGCGCCGCTGTACTCACGGGTCCACACGTGTGCTAGTGCAGTGGCCAGGCTCTCCGTGGGGTGCTCCTCTCCCCGGAGCCCACTGAGGGTGGTCAGCTGGATGGTGTACCTCCTCCCGGGCAGCAGGGCCCTGGGGGCGGGAGACGATGAAGGGAACAGGGACATCGCTGCCAGACCTCAGCTGCCCCAGGCAGGAGGTGGCCCAGGCGGCCTCCACGAGGGACAGACTCACGGCCCTCAGAGCCACGTGTTCCTGGGGCGGGAAGCCAACCCGCCGTCTGGGAAGCTGAGGAGGGCTGGGTGTGCTTGGGGCCGCTATACTGTGGTCAGAGGGCCAGTGTTCAGATGGGAGAGGCCAGAGGAGGGGGACGGGTCACTGCAGGGGCGGGTGACAGGCAGGCCCGATGCCCCCTCAGCACAGGTGATTTGATGTAAATTCTCAGCAAACCACAGGGCAACTTGAGGCCGACACCAGCCCAGCCGGGGAAGCTGCTGGCTGGAGGCTCCTCCCCTCTGGCTCTGGTCTCTCCGGCTCCCCTGAGCTTGGCAGGAGGCAGAGCCTCTCTCTGGTTGGCAACCAAATCACAGGGTCCACTGCGGGACCCCTGGGAGAGCTCTGGGCTGCTCCCATCTGCCCTCATGGCCGCTGTTCTCTGGGACCAAATCCCTCTCATGGTGTGTGTGGAGGGTGGGCCCCAGGTTGTCAGAGCTTCTCCTTTTTTCTGGACACTTTACGACATGACCAAGGCACATCTCGGCAGCCCTGGTGAGGTGGGGTGGGAGTGAAGCCTCCGGGGTCTGAGGCCGGCTCCCCTGGGACCTTTGCCTCCACCGGGGGAGGAGCGGCAGGCACACAGCCCACACGCGGAGAGCGTGCCCGAGACCCCACCCTGCCCTCACCCGGCCCACGTCCCTGCTCACCCAAAGGTGAACCTGTCCACACTCCTGTCCACGTCGGTGGCCTGGTCTCCGAGGGCCTCAGGGTGGCGGATGGACACACGGACCCCACTGACGGTGGCGTGGTGGATCCTGTGCAGGGCCCACTGCACCGAGATGGTGCTGGCCGTCACATTGGTGACCTCGAAGGTGTCCACAGGGCGGGGTCCTGGGGGAAACGGGCTGCTCAGCAGGCGCAGGCCCCTTCCTCCTCCCAGAGGAGTGCAGGGGCTCAAGACAGGACCAGGCTTGGGACAGTGCTGGGGGCCTGAGAGGCGCAGCAGAGGCGTCCCATTGGCTGCTTAGGGGACTCCGGCTGGGTGGGCTGCCTGGGCTCTGGCCCCTGAGGCTGACGGCTGCAGAGGCCCACCGTGGGCCAGCCTGCTTTGCCAGGGGCAGGGGTCTTAGTCTCCATTTCGATGTGGCAGTGACATGGCAGGGAATGGGCTGGAGTCCCTCTGGACATGAGTGAGCTGGGCCTCCCCTCTTTTCCGTCCTGGGAAGACGGACGCACAGAGCTCCCAGCAACTGCAGGGAAGCGGCCACTTGGCAGCTCGGCTCCCGACCCAGCCAATCTCCTCCGAAGCTGTATGCCACTGCTGACATGCCAGGCAGAGCTCAGAGGGCGGCCCCTGGCTCCAGGCAACCCCAGCAGTGGGTGGTGGTTCCTTCCACCCACCACAGCTGGCTGGAGACCCCCTTCCCCGCTCTCTGGGACCAAGCAGGCTGGCCCACGGTGGGCCTCTGCAGCCGTCAGCCTCGGAGGGCAGGGCGGGGCTGTCCTCACTCCAGATACCCTCTGAGGGCAGACCTCACAGGGGCTTCTTCCTAAAACGGCCCAGGTGAGCCACCCCCACTCAGCCCCTGGCGGCTCCTGCTGCCACCTGCTCGGTGCCACTGCACAGGCGTCCCAGGCTCCCCGCTGGCTGAGGTGTGTACGGTGTCCTTGCTGTGTTGAGAACTCCAGCCCCTTGGTGGTCAACTGCTGCAGGACAGGCCCCTCTGGGCCCCTGGGTGGGCTTGAGCTGCCCTGAGTGCCTCCTTCTGTCCCTCAACGGCCTTTGGCATTGGCATCAAGCCGGGGTCCAGACGTGGCCAGGAGACCTTCCTCCTGTGGGAGCCGCCTGGTCTAGTGTCCACTCCCTCTCCACACACCCGCCATGCTACCCGTAAGTTTTCACCACACTCACGTGGCTGCCCCGCAGGGCCCAGCCTGGCGCTCAGGCCACAGAGTCCCCGGCCACCCACCCACCCACCCATCCACCGCTCTGCAGCAGCCCACGCACTCAGCACCTCTTCCTCTCTCCTTCAGCCTCAGCACCCCTCCCCCATTCTTGCTCCTGTGTCTGGAGGGCACAGGCATGTTGGGTGAGAGTCCCACGGCCCCATGGCCCTGCACCCACCTTGGTTCCCGCCCAGAACATAAACCTCATGCTCTAGCTGATGCAGCTGGCTCCATGGAGGGCCAACCCTCTGCTCTCTCCCGGCCCTGCCCATCCGTCCACCACCATGTTCTAGGGCTCCTTCCCCCTCCTTGGAATCCTTCTCAGCAGCACAGAGCCAGCCAAGCCCTGATGCCATCTCTAGAGCCCCCGCCACCTCCTGCTCCCCGACACGGCAGCAACCCCCTGGCCAAGCACAGCCTCGGCCTCCCCTGCTCTCTCTGCAGCTCAGGCTCCGAGGAGGCTCCTCCCTAGGACCCCCTTTCAGGGTTTCATCTGGCCACAGCTTTCAGTGCCAGGCTCCGGGTCTGTCATTTCAGCCCCACGGCTCTTCCAGACGGAGCCACAGACGCCTCCTCCTAGCACATCCCAGCCCCTACCTAACCCCGTGAGCACCCTGCCCCCCAGACCCTCCCCAGGCCTTCCGAGCACCCAGAGCTCCAGACCCGCCCCTGTGGCCCGGCCCCTTCACTGGCTCCTGGCAGGCACCCTTTTGGGAAGCCCCGCTCCTCCACAGTCCCCCTTCCTGGTGCCATGCCCGGGGGCTGTGCTGCTCCACCTCTTGGCTCTATTCTCCATGCCCAATCCCACGTGGGCCCGAGGCCAGCTCTGTCTCCCCAGCGCTCTGTCTGCAGCAGGACGGTGCCTCCAACCCCGCAGCTCAGCTGTCCTGCTGCCGGGAGAGTTGGGGAGGTGGCGGCACAGTGGCCACCCTGCGGGTGCTGGGACCGGGCTGGGGCCAGGACACTCACGCGTGCGGGCCAGCAGCACCGCAGGCCTGCTGATGTCATTCTTGTTGTTGGTGTTGCGCTTGACCGAGAAGACGGAGATGTTGTAGGCCTTGCCGGCCGCCAGGGCCCGGAGCTGGTGTGAGGAGCGGCTCCTGTCCACGAAGTCCGTGCGGCGGTAGGCGCCGTCGGAGGAGACGTACGTGACCGCGTAGCCGTCCAGCATCTGCCTGGCCGCTAGGCCATCGGGCGGGTTCCAGGAGATGGAGACCCCACTCTCCTCCACTCTGTCCATCTTGAGGGCCGTCGGTGGGAGGAGCTCTTCAGGGTTCCGGTTAAAACAAGGGGGGACTGGTCAGCTCTCGGCGGTGCAGCCTGGCTCCCGTCGGGCCTGACACAACCATCGCCGCCAGATCCCTTCTGTCCTTGGCCAGGAACCCCCAGGAGGGCCACGCTTGCATGTGTGACAGTTTCCAGCCCACCGGGGGATTCTGTCCCTCCCTGTTCCTCGGGGAAGCGGCCCGGTCGAGCAGCGGCTGGATGCTCTGCCCTGGGGTCTGCAGCGCCCTCCGGGAAGAGAGAGGACCCCACAGCTCCCTCGTGGAGGCGGCCTCGCCACCCACCTTTGGCGCAGTCCTTGCCCGTGTAGCCCACTTTGCAGGTGCAGCTGTGGGAGCCATTGGTGACCAGGCAGTAGCCGCGGCCCCCACAGGGGCTGGAGAAGCAGGGGTCGCTCACTGAGGGGACAGAAGGCGACAGTGACTGCTGGGGCGTGGCCAGGCCCCCACTCTAGCCTGCCCTTGCTCCTGGGGCACTGGGTCCCTCCTGCATGGGTGTGGAGAAGCGGGGGGTTCCTGCCTCCCTTCGGTTCCGCCACCTCCGCTACCCTGCAGGGCCCAAGAGAGCAGCCCCTCCAGCCTCCACACAGGGGAGTGGACACTGGACCAGGCCAGGCCAGGCCACCGCCCCCATGGCAGTCCTCTTGAGGAGGGGAGGTCAGTGGTCAGGGAGGCCTCATCAGGAGGTATCCCACTGGGGGCTGATCAGGGAGAATGTTCCAGATCGAAAGACAGCGAGGGGCCTGACCTGGGTCTGCAACTGGCTTGGCCTGTCCAAGGGCAGCAGGGCCTGTGGGTAGATGTCAGCCCATCCCTGGGTGATGAAGGATGTGTGGGTGTCAGCCCCACCCCGGGTGTGTCCCTGGGTGACGAGGGGTGTGTGGGTGTCAGCCCCACCCCGGGTGTGTCCCTGGGTGATGAGCGCTGTGTGTGGGTGTCAGCCCTACCCCAGGTGTGTCCCTGGGTGACGATGGGTGTTTGGGTGTCAGCCCCACCCCGGGTGTGTCCCTGGGTGATGAGGGGTGTGTGGGTGTCAGCCCCACCCCGGGTGTGTCCCTGGGTGATGAGCGCTGTGTGTGGGTGTCAGCCCCACCCTGGGTGTGTCCCTGGGTGATGAGGGGTGTGTGGGTGTCAGCCCCACCCTGGGTGTGTCCCTGGGTGGTAGTGGGTGTGTGGGTGCCAGCCCCACCCCGGGTGTGTCCCTGGGTAATGAGCGCTGTGTGTGGGTGTCAGCCCCACCCCGGGTGTGTCCCTGGGTGACGAGAGGTGTGTGGGTGTCAGCCCCACCCCAGGTGTGTCCCTGGGTGACGAGAGGTGTGTGGGTGTCAGCCCCACCCCGGGTGTGTCCCTGGGTGATGAGCGCTGTGTGTGGGTGTCAGCCCCACCCCGGGTGTGTCCCTGTGTGATGAGGGGTGTGTGGGTGTCAGCCCCACCCCGGGTGTGTCCCTGGGTGATGAGAGGTGTGTGGGTGTCAGCCCCACCCCGGGTGTGTCCCTGGGTGATGAGTGCTGTGTGTGGGTGTCAGCCCCACCCCGGGTGTGTCCCTGTGTGATGAGGGGTGTGTGGGTGTCAGCCCCACCCCGGGTGTGTCCCTGGGTGATGAGAGGTGTGTGGGTGTCAGCCCCACCCCGGGTGTGTCCCTGGGTGATGAGCGCTGTGTGTGGGTGTCAGCCCCACCCCGGGTGTGTCCCTGGGTGATGAGCGCTGTGTGTGGGTGTCAGCGCCACCCCAGGTGTGTCCCTGGGTGACGATGGGTGTTTGGGTGTCAGCCCCACCCCGGGTGTGTCCCTGGGTGATGAGCGCTGTGTGTGGGTGTCAGCCCCACCCCAGGTGTGTCCCTGGGTGACGATGGGTGTTTGGGTGTCAGCCCCACCCCGGGTGTGTCCCTGGGTGATGAGAGGTGTGTGGGTGTCAGCCCCACCCCGGGTGTGTCCCTGGGTGATGAGCGCTGTGTGTGGGTGTCAGCCCCACCCCAGGTGTGTCCCTGGGTGACGAGGGGTGTCTAGGTGGGTGTCAGCCCCACCCCGGGTGTGTCCCTGGGTGACGAGGGGTGTCTAGGTGGGTGTCAGCCCCACCCCGGGTGTGTCCCTGGGGGACGAGGGGTGTCTAGGTGGGTGTCAGCCCCACCCCGGGTGTGTCCCTGGGTGACTAGGGGTGTCTAGGTGGGTGTCAGCCCCACCCCGGGTGTGTCCCTGGGTGATGAGCGCTGTGTGTGGGTGTCAGCCTCACCCCGGGTGTGTCCCTGGGTGGCGAGGGGTGTGTGGGTGTCAGCCCCACCCCGGGTGTGTCCCTGGGTGACGAGGGGTGTCTAGGTGGGTGTCAGCCCCACCCCGGGTGTGTCCCTGGGGGACGAGGGGTGTCTAGGTGGGTGTCAGCCCCACCCCGGGTGTGTCCCTGGGTGATGAGCGCTGTGTGTGGGTGTCAGCCCCACCCCGGGTGTGTCCCTGGGTGACGAGGGGCGTCTAGGTGGGTGAGTGCATGAGATGGGGTGGTTAGAAGGCACCGTCGTGGGACCAGTGCAGGCAAGGGGAGGGCCACTGGCCTGCGTCCTGAAAGGGGCTTCCGGGGAGACGGGCAGCGCTCGGGGCGCAGGTGGGCCTGCCGCCTCACCTGTCTCGCAGTGGTAGCCGAAGAAGCCTTCCGGGCAGACGCACAGGTAGGCCCCGCCGCCGCTCTCGCACCGGCCTCCGTGCTGGCAGGGGCTGGAGTCGCAGGCATCCACCTCTGGAGAACACCCAGAGAGTGGGCCCAAGCCGCAAGGGGGGAGTCTGGGGGAGGGAGGAGAGGACAGCGGGCAGAAGGGAAAGGAGGAGGCCGGGGGTAGAAGCCGGGAGAGAGGGGCAGTGGGCAGGTCCCGCCCCTCAGCCTTCCCCACCTCCCCAAGGTGGCCACAGCCCTGGGGTCCCTCTCCCAGGCAGCCTGCCCGGCACGGAACATGGGGACGCCCAACCTCCTCTCTGATCTTCCAGAGGCCAGGCTCTGCATGTGGAGCCCACTGGAGGGGAGCCCCTACCTGTCTCACAGCGGACTCCAGTGAAGCCTGCAGGGCACTGGCAGACAAAGGCCCCCGGGAGGTTCCTGCAGGAGCCTCCGTTTCTGCAGGGCTGAGCTCGGCACTCATCCCTCTCTGCACAAAGAAGGGGTGTCAAGGGTGTCGCTGGCTCGGGTCTCAGGCGCCGACCCTCCCGCCGGATTCTGTGCACTCCCTGGGGCTCTGGTCACCCCTTCCCTAAATGGGAGTCATTACTCTGGACACCTGCTTTCTCTTCCACCAGCCCCACACCTGCCCCTCCTTGGGAGGCATGCCACTTCCACTGCCTGCTGGCAGGGTCCCACCTCCAGGCCACGCCTTCCTTCAGGTCACTCGGGTGACGGGAGGCTCCCTGGGCCTTGCCCTCCCTGGAGCCTGCGTTTGGTTCTCAGGCTTAGAGTCCTAGCGAGGTAGAAGGGTGCGCAGGGCTCACTGGGCAGGACTCCCCTCCCCCCACTGGCTGGCAGCACCCACCAGGTATCAGAGGCTGTGACCTGCCCTCTCCGACGCCCACCTTCTCTGCGCCCTGAGGCCAGGCCAGCAGTTCTCAGCTGGGCCCTGTCTCCCCAGGGGAGGTGCAGGACGGGGTATTTCTAAATCTTTGTCTTGGATGTCAGAGCTGGCAGGGGCCCGAGAGAGCATGCAGCGGCCACCCTGGCCATCCAGACGGAGACCTGTCCAGGGGACCCACGGCCTCAGGCACATGGCCAGTGTGCTGGAACTGCCGCTCCGGCGGGGCCAGGGCCCTCTTACCCAGCTCGCAGTGGGCGCCATCATAGCCCGCGCTGCAGAGGCACCGGTACCCGGCCACGCGATCCTGGCAGGAGCCTCCGTGCAGGCACGGCTGTGACCGGCACTCGTCAATTTCTGAGGAGAGAGCCCAAGAGTAAACAATGTGGCCACAAGGTAGCCAAACTGAGAGGCACACGGACTAGTTCTGAGGGTCCGGACGGAATCCGGTGATCGTCCTCAGCGACTGGAGAGGCCAGAGCCGGGGCGGGACATCCCTGGGGTCGGGGCCTGGGGCTCAGTGCTGTGGGACCGAATTCCAGGGGCTTTCAGGCGGACAAAGGCCTTGGGTTTGGCAAAAAATGTCTCATGTCCCATCTTGCCATTTCAATGAAACCAGTACATCTATGAAGTCTTTTTTTTTTGAGAGAGAGTCTTGCTCCTGTTTCCCAGGCTGGATGGAATGCCACGGTGTGATCTTGTCTCACCACAACCTCCACTTCCCGGGTTCAAGTGATTCTCCTGCCTCAGCCTCCCGAGTAGCTGGGACTACAGGCATGTGCCACCACACCCAGCTAATTTTGTGTCTTCAGTAGAGACAGGGTTTCTCCATGTTGGTCAGGCTGGTCTCAAACTCCTGACCTCAGGTGATCTGCCTGCCTTGGCCTCCCAAAGTTCTGGGATTACAGGTGTGAGCCATTGCACCCAGATGCGATAAATCTTTAGTTTTAAAGGATTCGCCACAGATTTCTTTTAAACTGGAAGTTGTGCTCCTGAATTTAAATGTTTAAAGTTTAATTTAATGCTTAAAAAGTAAGTAAGTGGTCATGACTTAGTGACCTCTTAGACGAGCAGCCGCCCCAAGGGCAGGTGGGCTCATCTGATCACGCGCCCCTCCTCCCTCCCTTGTGTTAAGAATTTCTGGGGTTATCATTTGCTTGCCTTTTAAAAATTAGGTTTTCTGGCAGTAAAATAAGTAATTTAGTTTTAGAATGTTATGAATTGCCTAAACAATAATGAATTTGTTTTTGATGTTTATGAACTTTATAATACATCAGGACATATACTGTCTTCTCTCAGCATCATATGAAGAAAACTCATTTTCACTGCTAATTTTTGTATTTGTAGTCAAGATGGGGTTTCACTATGTTGGTTCACCAGGCTGGTCTCGAACTCCTGACCTCAGGTGATCCGGACACCTTGGCCTGCCAAAGTGAGCCACTGTGTCTGGCCGCAACATTTTCTTTTTGATGTATTGATTTTTGATTTACCGAAGAGCATTACATAGTGTGGTTATGTCATACTTCACCCATTCTCTTTGGCTGGGTCTTTGGGTTGGTTCTAGACTTTTTCCTTTTACGAAAAACATTGCTGTGCTGATTCTTTCCCGTCTCCTGGTGCAGACATGCAAATTTTTCTTAGGTTTCTACCTGGAAGCGGAATGGCTGGAACACGGTTGACGTAAATGATGAGCAGCGGGCAGACGAGCACACTGTTCTCAAAGCACCTCTAGCAACGAATCCTCCTCCACCACCGCCCACTCCTGGGTTCCAGCAATTTTCCCGCCTCAGCTTCCTGAGCAGCTGGGGTTACAGGTGTGTACCACCACGACCGGCTAATTCTGTATTTTTAGTAGAGACGGGTTTCTCCTTCATGTAGTCTTAAAACTCTGTATCTCTTCTTCTAGTTCGTAGTTTATATTTCCACTTTCTTCTTTAAGATTCGTGGATTTAAGTTCCTAATTTTCATGTAGTCAAGTATGTCAGTAACTTCTTTCATAACCCTTTTTGTGGCTTAAGGAGTCTTTCACTACCCCAAGGTCAAAAAGATATTTACCTATATTTTCCACACAAAATTATATAGTTTAAAAAAATTTTTTTTCCCTGTGGTATTTCAGGATTTTTTTTTTTTTTGAGGCAAGGTCTTGGTGAACTGAACCAATGATCACTGAGACACCCTCTCATTCTTAATGATGCTTTTGTCTTCTAATCTTTTTTTCTGACAGTAATACAGCTAATACACTAGCTTTATTTTGATTTGTATTCACCTGGTATTTTTTCCTTTTACCTTCACTTTTTGTATATCCTTGTTTTAGGAATGTCTCTTAAAGACTGTTAGCTTGTTTCATACCACATCTGGCAATCTCTTACCTGAAGAGTTAGTCCATTCAAATTTCTATGTATTTTTCTATCACAATTCTTTCCAATCTTAGTATTTGCCACATTTTTCTGATTATGCTTTTCTCCTTTTGGATGGTGACCTTCCCATGAAATCTGGTAACCCTCCCTTCTCTTAACTGGGTTTATCTTATTACCTTATTATCTTCCTTCCTTCAGAAAAGGACATTTTTTTATTTTTATTTTTATTTTTGCTAAGCCTCTGAAGCTGTGTTTGTATGAGAATATATTTTTTTATGCTCTTACATTTGAATAACAATTTGATTGGATAAAGATTTTTAGGTCTCAAGTTTATTTTGTTTCTTAATTTTTAATTTCTAGGAGACAGGGCCTTGCTGTCTCCCAGGCTGGAGTGCAGTGGCGTGATCATAGCTCACTACAGCCTTGAATTCTTGTGCTCAAGTGATCCTCTCACCTCAGACTCTTGAGTAGGTGGGATTACAGGAGCATGCCACCATACCTGGCTAATTTTAAAAGCTTTTTGTAGAGTTGGGGGTCTTGCTATGTTGCCCAGGGTGGTCTTGAACTCCTGGCCTCAAATGATTTACTTCCGTTCACTTTCCTCCATTTCTTCCTTTGTATCGATTTCATTAAGCCTATCCAATTTATTAATTTCAGCTGGGCATGGTGGTTCATGCCTGTTGGTTAATCCCAACACTTTGGGAGGCAGAAGCAGAAGGATCTCTTGAGCTCAGGAGTTCGAGACCAACCTGGGCAACACAGTGAGATCCTACTTCTACAAAAATGAATAATAAAGAAAACAATGTATTCATTTCAGATTATTTTCAGTTCTAGATTCTCTATTTTTTACTTTTTTTCTCTGTTCAAATTCTGTCTTCTCTCCATCGTTCTGCCTCTCTTTTCCTTTTTCTTTAACATAAAGAAAACTTTTAACGGAATTTTAAAGTCTGTCTAAATTCCAACACTTGGGTGATCTCTAAGCTCTTTTTCTGTTGACCGTTTCTTCTTTAGATTATCTAGTGAGGTGAGATCTTCTTTAGATTATGTGTCACAATTTCCTGCTTCTCAGACATAGTGTGTATAAGAACACTGGAAATCAAAGTAGGAAATTCCTCCACAGAATGAACACACTCTAGTCTCTCCCAGGTAGTGAGGTCGAGGAGCTGACCTGTGATATCGCCAGGAGCTGAGCTGGGCTGCAGCTGGAGCAGTTTTAAGTAGGTTCAGCGCAAGACAGGTTTTGAATGCTTGAGGATTTGAACAGGCCTCTCCCTCCAGGTGGACTTGATCGAATCCTTGTGAGACTGTGAAATCTCTCCCTGCTTTAGGGACCAGCCCCTGGCTTCTCATGCACTGGTAACGATCCTGTGGGTGAGACCTGGTGGGTGCAGGGAACTCGCTCTCCACGTCTGTGGCTTCTCTTGATTTCAGTCGGTTGTGCTTTTCCCGTAGCATGACAAGTTTGGCCGGAGGATGAAAGCATCCTCAACTTGACAGGTTAAATGATAGGATTTCATAGGCTTCATGGGGCTCCTTCAACATTACGGTGACACTGACGGTATTCTGTGACTGTCTGCATGCTAACCAAATGGAGCTCTTCAATATTTAAAAAAATTTCACTATCTCACATCTGATATCGCTGTTGAGAAGTCTGATGTCAAGCTGATGCTTGTTCCTTTGTACACGACCTGTTCTTCCCTCTGGAAGTTAAAAGCTTTCCCACTTGTCCAGGATATTCTGGTACTTGACTCTAATGGGTCAGGTTTGTCTCCGCTTTGCTCCCGTTTGATGTTCTGTGGACCCTTTTGATCTGCTGTTCATCTGGAGCTCTGGGAATTTAGCTGCCCGGACACTCGCCCTTTACATTTTTATTTTCTCTTCTTCTCGGGCTCCAATTATCTCAGCATTGGCCGTGCCTTCTACCCTCTATAGCACCAATATTTTCTTTCTTTCTTTTTTTTTTTTTTTTGAGACAGAGCCTTGCTCTCTTTCCCAGGCAGGAGTGTGGGTGGTATGACCTCACCTCACCGCAACCTCTGCCCCCCCGATGTAAGCGATTCTCCTGCCTCAGCCTCCCAAGTAGCTGGGACTACAGGCATGTGCCGCCACACCCAGATACTTTCTGTATTTTTAGTAGAGACAGGGTTTCACTATGTTGGTTCACCAGGCTGGTCTTGAACTCCAAACCTCAGGTGATCCTCCTGCCTCAGCCTCCCAAAGTGCTGGGATTACAGGTGTGAGCCACTGCACCTGGCCCCAACATTTTCTTTTTGATTTATCTATCTTTCCCTGCTTCTTTCTGGGAAAGTTCTTCAAGCTGATCTTTCAACTCACTTACTCTTCATCTGTATCCATTTATATATTGTCTGTTATTTCAACTATTACAGTTCTTCACCTGCTTCTGCCCACTTTCTTTTTAAAATGATTTACCGATCCTGTTTTGGATGGCCAATGCTGTGTTTACTTTGCAAATCTGTCACGGTTATTTTATACTGTGAATCCATTTTCTTTTTCTGCACGAGATGGGGTCTTGCTCTGCCCCCCAGGCTGGATTTCAGTGGCAGGACCACGGCTCACTGCAGCCTTGACCTCCCGGGTTCAAGTGATCTCCTGCCTCAGCCTCCTGAGTAGCTGGGACTACAGGCACGTGACACCATGACCAGTTAATTTTCAAAGTGTTTTGCAGAGATGAGGCCTCTGTTATGCTTGCTCGTCTTGAGTTCCTACGTCGGTCCATCTTCTTCACTTCTGCTTCCAACCGTACACGTTGTCTGGACTTCTATTACTATTTTTCGAGACAGATGTACTTCTGAGGGTTCTCGATATCCTGACTGGTTGCTCACATTCTCTGAGGATGTCAGCGTCTCATCTGGCATCCTACGGGGGAAGTAGCCCTGGGAAAGGGTTGTCTCCAAGACACAGGAACTCACCCTGAGGCCTGGAAGCCCAGAAGGAAAGGAGGGTGCTTGAGGCCAGGTACTCCCAGACCCTAACCTGAGTGAGGCCACATGGGTTGGCCTTGGCTTGGCGGGCACGTGGAAGATGGTGATGTGCTTATGTGCCCCATTCATCTCTGGGTGCTGCCACCCACCCTCCCTAAGCATATTTGTTTAAAACCCTTGCTTCATAAAAACAAGCTCATGTCACACAGACTTTCCGACGCACTGTCTGGACTGCCCTGGCGTGATGTGACGTACCTGCAGCGTGTTAATGACCCCACTTCTGCAGGGACTTCGGTCAGAGGGGGCCTTGTCTCTAGGCTGTGCACCCCCAGCTCCCAAGCCAGATGGGTGGGACCTCAGTGACAATGCTCTCTGGGGCAGCACTCCTCAAATGGCTGCAGCGGGAGGGGGATCTTGCTGAAATCAGGCTCTGATTCCACAATTCTTCAAGGGGCCAGGAGTAGGAGGTGGACCCTGAACCCATATTTGCCTCTTTAGGACTCTGCCCTTGGGCTTCCTCTTGGCCTCAACTGCTGCATCTGCAGAGGGGGCACCTGGGTGTTTGACCCCCCTGCTCCAGGAAGCTTTCAGTGAGTGGCTCGTGGTCAGGACCACTGTCACCCAGGTCCACATTCACAGAGAGGAGAGTGAGGGAGGAGGGGCAGGACCAGGTCAGAGCTGGACACCCAGGCCTGGACCTGCAGCCCCAGTGCTCCTCCACATGGCCCCAGGGAGGAGGGTGTGGGCCCCGCCTGCCCCACCCCAAGGGCCCGCAGAATCACCGAGGCACTGGGGAGGCTCACTCCAGACACCCTGCGGCTGGCACACCCGGATGCGGCTGGGGGCGCTCAGGCTGTAGCCGCGGTCACACGCGTACAGGGCCACTGCGCCCAGCCGCGTGCCGTCGAAGCGCAGCGTGGCGTGCTTCACCTCCTCTGGGGGGCCGCAGTCCACCTCTGCAAGGCACAGCAGCCTGTCCTGCGCGTCCGGAGCCTTCCCGGCCCCTCCCCACGGCTCTGCCCTCTGCCTGACCTGGCTGCAGGGCCCAGGGACGTCCTGCTCCCACACTGCCCTTCGCAGGGGACTCTGGGGCCTGGCTGCCGAGATGCTTGTTTCCTTCTTCCCATTCCTGCCCTGCCCAGCTCTGCAGGGAGCAGCAAGAAGACCCACTGCTCCCACGTGACCCCCGGCCCTCTCACCTGCCTGGCACCGGCGTCCCATGTACCCAGCTTGGCAGTGGCAGAAGAAGTCCGCGCCTCGGTCTTCGCAGGTGCCCCCATTCATACACGGGCTCCGGAAGCAGGGAGAGGGGGCTGCCAGAACGCAGGAGGGTCCTGGCCACTGTGTCGTCCCTGAAGGCTCGGGACTGCACAGGCGTCCGGCCTCCTGCACCCAGCTCCCCCTCCCGCACCTCCAGGGCCTGAGCCAGCCCACCCACGGGCCCGTTTACACATCCGTAGGGCGGCTGCAGCCCTGGCCCCCCCAGCCTGGCCTCGGACCACCTTACCTATCTCGCAGTGCCGCCCGGAGAAGCCTGGGGGACAGTCACATTTGTATTTGCCAATGTAGTGGAAGCAGGTGCCACCGTTGTGACAGGGGCCAGAGGCACATGAGTCTGGCTTCCCTAGAGGCAGAAAGCACCCAGCCAGGTCAAGGGTCACAGCCCACCACCCCCCAGGTTCCCCAACCTCCCAGAGCTGGGGCCTGTTCATGAGAAGCGGAACCGCAGCTGGCGGAGAGGGTGCGTCAGGGGGCCCCAGCTCAGGGCTGGCCAGGCATTCCCGCCCTCCCCACCGCCCCTGGGGGCCGCACCTATCTCACAGTGCCTCCCGGTGAAGCGGTAGGGGCAGCTGCAGTGGTACTCACTGCCCGCCTCCTTGCAGGTGCCCCCGTTCCGGCAGGGCCCTGAGCTGCACAGGTGTGGCCGGGCTGTGTGGAAAGACAGAGAGGCAGATGAATGGGGCCGGGGTCCCACCCGGCAGATCCCCCACATCCTCTTGGCATCTCCTCAGTCCTCTGGTTCCAGTGGGGGCTGGAAGGCCAGGCCTGCTTCTCGGCTGAGCCCCAAGGCCCGGCCACAGCAGGGGCCAAGCAGGAGGCGGGAGGCAGGGTTGGGGCTCGCAGGCTGGAGACCCCAGCTCAGCCTCAGGCCAGCCCTCTGCATGCCTTTCCTCTTCTCTGCCCAGTCTCTGGCAACGGCTGGGCCCTTCCTGGTGGAGAACCAGCTTCACCACTGCAGCGGGAGCAGCACCCCCTCCTTCCTGCCACGGGCACTCCCCATCGGACAGCAAGCGGCTGAGGCTCAGCTGCCGTGACATTGGGGCCACTGCAGTCAATGTGGACTTCTGTGTTTTCTGTACCTGCACTGGCATTGCCATGTTTTCTTTCGGTCCTGACAGTTCCTGGGCCCCCAAGGAGCTCAGCTGCCCAGGCCTGTGCCTGAGGCAAGCACATATTGAAAGCCATCTGCTAAGCCAAGCACATCTGTCCTGGCACCTTGACAACCACACCGTCACAGGGCGGTGAGGAACTCCAAATCCTTGGCCCCCTGGGTGTCCTGAGCGGCAGGAGGGGCCGGCCCCCCGTGCTCACTCCTATCCCCCCAGCCCCTACCCCCAGGGGCTCCCATGCTGCCTGTCCAAGCTCTGGCTGTCCCACTGGAGGACATCCATTCCTGTCCTTTCTGTGCACCTTTTGGGTTCAGAGGTATCTGCATTGGTGGTCTGTGTGCTCGCAAAAGCCGGGACCTGGGAGGAGGGCTGTGCAGTCCCTGGGGCGGGCACAGAACCAGTGGGGCAAGAACACTGGGTACTGGCAGTTTGGCCTAGTTAGGAGGAGTGGGCTCTGGCAGGACACCCCTTGGGTGTGGTGGCCTCCATACCACTGGTGGGTATGAGCTGGGCTAGGGCCAGAGTGGACTCTGGGCAGGGCCCATGAGGGGCCTCAGGGTGGTCCCAGGAGTGTGTTGAGAAAGATGTTGTCAGAGCTTGCAAGGAACCAAGCAGTTGGGGTCTTCTCTTTGGAAAGCTGCTGTGTCTCTGCTGCAGGGGTGTGGGGAGCCACTGGGTCCACAGCTGAGACTTCGGGGTCTTGCCCTCAGGGACAAGGAGGAGGGCAGGGGAGAGGCCATGGGAAGGCCCCACACCAGTCCAGGCTGTGGGGGTACCTGGGGCCCTGAACCCCCAGAGAGGGTGCCAGGCCACGCTGGGGTCAGCCAGCCCCCTCGGCACTGGCCACTGAGATGCCAGACATGTCTGGGGGTCCTGCACGGAAGGGACAGGCTTGGTGGGCACTGTGCTCACTAAGGAGGGATACTCCTATTTTCGAGCACCTAATTGTAGTAAAATTCAACATTTTCCATGCCGAATTAGATTGAGCAAAATCCTAAGGAAAATTTTAAAATAAAATTTAAAACAATGATTCTAAAACCTATTTGGAAAAATGCAGAGCAAGCAGGCAACGAACTCTGTTTTGAGAAGGACAAGGTAATGAGCAGCAGGCCTGGGACTCGTGCAGATCAGAACGGTCCAGGGGCGAGGGGCTCGTCTCGGAGGCGCAGAACCGCGCAGCGCAGCAGGCAAGGTTCCGCCGAGGCCAGCGGCTCCCGGAGACACGGCGCGGGCGCGGCCTGAGGCCCGCGGGCGCTCTCCGAGGTGCTGACGCCCGGCCCGCCCTACCTTTCTCGCAGTGCTTGCCGTGGAACCCGCGCGGGCACTCGCAGGTGTAGGAGTCGTCACGGGCGTCGCAGGAGCCTCCGTTGAAGCAGGGGTCCGAGTCGCAGGGCGATGGCAGCGCTGGGGGCGGGGGGCAGAGGGTGGGCCTGGAGCTCATGCCGCGCCCGTGTGGCGGCCAGAGGTGGGAGGGCACGTTGCCTGCCGGGGTTACCCTGACATCCTGTCTGGAACCAAGGCCGCTTATAATACACTCTGTGGGCATCTTGATTCCTGCGTGGGCTCTGAGCCCCTCCCTGGAATTTCTCTTTTTCTTGATTTTAGCAGAACTCGCCCTTCCCTCTTCCACGAGGTAGCACTGAGCTGTGACACACAAATGCCTTCCTGACATCACTGCCAGCACCACGACATTATTCGACATATTCTATACGATGCAAGTGATAAACCATCTACACACTCACAAACACGCAGCAGTCACGCATTTAACTACACGTGCCTAATCATGTGGCATTAAGTGCTGGGGCTCGGGGAAGACGCCGCATGGTGCTCGTGGACTCAGAGGCCATTTCCACCTGTGAGCCTCCTCCCCTGGGGTGGAGATAACCAGCCCCGTGTTACAGGAAGGCTATTGAGAGAGGCTCGCCCAGGTGCCAGCTCTCCCAGGAGTCGGAGGGAAGCAGGGACTCTGGCCTCTGCCTGCCTCACCCACCACTTTCTCCCTGGCTTCTGTCCCGGCCCCCAGCCCAGCAGGCTCGGCCCTGAGCCACTCACAGTGGCTGGCATTGTGGTCGGTGTGGCAGACGCAGAGGTATCTCCCACCGTGCTCCATGCAGTAGCCCCCATCTGGGCACTGTGTGTTCATGTTGCAGGGCATGGCTGTGATTTCTGGAGAGAAAGGAGGAAGCCCATCCCATAGCCCGCATGTCTCCCGATGGATGTCGAGTCCTTGTCAGGGATGGGGCTTCCCAACACCCAGTGACCCCAACAGGTTCAGGCACTCTTGTGGCCAGGCCCTCCCGGGGTGGGGCTGGAACCACTAGTTCAGAGTCTGGATCTGTGGACCCCAGCCCAAGCCACTGCTCATTTCCTGGTTATGAGGATGCTCAGGGACAGGGCGGGAAGGGTGCCCTGGGCACCTACCAAATTCACAGAGGAGCCCAAAGAATCCCGGGGGACACTGGCAGAGGGTGGTGTTGGTGCCCACGCATCTGCCTCCATTGCGGCACTCGCAGCCACTGGAGGTTCCTGCCACAAAGAGAGGGAGGAGCCTCCCATGTGGGGGCGCAGAAGGATGGCACCCTCGCTCCAGACCTGCCCTGCTGCTGGCCAACTTCCCACACGGATGCAGTGTACACACACTCACGCTTCTTCTCGAGTGCTTCCCACACGGATGCAGTGTACACACACTCACACATTCTTCTCGGGGCACTTCCCACACGGATGCAGTGTACACACACTCACACACTTCTTCTCGGGGCACTTCCCACACAGATGCAGTGTACACACACTCACACACTTCTTCTCGGGGTGCTTCCCACACAGATGCAGTGTACACACACACACACCTTGGGGCACTTCCCACACAGATGCAGTGTACACACACACACACACTTCTTGGGGCGTTTCCCACACAGATGCAGTGTACACACACACACTTCTTCTCGGGGTGCTTCCCACACAGATGCAGTGTACACACACACACACATTCTTCTAGGGGTGCTTCCCACACAGATGCAGTGTACACACACTCACACACTTCTTGGGGCGTTTCCCACACAGATGCAGTGTACACACACTCACACATTCTTCTCGGGGCACTTCCCACACGGATGCAGTGTACACACACTCACACACTTCTTCTCGGGGCACTTCCCACACAGATGCAGTGTACACACACACACACACACTTCTTCTCGGGGTGCTTCCCACACAGATGCAGTGTACACACTCACACACACACCTTGGGGCACTTCCCACACAGATGCAGTGTACACACACTCACACACTTCTTGGGGCGTTTCCCACACAGATGCAGTGTACACACACTCACACACTTCTTGGGGCGTTTCCCACACAGATGCAGTGTACACACACTCACACACTTCTCGGGGTGCTTCCCACACAGATGCAGTGTACACACACTCACACACTTCTTGGGGTGCTTCCCACACAGATGCAGTGTACACACACACATATGCTCACATTTCTTCTTGGGTATTCCCTGCATGCACCCACAGGGGGGCCCCGCCTGGGTCTCCTGCCCCAGCCCGAAAACGGCAGCCCTGGCAGCCCAGACGCACTCTCCCTGCAGTCCAGGCCCATGAAGCCTTCGGGGCACTCGCACACGTAGCCCTGGTCCGCGTCCACACAGGTGCCCCCATTGTGGCAGGGGGCCGAGAGGCAGGCGTCGGGAACTGGGTGGTCTCCTGCAAGAAAGACAGTCGTCACCAGCAGCCACACAAGGAGTGTGGGGAGAGTGGTCTCCTCGCCCAGCCCCCGCGGCACCTTTGGGTTTTAACCTTAGTTCTTATTCCCAAGTGGAACTTAAGCCAGAATTTCTGGAAACAGATTTGTAGCCACTCTGCATCCCATGGTGCTCAGGATCTCCCAGTTCCATGCTTGGACTGACAAGCAGCACTGAGCGATCACCCAGGGGCCAGAGGCCTCCACACGTCTGGTCAGGCACCCCTATCAGCGAAGTAATTGGGATTTTCCAGGTATCTTTCTGCTGTTCATCTCTAGTTTAATTTTGCTATGGTCAGAAAACACAATCCTTTTCAATGTACTGGGCCTTATTTATGGCCCACAATGTGGTCTTTGATGGCCATGAACACTTGGGAATAATGTGAGGGCTCTATAAATGCCACGGAGGCCACGCTCATGTCTTCTCCAGCTTTACTGATTTCCTGTCCACACGCTTTGTCCACCACACGCTTTGTCCACCACTGGGAGGAGAGTGCTGAAACCTCCAATAATTAGGGACCTATTTCTCCTTGCAGTTCAGTAGCTCTTCCTTCATGTGAATAGGTGTTAACAAGCATGAGTATATCTACAGTTATGTTTTCTGGAGGTATTGACCCCTTTATCATTATAAAAGGTGCCTCCTCATTCCCAGCGATATTCCTTCATGTTTATTTGATATTAATATAGCCACTGTAGCAATATCTCGATTAGTGCTTACCTAATTTTACTTTTTGGATTTTAAAAGATGTTCAATTTCTTTGTGTGCTTTTAAAATTTCTCTTTGTAAATTAGTATACAGTAAAATTGACTTTGGTTCACTACACCCTTATGCATTTTAACACATACATAATTTGCTTAACCCCCACCACAATCTGGATACAGGACATTCCATCTCCCCGAAAGATTTCTCTGGTCTGTCTCTTCAGAGTCAGAGCTCCTGTTACACCTCAGTCCCTGGTAACTACTGATCTGGTCATCGCTACAGTTTTCTTTGACCAAAAACACCAGTTAGTGGAACCACGCGGAATATAATCTTCGAGACTGGCTTCTCTCACGCATCGTAATACCTCTGAGATCCACCCAAGTTGTCATATATATCAATAATTGGTCCTTTTTATGGCTGAGTAGTATTCCACTGTACAGAGGTTCCACAATTTGCCTATCCATTTATCTTTGGAGTCTGGTGATTATAAACAAATAATATAAACATCTGTGTATAAATTTGTGTGTGAACATAAGTTTTCATCTCTTTAGAGTTAATACCAAGGAATGGGATTGCTGGGTCATATTAGAAGCATATATTAACCTTATAAAAAACCTGCCAAACTGTTTTCAGAGTGGCTGAATGATTTTGCATTTCCACTAAAAATGTGTGAGAGTCCCAGCTGTTCCACATCTACACCAGGTATTATATATACATTTTAAGATGTTCTAATGGGTTTGTTGTGATTTCTCATAGTGGCTTTTATTTGCATTTCACTAATGGCTGATATTAATGACAAGAATATCTTTTCATCCGTTTATTCCCCTCCACATATGTATCTTTTGTGGCCAAGTGTCCGTTCGAGTCTTTTGTCCATTTTTTAAATTGAGTTGTTTTCGCACAGTTGAGATTTGAGAATTCTTGATGTATTCTGGTCACAGGTCCTTTGCTGGGTATGAGTTCTGCAAACATTTTCTCCTGGTCTGTAGCTTGCCTTTTTATTCTTTTAACCATGTCTTTCACAAAGCAAAAGTTTTAAATTTTGATGAAGTCTAATTTATCTGTGTGTGTGTGTGTGTTTTAATCAATCATGCTTTTGCTGTCTTATCTAAGAAGACTTTGCCTAAGACTAGGTCATAAATATTTTTTTTTGGCCTATATTTTCTTCTAAAAATGTTGTAGTTTTATGTTTTTATGGTCTATGATCCATTTTGACTTAATCTTTGTATAAGGTGTGAGGTTTAAGTTGGGGGTCATTTTTTAAAATAAGGATATCTAATTGTTTCAAATCCATTTGTTGAAAAGATTATCCTTTCTCTGTTGGATTGCTTTTAAATCATTTTCAAAAATTAACTGGCCATATTTGTGTGGGTCTAATTCTGGATTTTCTCTTCTGTTTCTCTGATCCATATGTCTGTCCCTTTGCCAATATCACACTGAACTGATCACTGTGGCTTTATAGTGAATCTTAACACCCAGTAGTGTGATTCCTCAAAATTTATTCATCAAAATTGTTTTGGCTTTCTAAATTTTTTCTTTCCATATAAATTTTAGAACCAGTTTGTCTATATTTACAAAAGATTCTGCTGAGACCTCCGTTGGAATCATGTTAAATGTATAAATCAATTTAGAGAGCACTGCCACATTTACTATGTTGAGTCTTCTAATCCATGAACATGGTATGTCTATTTATTTACTTGATCTTGATTTCCTTCATCAGCTCTTTGTGGTTTTTCAGCATACAAATTCTCTAATGCTTTATTAGATTTATTCTAAAGTCTTCCAACTTCAGAGGAGCTATTATAAATGGTATTGTCTATAAAATTTTGGATCAGATGACAGATTCCTCCAACTTGGGGGGGGGGGACTCAGAAGTTCATAAATAACTTTATGGAGTTACTGTCCCAAGATTCACCCTCCATAGTCTCCCGAGTCCTTCCCAGTTTTCTGGGGCTACCTTTTTTCATCCTCTGGCAAGAAAGCTGGGCTTTTATTTCCGTACCTTACCACTTATTCATAATGATGGCGTTCATTGCTGGGGTCAAGCGATGGGACAACAGAGAAAGGGAAAAACAACAGCAACGGGGAAAACAATACCCAATGCCTTTGAAACCACAGCGCCTCCAGCTGGAGAGAAAGCTTTCCCTCCCTCACGGTTTAAAGACACCTGAGGGTTCCCCAACTTCTGCACTGTCAGCCCTGCTTCTTAAGCCTGACTAGAGGACTTCTCTGGAGCATTCTTCTTGTCCATGTAGATGCTCACTTCTGGTTTTGAGGTGTCTTTGAGTCCAGGCTGGGGGGATACCAGAGCAAAAAACAAAAAATGGTAAACTCACCACTGGTTTGGTGGTACTTCGAAGCTTGGTCTTCTTCCCCAATCCACCTGCTACTATTTACTTTTCAGAGTCCTCTGATAGCTACTCCATGCATTCTGTCCAGGAGTTTAGCTGTATTCAGTGGGCGAGAGACAGGGGTAGAGTGTGCTTACTCTATCTTTCTCAGAACCAGAAATCCACTCTATTACTTTAAAATTATCTGTGTCTTTATACTTAGAGTGGGTTCTTGTGATAGTATGTAGTTGGGTATTGCTTTTCAATTTAGTTTGACAATCTTTGCCTTTTGTTCATATGTTTAATCATTTTCATTTTAATGTAACTACCAATATGACTAGAAGGGACCTGTCACCTTGCTGTTGGTTTTAATTTGTCCCACTTCTTTCTTTTTTCCTCTTTTCTTGCCTTCTGGATCGAGTATTTGTAGGATTCAATTTCTTTTTTTTTTTTTTTTTTTTTTGAGACGGAGTTTCGCTCTTGTTACCCAGGCTGGAGTGCAATGGCGCGATCTCAGCTCACCGCAACCTCCGCCTCCTGGGTTCAGGCAATTCTCCTGCCTCAGCCTCCTGAGTAGCTGGGATTACAGGCACGTGCCACCATGCCCAGCTAATTTTTTGCACCTTTAGTAGAGACGGGTTTCACCATGTTGACCAGGATGGTCTCGATCTCTTGACCTCATGATCCACCCGCCTCGGCCTCCCAAAGTGCTGGGATTACAGGCTTGAGCCACCGCGCCCGGCCTGTAGGATTCAATTTCTACCTCCACAGTTGGTTTACTGGTCATAATTATTTATTATATTATTTTTCACTTGTTGTTCTAGGGTTTACAACGTGTATCTTTTACTTACAGCCTAACTTCAAACAATATTATACCACTTTGTATAATATAGGGACCTTACAATACTACCCTTCCGTTTTCTCCTATCTTTTATGTTGGGGTTGGTAAACTATAACTCACAGACCAAATCTTGCCTTCCATCAATTTTTAAAAGGACAGATTTATTGGAACATTGGAACACAGCCATACCTATTCATTTGTGTATTGTCTACGGCAGGCTGCTTTCACACTACAATGGTAGAGTTGAATTGTGATAGGGACCACGTGGCTCACAAAGCCAGAAGTATTTACTCTCTGGCCCTTTAACAGAAAAAGTTTGCACACCTTGGCTTATGTTATTGGTGTCATCTATTTTATTTCTACATATGTTATAAGCTTCATTATTTTACTTTAAAAATTATCTTTAAAGAGATTAAAGTCTTCAACCCACATAGTAATCATTTTTAACAGTCTTCATCCCTCTGCATAGATCCAGATTTTCCTTTGGTACCAGTTTTTCTTCTTCTGTCTAAATAATAACTTTTTTTTTTTTGTAATGTAGGTATGCTGGTGATGAATGCTCTTTACTTTTGTTTGAAGAAGTCTTTATTTCAGCTTAATATTTGAAATATAGTTTTGCTGGTAATATAGTATATTAGGTTGGTGGTTTTTTCTTTCAGTACTTTAAAGGTGTTACTCCAGTGTCTCCTGGTTTGCATTGTTTTTTGATGAGAAATCTGTGGTCATTCTTGTTTCTCTGTATGTAATGTGGCTTTTTCCTCTGGCTGTTTTTAAGATTTTTATCATTAGTTTTCAGCAATTTGATTATGGTATGGCTTTGTGTGGTTTTCTTCATGTTTTTCTTGGAAATGTGGGTTTTAGTTTTCACCAAATTTGGAAAATGTTTGGGTATCATTTCTTCACATCCTTTTTCTGCAATATTCCTCTCCACACCCAACTCCATCCTCCTCCTCAGACTCCAGATACATGGCTCCTCGGTGGCTTAACTCTGTTCTGCAGGTTCCCAAGATCTCTTCTCTTTATTTCAGTCTTATTCTCTCTGTGACACACACTGAATTGTTTCTGTTTCACTGTTCGGGTTCACTGATCTTTCCTTCTGCAATACCTAACCTGCTGTAAATACTATTTAGTGTATTTTAAACATTCAGATATCTTTTTCATCTCTACAAGTTTTAAAATATACCTCTACTTCCCATTAGTTTTTTCCCCTCAACAATCTTGAGTATATGGAGCATATTCATCATAGATAAACATTCGTATCTGCTAATTTGATCATTGTTGTCATTTCTGATGCCTATTTCTATTGATCTACTTTTCTCCTGGCTGTTGAGTTACATTTTACTTCTAATAATTTTTAACTGAGTATTTGGATTCTGTTATATTACTGATATACTCCTGTTAAGGAGTGTAGGATTTTATTCTGACACATAGCTAAGTGACTTAGGATTCACCTGGTCCTTCTAAAGCTTTCTTTAAGACTTGTCATATGCAGGTCTACATTAGTTTTTAGTTCAGCATTTACTTATCCCCGCGACTAAAGTGACACCCACTGAGAGCTCTACACGATCGATTCCCAGCCCCGTTTCAGTTCCAGGAATTGTTTGATTAACTGCCTATGGTGCTTCTTTCCCAGCCTGTGGATTTCACCCTGAGTCAGGAAATACTGAGCTGAGGTTCAAGGAGATCTCCTCTTGATCTCACATGCCCTCCTGCCTCAGGAGCACCCTTTTCTCTGGTATTCTGCCCCACAAACTGCACCCATTGAACTAGGATCTAAGTCTCCTCAATTCGGAGGGACTGCCGGATTCTCAATTCCTCCTCCTGGCATAGTGGCCTGAAAACTGCCCCCGGGCAGAATCTAGGCCAACTGCAGGGCTGACCTCATTTGAGTCCCTTTTCTCCGGGATGACAGGCTTGCACTGTCTGTTGTCCAATGGCTGAAAAATGGGTTTCCCAAGCTTTGCCTGTTTCTAGATGTTGAGAGTAAGAGGGAAATTCCCAGAGCAGTGAATTCTCGCTGGCCAGAAGGAGAAGACGACAAAGTCTTTCTTACGGTGTCCAATTTTTGGCCAACTTCCTGTCAGACCTGATTAGATTATCAGCGTTTGTGCCTTGTAACACAGTCAGCAAAAGAGTCAGGCAATTGTTTCTTTCTTTCCTTTTCTTGTTCTTTTTTTCACTATCCACCTGGAGATAGCTTTCCTTTCCTTCCCTTTTCTTTCTTTCTTTTTTTTGAGACCGCATCTTACTCATTCTGTCACCCAGGCTGGAGTGCAGTGGTGCGATCTCAGCTCACTACAACCTCTGCCTCCCTGGTTCAAGCAATTCTCTAGCCTCGACCTCCCGAGTAGCTGAGATTATAGGCGTGCACCACCATACCCAGCTAACTTTTGTATTTTTAGTACAGATGGGGTTCCACCATGTTGGCCAGGCTGGTCTTGAACTCCTGACCTTAAGCGATGCACCTGCCTCAGCCCTTTCCCAAAGTGCTGGGATTACAGGTGTGAGCCACTGTGCCTGGCCAGTCTATTGTTTCTTATTATCCACTTCTACTTCTGTACAAAACATGGTATATTTGCAAAAATCTTTTGAAATCGCTTATCTGTTTCCTGACATGAATTTAGTGAAATACACTGACATTTAGGTAACAATCTGGGCAAAGTGAGCTGTGACACGAACAGTGACTTTAAAACAGCCTAACAGGTGAGGCTGCCTCCTCCCGCCTGCCCTGCAGAGCACCACACTCCCCTCAGGACGCACCCTGGCTTCCCATGCACTTGGCGAAGACTGGTAGAGGGCCCATGACCCTTTGTGTCTTATGGGTAAAATATAATTTCCTCCTCAATTTTTAAACTAAAAATAACCTGAATAGTTTAACTTTTAGCATCTCCCTGGAGAGAAGCTGGCATGTGGGTGAGCCTCGGGAGGCTGTGTCCACAGAGGCTGGCATGTGGGTGAGCCTCGGGAGGCAGGTGTGACTATCACACATAAAAGCCCTGCTTTATACTGTGGGCTGTAATCTTTAGTTGGCCTTTTAATTCCTCTAACAGGTCACAACTAGCAATTAGAAAACAGAATAAAAAACAGTAGATTTCAGCACATGTAGTAAAGGCCAGTTTTCTTTCTGATTCCCATGACTTTCCCTCGTGGGGTGAGGATTCTAGAGTAGGAAAGAAAGATGTGAAAAAGCTGAGAATCACCCAGGCTGGAAGAGGAGGCTTGGGAACTGTCATCCCTCCCAGCATTTCACAGATGGGAACCCAGGCCCAGAGACGGGGAGAGGCTGCTCAGCGTCACACAGCACACTGGCGACAGAGCGTCCATCTTTTGCTTCCTATTTTCCCTGCAGTTCGTGGATGAGCGGGAAGCGTTGGGGAGTGGGAATAGGGCAGAGGCAGGTGTGGGTGAGTCAGACGGCGAGGCAGGAAGGGAGTAGCTACGGTGTGTTCACCACACAAGGCCGCCACCGCCCATGGTGGGCAGTGGGCACCTGGCCAGTTACCTGTCTCGCAGTGAGGTCCCGTGAAGGGCTCTGCACACAAGCAGGTGTAATTCCCCACGAGGTCGACACAGGAGCCTCCGTTCAGGCAGGGCCCAGAGCTGCAGTCATCCACATCTGAGGGGCAGCAGAGGCGGGGGCTTGGCTTGAGCCAGGCCACGATCACCCTGTGCCCAGCACCTGGTCTCCAGCAGGAGCCCCTTCCAACCCGAGGGCAGCCACTCACCTGTCTCGCAGGCAGCTCCGGTGTATCCAGCCTGGCACGCGCACACCGCAGAGCCCCTCTCCACCCGGCACTGGCCACCATTGTGACACTCTTTGGTGTCACAGGGGGACTGGGCTAGAGTGAAGAGGTGTAGACGGGACACTGGGCTGCCAGCTATGGTCACCTGATGGGACAGAAACCCCTGGGACGTACACTGAGCCCCACTCCCGACTGGCCTGCAGGGCGGGGGGCCTGGCAGGCAGGTTCCTGAGGGGCGGCAGGCAAGGAAGAGGCCTGGCCAGGCAGCCCGGACTGGCCACCTGAAGCGCCATCTGAACTGGGTCTAATTCAGCAAACGGGATGGAGGGAGGGGCAGGTGTGCCGGGCGGGGACAGCGGGGGTGCAGGAACCCACTCCCACTCTTGGGGACTGGTCTCTCCCCAGGAGGCTCTCATGCCAAGCAGACTGTGACAAGAGCTGTTGTCCAGGATGCAGGCCGTGACTGAGCCTGGAAGGGTGGGCGGCGCCCTGGGTGTAGGGGTGGAGCCTGGGGTGAGCAGCTGGGTGGGCAGCCGGTGGCCTGTGAGAAACAGCCAGTGTGAAGGGGCTCCAGCTCCCAGGTACTGAGTGGGCGTGAGCTTGGGGAGCCCACCCCCTGCGCGGCCTCCTCACCGGATGCTGGCCCTCCTTGAGCCCAGAGCACCTGGCCCAGGCATCCCAGGTCTCTCCTTTGCCCCCGGGCAGCAGAGCCAGAAGCGGGGGAGCCACATTCCCTGTGTTACGGACAACTCACACCCAGACAAACTCAACATAGAAACCAGAGTGACGGCCAAGGCGTGGAGTCATGGGGGAATGGTGGGACCGTCTCCTTGGCACAGGAAAGAGACAGGAGGGCCTGGCCAGAGGGGCCAGAAGAGGTGCTGGTGGAAGGGCAGGTAAGCAGAGGCTGGCTCTGCCAACGGCTTCAGAAGGAGGTGTGGAAGCGCTGTGGCGGCTGACGGCACATGGTGATCCTGTCTCCCTGACCCCAGCTCCACTAGGCAGAGCAGCACGCACATCCTTGCCTCTAGCTGTGGGTGTCCCTGGACTCTGGGGGCCAAGGTGGCTTCCCAGACTAGGGAGCCTCTATGGGGGGCAGGGAGGCTTGTACCCAAGGCTTGGGCCACAATTGCACTGAGAAGGCCACGGCTCGGGGCTCAGCTGGCATGCTGCAAAGCCAAGACCTCAACCAGGCTCCTGGCTCCAGGCCCCAAGCCCTTAGGGGACCTCACCAAGCTGTACATCGCAGAGAGGTGAGGGGCTCCTGGAGCCTGCGGCATAGACAAGGAGCAGCCCGTTCCTGGGAAGCTCTGCCCAGTCACCCTTGGGGACCCTCATCATAGACCTGGGTGCTTCTGCAGTGACGCCTCCCTGGCCACATCCCACAGGGAGGGCACTGAGCGGGAAGAAGGAGACCCTGCTGGCCTCCCTGGCCTTTGCCAAGGGCCAGAAGCCTGCCACAGCACCACCGCCACAGAAACCCGACTCACACCCACCTTGAGATGAGAACACGTGGGCAAGCAGGGCAGGAGTTTCCGGACGAAGAGAAACTCCTTTGTGGGGCGTCTGCTCTGACACTCTGGCTGTGGGGAGTGGCAGGGGCTGGGGCGCAAGGGACACTGGGGTCACTGTTGTCACCTATGTGTGATCTTTACAACACACTGACCAGCCCATCCCGCCAGGTGGGAGCTGTGCTTTGCTCCTGCGGACTGTGAAGTCACCTCCACTGCACTCCTGCAGAATTTCACGCTCATGTACTTTTAGGTGCAAAAGTCTCTTACTGCCACTGAATTATAGTTCTCTCTAATACAAACGTGTAAACATTGGAGTGAAATGCTTAAAACCCCACGACCATAAATATCTGATAAGAATTGCTTATAGATATAGTCACTATTTGAACACACAGATCTCAACAACCTACGACATGTTTTTATCAACAACGGTTGCCCATCAGCCGGTGCAGTCAGAGACCTGCACGCTTGGCCGAGCGGGGTGGGGGACAGCAGGTCACGGCGCTTTGATCTTAGGGGCTCCCTTTGCAAAGCTCCCTGAGTGGACCATGTCAGACGGTAAGATGGAGAGCATGGTGAGACGGAGAGCAGGAAAGGGGGTCCACCTTTCTTTACCAGGTGGGTGAAGGGCATGGGTGAGGGGCCGGAAGAGGTGCTGGTGGAAGGGTAGGTAAGCAGAGGCCGACTTTGCCAATCGCTTCAGAAGGGCTGAGCTCTGAACTTGAAGCAGCAGTGAAGGTGGAGACGGACTCCATGCCCCGCCTGGACGGTGAGACATCCTTGCCCTTAAGGCAGGGGCAGGAGAGAAACAGCCCCGGGAGCAGCTGGAGGGAGTCGCAGGACGTCTGTGCTCACAGCTGCGTGGCTGTGCCCTTCCTGCCCGCAGGAGCCCATGTGACCCCAGAAGCACCGCATGTCTGGGCTGAGGGGGTCTGACGGCCCCACCACACCCACAGGCAGGTTCTCACCCAGGCCCTGCTGCCCATCTGGCCCTGATCCTGGCCTGGTTTGGGACCTAAGCACAGGCCTGTTCGGAGGCCTCATCCCTGGTCCGAATGCCATGGCCTCGGAAGCTTGTGTGACTGTGGTCATGGCCCCAGCCCCCCACCCCGCCAGATATGGGCCTTTCCCCCGGCAGCCGGCTCCTCCCCTCCCCGCGCGTGGCCTCCCCGGGCTGTCCACCTTGCAGCATGCACAGCCGCCGGACCTCCCCAGACCTCAGCCTCCTTCGGCGGTGTCTCCCGCCATCCTGCACCCAGCAGCACCATGGAGCACCTGGGGGGCTCCTCTTACCTGTCTCACAGGTAGGTCCCCCGAAGCCAGCCGGGCACTGGCAGCTGAAGCTGTTGATGCCGTGAGCGCAGGTCCCGCCGTTCTGACAGGGCTGGGAGGCACATTCGTTCACGTCTGAAACGGGGCAGGAGCGGGATCCGGGCGTTTCCTCCGGGGCCCTGGGTTGGGCCGGGAGACGGAGCAACAAGCCCGAGACTGGCTCAGAGGGGCAGCAGCCACGCCCGCCCACGTGCTCACCCCAGGGGCCCACGGCATTTAGTTCCCAGTGGTCCCCTAAGCACGTCACCCATACCCCGGGGACAGAGACCCCTGAGCTGGGCCCCCGGGAGCTCGGGCCGCTGGCGGGGCCTGCAGTGCTCCCCGAGCCCAGAACAGCCAGCCGGGTGCCGCCCCGAGCCCGCCACTCACCCAGGTGGCACCTCCGCCCAGTGAAGCCCGAGAGGCAGGAGCAGGTGTAGGAGGGGTCGCCCGGGACACAGTCCTCGATGCACCTGCCGCCGTTGAGGCAGGGGCGCAGGGCCAGGCACACGGAGGCTGCAGACAGGGAGGGGCCGGAGCCTCAGTGGCCTCGGGCTCCGGGCTCCACTCCTCGGGAGAGCCACTCCCTTCCCTACCCCCGCCCCGCACAGATGGCCGGCCTCCAGATCCCGGGTGACCGCGGCAAAGCAGCCAGGGGCCAGGTTTCATGTCAGGTGGGAGCAGGGGCCGTTCTGTCGCTGTGGCCTCTGGGAACGTGGCTTCCCGTGGGGCAGACTCCCCAGGGAGGCTCACCCGCCCCTCCTGTCCCCTCCATCCCTCCCGGCGCTGCCTCAGGCAGTTCTAGAAACTGGCACACTCCGCCTCCCTCCCTGTTCCTGCTGGCGCTCAGCCGCGGTGCCAGTGTTCCTGGGACAAGGTGGGCCACGCAGGGGCGTGGCCGGGGCGGCAGGAGGGCTCTGTCCCTCAGATGCTTGAGGCTGCTCTGGGGCTCGAGGCGGCAGCTCCTGGGCTCCCTGTCCCTTGAGTCCCGACTCCCTGAGCTCAGATGCAGGCTGGGGTCTCTGTGCACCCTGTGCACGGGTAGCTGGGGCCGCTCGGGTCTCCCTCATCACGGGGCCACCTGCAGCCCTCAGATGCATCTTCCCGCGCTGCACTCCCCACCCGGTGGCACGCCTCTACCCTCCCCACCCTCCACCCCGCGATGCGCCTCCATACCCCCCAAACTATCGCCCACGTCCAACCCTGTGGCACGCCTGCAGCCCCCACCCCTCACACCGCGGTGTACCTGTAACCCCCACCCCCACCCCCCACCCCAGCCCTGACCTCGTGTTGCGCCTGCACCCCAACTGCACCCCGACAGTGCTCCTCTTGCCCTGTGCCCATCGTGTTCTCTGGGGACCCAGTGTTGCAGAAAAGTGGCCCCTCTGCCCTCGAGGTAGCCTAGATGATCGAGGCTGGGAGGTGAGTCTGGGGCAGGTCCCAGCGTGGTCTCCCCGCGGCCCCGGCCTTGGCAGGGCTTGTGACGCGCAGCCTGCGACGCACGTGTAAGCAGCGATTTCGGAGTCTCCCCGGCTCCGGAGGCCGCACAGCAGCAGGGCTGGGGCTACACACCCGCTTCTGCGGCCGCCCTGGCTGCTCCCACAGGCCACGTGCCCACCCCTGGGGGGGCACCCACCCCATCCACTTGTGCACCCTGGGCTGGAAGGAAGGACCCCTAGAACTCCCGTGTCTACATGATGCTCGGGTTTGTGAAAGACACCAGTCCCACAAGCAGCAAGCCTGCCAGCAGAAGCGGGGGCCTGGGCGATAAGGGCACCTGCCTCCCCGGTGGCCCTGGGGGTCAGAGACCATGTGCTGCTCCTCCCCCAGCCCAGGTGGGAGGCTGGGTGGGCATGTGGGGAAAGCACAGGCCTCGTGGGCTCCTCCTCCCCTGAAACCTGCAGTCCCCAGAGGCTTCCCTCCAACCCAGAGCAGTGTGTGTGTGGAGGTCTTCTCTAGGGGAAACAGGCTCCAGGACCAGCCAGGCTCTCCTTAGTTTCACGTGCCAGAGGTGGGCTGGGCTGGAGACCCCCTCCTCTCCCGGTCGGCATCCGGCCCCTCCTCTCCAGCTCGCCCCCTTTGCCGTCGGCCCCTTCCTCAGCCCGCTCCCACCCAAGCGGCTCCTCTGTCCTCTTACTTGTATGGGCGCAGCCCCCCACGCGCACCTGGGCATCATCGATTCTGAACGCCCAGCGCCCGGGCACGCCCACGTTGGTGGTGGTCTCCACGTCGGCCATGTCTGCTGTGCGCGAGCCGGGGATACTGAAGTAGCGCTGCCCGTCGCCTGCGTTGAAGCCAGCCTGGGGGCGGGGTGGGGCGGAGTGAGGGAGGCTGCTTCCCCAGCTCAGCAGAGGTTGGGGTTTCCCTGCCCCCACCATGTCCCAGCCAGGGTCCTGGGAGCCAAGGAGAGGGCTGGCCCTGGCCCCCCGGCCCTGTCCTCCGGCAGCTCACCCCTGGGCTCTTGGGCCTCCCCTAGGGTCAGGGGCAAGTATGACCCCAAGAGAACGCAGGTGGCCAGGAGGCTCGCGGGGCTGGGCGCAGCCCAAAGGCACTCTGGGGCCTTCGGAGCCCTGACCTGTGGCCCCTGTCCTGTTTCACTCCCCTAGCACCCGGGGTTTCCTGCCAGCGTGCTCCCTCAGGTCCCTGGCTAGGCCAGACTGCAGGGCACAGGGAGCAGAGGCCATTTCTGTTGCTGCTGCAGCTCTTGAACAGGGCCTGGGGGCGGTGCAGGGTGGGGCAAAGGTGCCTTTGGGTCTGAGGATGTCCTCAGGGATGGCTGTGGATGCCTCTCGCTGGCCTCTGCACCGAACCAGGGGGTCTACCTACTGGGAGGCCCTGCCTACCTCACCAGCTCATGACAGTGCTGGCTGTGGGGAGCGGGGTTCCAGAACACAGAGCGGAACCCCCTGCCCTCGCCTACCTGGGCTGCGATGCCCCCCAGGCCCGTGGCGTTGCCCCCGCTGCTGGCGTGTGTGCCTGTGGTCCACGTGATGGACTCGTAGTTGAAGATGGTGAAGGAGAGCTTGCCGTCTGTGATGAGCACAGTCTGGAACGTGTTGACCTGCGGGGAGAGGGGGCTGAACGGGGCCCTGAGCACCCCTTGGCCCAGGGATGCCCTGCCCTGTCCGCCTTCCCTGTACACTGTCGTTTTCCACTGGGCCCCTGGCTTGCTCAGTGCCTGTGTCCTCCAGCTGGGTAGGCAGCCAAGGCACGACCTTGGTGGCCGCATCCTCTGTTGTCTCCCAGCACCTGCCACCCATCAGAGGCCGTCCCCAACCCACAGCTGTTGCTGGAGTGAGTGAAGCACCCGGGGCAGGTGCAGGGCCAGCACGTGGGAGCAGACCCTGTCCCCCGCTCTTGGGGGCTCAGGCTCCCGCAGGGGTGGGGAGGGACAGAGTGCCGAGTGTTAGCACTCACTGAGCCACAGCCACAAAATCTCCCGTGTGAAATGAGCAAGACTGTAAAACGGAAAAGAGGAAAGGTACAAAGAAGCCAGGAAGAGCCGCGCTGCCGCGGGTCCCAGTCAGGCCTGGCGGCTTCGCAGACTTCCACTGCATGGGAATAGCGGTGGGCAGAGTGCAGGTAAGAGATGCCGCGTGAGGATCGAGGGAAGGATCCAGACTGTTTAAGAGACGATCTGGGGGCGAACAGGAGCCCCCGAAAAGATCAGATCAGAGTCCGCCTTTCCACACACACAAAGAAATCCCCAATCCAATAAAGGGAAAGAAAGTCCCAGAAAGTGCAGGCGAGTATCAGTAACTCAGGAGAGCGAAAGGACCTTCCAGCGTGATGTTCGTTCACAGCGAAAACCAAAGGAAGAATCACACACTTGACTGCGAAAGGCTTCTGGATACTGAGAAAAGCCGTGAAGACCACGCTAACGGCAAACGGCAAAGTGAACAACGCATTTGTAACGCGTACGGCAGCTAAAACTATCCAGACCCTTAATTCGAGAACTACAGATCAACGAGACCAAAAGTACGACAGAAAACATGTCAAAGGGTGTGAACAGACACGTCACAGAAAACAACTAGCCGATAACACCGGAACAAACGCACTAGAAATTCAAGATGTCATGGGTTTAAGCTGGAACATGACAGCTGGGGTGCAAGGAAGGAGGCCCTTTTACATGTGGCTTCTGTGAGTGTGAATGTGGAGATTGCTTTTGTTTTTTTTTTGAGACGGAATCTCCCTCTGTCACCCAGCTGGCAGCTGGGGTGCGGTGTTGTGATCTCGGCTCGTTGCAACCTCTGCCTCCCGGGTTCCGGTGATTCTCCTGCCTCAGTGTTCCAAGTAGCTGGGATTACAGGCGTCCGCCACCATGCCTGGCTGATTTTCGTATTTTTAGTAGAGAAGGGTTTCAGCACGTTGGCCAGGCTGGTCTGGAACTCCTGATCTCAGGTGATCCACCTGCCTCAGCCTCCCAAAGTGCTGGGATTACCAGTGTGAGCCACTGCACCCGGCCTGAATGTGTAGATTTTTGAGAGGAAAGTTGGAATTCTGCAGGCAGCAGTCTCCCTTCTAAACATGCATGCCAGGACAGGATCATGAATAAGGTGACTTGGGCTATGCCATGCCTGCCTCAGGCCCCTGGGATTGCAGCTGTCCCGTCGTGGGGTGCATGTGAAACAAATTCACGCACCGCCTGGTGCCAGGCAAGCTTGCAGCCACTGAAGAAGATGCACGGTCATGCATTGCACTGACATAAAGTCAGCACCAGAGACTACGCGCTCTGCCTCAGGAAAGCAAGCCCACGTGCTAACAGCTGGAAAACGACCGAAGACGAGAGGGCTGCAGGATGGGCCAGTGGCACCGTGCAGGGACAGGGCAGACCAGAGCCAGTTAGTGCCCGGGGGCGCTCTGGGAGCTGGAGAGGCGCAATGAGCGGATGCACGGAGCTAACTGGCCATTTTCTGTCAATGGGCCTGCTCCTGGAAGTGCCCAGGCTGGGTTATGCTTCTGAGCACTTCCTGACACCTGGCCAGGTGACCCCTGGGCAGATGCGTCCTGTCTGCTTCATCTGGGCTGCCTGTGCAGTGACTAGAGCACTTGCCTGTCACTTAGAAGGTGCCTCTTCAAAGGTGTTTATTAAGTGCGTGAACGCACAGCTCTGCAGACGGCTGCTCTGCACCCACAGCTCTTTCCTAGGGAGTCACTGTCTGTCTCGTACAGTCATGACCCAGTGCAGGCCTGGCCACCGTAGGTGCTGGGGAAACACATCTGCCACCAGAGCAGCCACCATCTGCCAGCAGAGCAGCCACCACAGGTGCCGAGGAAACACATCTGCCACCAGAGCGGCCACCATCTGCCACCAGAGTGGCCACCATAGGTGCCGAGGAAACACATATGCCACGAGAACAGCCACCACAGGTGCCGAGGAAACACATCTGCCGCCAGAGCGGCCACTGGAGCTGCCGAGGAAACACACCTGCCATCAGAGCGGCCACCACAGGTGCCGAGGAAACACATCTGCCACCAGAGCAGCCACCATCTGCCACCAGAGTGGCCACCAGAGGTGCTGAGGAAACACATCTGCCACGAGAACGGCCACCACAGGTGCCGAGGAAACACATCTGCCACCAGAGCAGCCACCATCTGCCACCAGAGTGGCCACCAGAGGTGCCAAGGAAACACATCTGCCACCAGAGCAGCCACCGGAGCTGCTTAGGAAACACATCTGCCACCAGAGCGGCCACCAGAGGTGCCAAAGAAACACATCTGCCACCAGAGCGGCCACCAGAGCTGCTGAGGAAACACATCGGCCACCAGAGCGGCCACCGGAGGTGCTGAGGAAACACAGCTGCCACCAGAGTGGCCAGCTGTCCTTGTTAGCGACTATCAGCTCACCAGAGCTCATCAAGCCTGCCACGTGGGGATTATTCTTGAGTCAACACTTCTGTCATGTTTGGCATTACCAAGGAATAGAGAATAAGCAGAGTAACCTTCCAGTTTAACCCTTTGTGTCCTGGGCCATTCCAAATGGAAATCCTCCTAACCCTATCAACCCACACGCCTCTCCCTGACATGCGAGCTGCTGCTTTGGGCATTTGGTGTTTCCCGGAGGCAGGTGGCTTCCAGGAGCACTGGGGAAGGTGGGGGCTATGTTCTCGTTGACTCTGGCTCTGTGGTTTCCACCACGTGTTCCCCTCTTGGGTATGGACCAGTGACTGTACCCCACCTGCCTCCATAAGTGGGGCCCTGGTGTGGGGAGACCCTGGATCCTAGCCAGACATCCCCCCTCCGCAGGACCAGTGCCTGGACTCACGGGGGATGAAGAACTGCCGCCAAAGAAGGTCACTCGGTACCAGGTGGCAACAAAAACCCAGGTGGCGGAGAAGTCCGGGAGCTCAGGGAAGTAGCGCCTGACATCCTCCGTGGCTCGGTGCAGCGTGGCTGGGTCGGTGGCCTCCCGGTAGTACACGTCGCCTGCACGCCGGTTGTCCACATCTGCCCAGAAGGCCGCCACCACGCAGCGGTCCTTGGCGATGGGGAAGGCCACTGGGGTGAACTGAGAAACCTCCTTCAGGAAGGAGATGATCCCATTGTTGTTTACCTGGGAGGCAGAAGGCCGGAGTGGGGGCTGTCAGGGCTGTGCGCAGGCAGGTGGCCCAGCAGCCTCCCCAGCCCCGCTGCGAGGCATCCTCTGAGGGGAAGCCAGCCTCAGGCAGGGCATCGCCAGGGTGGCCTGACAGCCCGTCCCTGACATGGGACCCCAGGGCTGCTGCACCCCCTCCTGCCAGGCTGTGTGCTCAGGGCACAGGCTCTGACCTGCATGCAGTACCCGACGCCCTGCAGAGTACCCAGCCCCGGATGGCTGCTGCGGGGGTAGGGAAGCCCCCCTTTCGGCCCTGGCCTCGGTCACTGGGGCCTTGGGCCTGCCCAGCAGCTACTGCTCCTCAGCTCTGCTCCAGCGGGGCCTCAGGAGGCGAGACGAAGCCCCATTATCTGAGCTAAGCCTGGGAAGGTGAGCAGGGGCACACTAGGTGGGATCAGCGGAGGGGTGCCCGCACTAGAGTGGAGGTGGGGATGGCCAAGGGCCAGCATGGCCGGGGAGGCTGGAGGGGCTGCAGTGGTCAAATGGGGGAGCTGTGCTCGGCCTCCAGCAGTGGGGAGCCCCAGGAGGCGGTACCTCTGCAGTGAGAGGCACGTGTTCCACCCTGACCCCATGCCCACTGCCACGTCCACCAGGTGGTTTCGCTGGCCACCTCTCTGTGCTCTGCTTTTCCTACTTACAGGAGGGGCCACAGCTGGAATGTTTGTGTTCCCCAGATTCCTACATTGAGATCCTAACTCCCAAAGGGATGGCGCTAGCACGTGGGGCCTTTGGGAGGTGACTGGGTAATAAAGGTGGCGCTCTCACGAATGGGGTTCACGCCAGGAGGTACATAAGAAGATGCCATCAATGACCCAAGAAGGCCCTCCCCAGTCACTGAGGCTGGCTGAAGGGCCTTGAATTTGGACTTCCCAGCCTCCAGAACTGTGCAAAGTAGGCTTCTGGAGCCTGCGAGCCACGCGTCTGAGCTGATGAGGGCACGGGCTCCGACCTCTCAGGGTGCAGGGACCCGGGTGAAGGGGCTGCCGGTCTCGGAGCTCAGCCCGACACCGTCATGATGGGCCACCAGGAAGAATGTCCCAGAACCCGGCTTTAGAAAGACCCTCTGCACTTCCCCTCTGAGTGAATCCTGGAACGGGGACTAAGGTAGTCCCCAACTGGCAGCACCCTGCCGTCCACACAGAGGGAGCACCCTGCCGTCCACAGAGGGAGCACCCTGCCGTCCACACAGAGGGAGCACCCCGCCGTCCACAGAGGGAGCACCCCGCCGTCCACACAGAGGGAGCACCCCGCCTTCCACACAGGGAGAGCACCCCGCCGTCCACACAGAGGGAGCACCCCACCTTCCACACAGGGGGAGCACCCCGCCTTCCACACAGGGGGAGCACCCCGCCTTCCACACAGAGGGAGCACCCCGCCTTCCACACAGAGGGAGCACCCCGCCGTCCACACAGGGGGAGCACCCCGCCGTCCACACAGGGGGAGCACCCCGCCGTCCACACAGGGGGAGCACCCCGCCGTCCACACAGGGGGAGCACCCCGCCTTCCACACAGAGGGAGCACCCCGCCTTCCACACAGGGGGAGCACCCCGCCTTCCACACAGGGGGAGCACCCCGCCTTCCACACAGGGGGAGCACCCCGCCTTCCACACAGGGGGAGCACCCCGCCATCCACACAGGGGGAGCACCCCGCCTTCCACACAGGGGGAGCACCCCGCCTTCCACACAGGGGGAGCACCCCGCCGTCCACACAGGGGGAGCACCCCGCCTTCGACACAGGGGGAGCACCCCGCCTTCCACACAGGGGGAGCACCCCGCCTTCGACACAGGGGGAGCACCCCGCCTTCCACACAGGGGGAGCACCCCGCCTTCCACACAGGGGGAGCACCCCGCCTTCGACACAGGGGGAGCACCCTGCCTTCCACACAGGGGGAGCACCCTGCCTTCCACACAGAGGGAGCCCCCTGCCGTCCACACGGGGGAGCACCCCTGCCGTACAGAGGGAGCACCCCTGCCTTTTACACAGAGGAAGCACTCCTACCTTCTACACAGAAGCAAAGAAAAACCCTCTCTCGAGGAAGATGGCATCATCTTAGGCTTCAATTTACTCCTGCAAACAATTTTTCAAATACACAATCAAAGATAATTGGCCACCCAAGGAAGCAAGGTCCCACCAAGCGGAATAGACAGAAATGACAGAAACAGCAGTTACTAGAATGATCAAACTCAGAACATGAAATAACCAGGTTCAAAGAGATCAACACAAACTTGAAGAGTTTTATCAGAATAGTCAAAACAAACTTGGAAAGGAAGTACAGTATTGGAAGACTTGTACTTCCAGGGTTCCAAACTGACTACAGATCTCTAGTCATCAGTGTGGTGCTGGCATCAAGACGGATGGAATAAAACGGAACCCAGAAATAAGCCCTCGATATATCATCAAATGATTTTCGCAAGCATGCCAAGACCATTAGTGAGGAAAGGGCAGTCTTTTCAACAAATGGTTCTCGGAAAACTGGACTTCCACATGCAAAAGAATGAAGCTGGGCCCTTACCTCACACCATATACAAAAATTAACTCAATGTAGAGCCAAAACCTAAACATAAGAGCAAAGGCTGTAAAACTTTTGAAGAAACCATAGGGCAAAAGCTTCATCACATTGGACTTGGCAATGATTTCTTGCTATTACACCAAAGACTCAGGCAACAAAAGAAAAAATAGACAAATTGAACTTCACGAAAATGAAAAACTTTTGTGCATCAAAATATACCATTAGCAGAGTAAAAAGGCAACCTGAAAACAGAATAAGAGAAAATATTTGCAAATTGTATGTCTGATAAAGGATTAATATCCTGAATATAGAGAGAACTCCTAAAACTCAACAACAACAAAAAACTTGTTTCAAAAATGAGAAAGGACTTGAATAGACATTTCTCCCAAGGTACACAAACGGCCACTCAGCACATACGTTCAGCATCACTGCCATTAAAAAACAAACCCAAGAAAGGAACAAGTGTTGGTGAAGATGCAGAGAGACTGGAATCCTCGTGCGCTGTTGCTGAGAGTGGAAAATGGTGCAAGTGCTGTGGAAAATGTGTGATTCCTCAAAATTAAAAATGGAATTACCACATGACCCAGCAATTCCACTTCTGGGTCTACAACCAAAAATAATCAAAAGCAGGGCCTTGAAGAGATTGATATTTGTAGACACATGTTCATAGCATTATTATTCACAATGGCTAACAGCTGGCAGGAACCTGAGTGTCCACTGAGGAGGAATGGGTCAACAAAGAGCAGCATGTCCATACAATGGAATATTATTTAGCCTTAAAAAGTAAGGAAATCCTGGCCAGGCACAGTGGCTCACACATGTAATCGCAGCACTTCAGGAGGCTGAAGCAGGTGGATCACCTTAGGTCAGGAAGACCAGCCTAGCCAACATGGCAAAAAACCGTCTCTACTAAAAATACAAAAATTAGCTGGGCATAGTGGCACATGCTTGTAATCCCAGCTACTTAGGAGGCTGAAGCACAAGAATCATTAGAACCTGGGAGGTGGAGGTTGCAGTGAACTAAGATTATGCCACTGCACTCCAGCCTGGGTGACAGAGTGAGATCCTGTCTTTGAGAAAAAAAAAGTCGGGGGTGGGGGGTGGTAAGGAAATCCTGACACAAGCTACAATATGGCTGAACCTTAAAGACATTATGCTAAGTAAAATAAGCTCGTCAAAAAGACAAATGCTATCTGATTTTGCCTATATGAGGTACCCAGAGGAGTCAAATTCATAGAGACAGAAAGTAGAAAGATGATTTCCAGGTAGTGAAGGAAGAGGGGAATGGGGACTTACTATTTAACAGGATTAGAGTTTCAATTTTGAAAGGTGAAAAGAGTTCTGTGGGTGGATGTTGACAATGATTATACATTAATGTGAATGTACTTTGATCACTGAACTGTACATTTAAAAATGGCTATGATATTAAATTTTATGTTATGTGTACTTTGTCACAATGAAATAATTGAGAGAATAAGACTAGGAAGAAAAATTTAAGCAGGAATATAAATTATTTAATCAAAAGACATTTAAAGAACCAATGAACAGGACATAAGTAACTAACAGAAGTTAAGAACTGACTGGATAGAATGAAGAGCAGATTTGATGCATTGAAGGAAGAACTATGAACTGGAACTATAAGGTCAGAAGAAACTATCCTGACACAAGGAAATGTTTTGAACAGAGACAAAAAGATGGAGAAAACAGAAGAAAGGATGAGACATAATGGAAAACAGTAAGATGACCAAACAAATCCCAACGTGGAGCGCCAGAAGGAAAGGAGACACCGAGGCAAGGGTGAGCATTTTCCAGAACTGACAAAAGACATCAAGCCATACGCTCAGCAATCCCAGTGATTCACTAGCTAGAAAAATAAAAACAAAGCCACATCAAACAAACGTTGGAAATGCAGAAGGTCAATGACAAGGAGACAATCTGAATTATTTTTTCTTTTTCTATTGCTGCTGCACAAATTATTCACAAGGAGACAATCTTTTTTTTTTTTTTTGAGATGGAGTTTCGCTCTTGTTGCCCAGGCTGGAGTGCAATGGCGCGATCTCGGCTCACCGCAACCTCCGCCTCCTGGGTTCAAGCAATTCTCCTGCCTCAGCCTCCTGAGTAGCTGGGATTACAGGCACGCGCCACCATGCCCAGCTGATTTTTTGTATTTTTAGTAGAGACGGGGTTTCACCATATTGACCAGGATGGTCTCGATCTCTTGACCTCGTGATCCACCTGCCTCGGCCTCCCAAAGTGCTGGGATTACAGGCATGAGCCACTGCGCCCAGCCTGAGACAATCTTAAAAAGAAAAAAAACAGATTACCACTGGGGACAGTGCAATAGGCTGACAGCTGACTTCTGATAAACAACAAGGAAAGCTGGAAAACGGTGGAATCGTAGTTTCAAGGTGCTACAAGAAAACAGCCAAGAAAAGAAAAAAACAAAAA